TTATTATTATTATCATGGGGGTACAAACGTCTGGATGCCCAGAGTGAAAAATAAAAGCTTTGGCTGGGGGGCAAACCTTAACCAGCCGCAGCATCGACTAAAAGTTGTAGTAACAATTACACAATAACTTGCGCATAAAAACAAAAAACCTGAGTAAAAATGATTTGATAAAAGTGTCATAAAAAAATAATAAATAAATAAATAAATCCTACAAGCTTTATGGACCTCTTAATTATGAAATAAAAATGTTCATAAGTTAAAAACCATCGTTCATATAGCTGTCCATTAAATTATGAGAACGTCTAAGGTATTTCTAAAATATGTCAATAAATTTATTATTACTATCATTACTAGCGAAGCCCCATAGCTAGGAAAATTTGGTTATCTATCCATCCGAGAAATTTTTGTAGTCACTTGACCGTCCGTCCATCCATAGCATGGGACAACCAATGTGAAATCTCACACTTTCTAGCTAGTATTGGAGCCTGCAACCTGATATTGCACATCCATGTTGTGACCAATTGACAGCTGTCACAACGGGGTATCCACTGACCAGTATCACATGACCGTATTGCGGGCTCGGGTGTCGACCCATCATTTTTTGGAAGTTATCCACTGACAAGTTCCTAGTGTTCAACTTATCGCAGGCTCAACTCCAAGTGGATTTTCTTTGCGATGGTTTCAAGTTTATTATTTAAAGTAGATTATAAATTTATTAACAGGCGCTTCGCTTTTAGCCTTGGCTAAATTGATATATTATTATTATTATTATTATTATTATTAATATTATTATTATTATTTATCTATTTATTTACTTGTTTTTCGTTATTATGTTTGCAGTGCGACTACTATAACCAGGGCCACCTAGACAACCTTGACCAATCGGATTACGGGAAAATAACAGTACATTTCGAGAAAGTTAGTTGACAATCATAATCGAAATCAACAACAAGGATCAAAATCAAGCAATTACAACCTACAGACGTAACCTTTTCAACCCGCTGAAGAAAGTCCGCGTTTCCTGAGAGGTCCGTTTCAGTGAATGACTCAGGCAAAAAAAGCAAACGTTATTGAGGTCCAGATGTTATTGCAAAGAGCGGCAATAGTAGCGAAGAAATTGCCGGTAGATGACAAAGTAAAAGCCTGAAAAAACAGCCGACATTTGGCGACGCTACCACTGGTTTCCCCGCCAAATGACGTCTGAGAAACAAGCGCAGAGATTCCATACTGATGACGCATCACTACCTACAATCATGGACAAAAGTCTTAGGACACTTATGCGTTTCTTGGCGTTTTCCAATTCACACAGGTCCAACCCCTTCCCTCACCCCACAAACAGTGTTGGACGCGTGTATCCAGAATTTTTTTCGAGTTTCAGCTTTGTATAGGGTGGGGGGAGGGAGAACTGCAAGAAAATTTCGAAAAGCACTGTTTTAAGAGGGAACCGAGAAATGACAGAAAAATATAAAATTGCAGTACTGTCCCAAGGACTTCTGTTCAGGATTGTAGATCTGGGTGATTGGTCGTGCCGCGTGGGAAATTTGATTCAACCAATCAGGAGCACTACCCAGATCTAGGTAGTGACGCGTCATCAGTATGGAACTTCTGCGCTCGTTTCTCAGACGTCATTTGGTGTGAAAACCAGTGGTAGCGTCGCCAAATGTCGGCTGTTTTCTCAGGCTAACAAAATAACAGCTTCTGTCAAACAAATACGTCTCCAGGCCAGGGTGTTATATGTAACGTTTCGAACAAAACAACATTGCCTGCAAAACATTGTTTTGCTTTCTTAAAAAACGTTCGCTATCAAAATTGAATTTTCTGCTTCGAGTAACTTATTGTTTTTTATGAGCTGCTGATTGGCCCACGACCAACTTTCTTGGAATGTATTGTTATTTTCCTGCAATCTGATTGGTTAGCTTTGTCTAAGTGGCCCCGGTTACCAGTGACCAACATCAATTTTCTCCTAACAATATCAATACATAATCAAGAGAAACGGTCGTGAGAATTAATGAAATGATCACCTAAGTGAAACGCTTTGATCTTTTATCAAATTCTCTCTTCTAGGTCTTAAAGGAAATGTATGTACATCAGTCTGGAGAATTTGTACGTGGATAGTGGGGTTTAAAGGGTTAATCCATTCGCCCCGTAACCGCCCGTAACCGCCCGTGCGGATCCACGTCCTTTCTACAAATTTGTCCGCTGACTTGTGCAGAGAGAAGAGATCTTTCAAACCATACCAGAATGAGCACAATTCAGACAAGGACACCGGAGAAAAATGCAAAAAACCACGTGACAAGGACCTGAAAATCTCCATGAAAATCTTGTTCCATTACCCACCTACCTTTCCTTTCGCCTAATCCTAAGTTCCTAAAAGCTTTCCTAAAAACTCTTCCCACCAAAATGAAGCCTACTAAATGCCCAGCAAGAGAAAAAAAACATGAGGCAAGAAAAGCGAAAAAAGAGGGAAGGAGAGAAAGCGAAAAGTAACTTTTAAACCCCAAAATTTTGTTTTCTGAGCATCCCAAACTACGCAAGCTGATATTTTGCATCTGGATCAGAAGGCCGTGAAGTGTACGACCTGTAAACGGGTTTGTGGTAAGTTTTAGCTCTTTATAGCATGACAGTGACAAGAAAACCACTCGACTACCTTCAAAACGCGTTTTTCGGCAAAATCTCCAGGAGCGAATGGGTTAAGCAAAGTACCAAGCTTTTGGAGAAAAATCCACTTTTCAGCATAAAACACCCAAATCTGTCTATTTAATGTAAAATCAGGTGAAAAAATTGGTAAAAGGCGATTTTTAGGTTTTTTGATTAATATGGCCTCCATGTAATATCACACTACTCAATCAAACAAAAAGGCTATGGGAAAACAGCGAATGATCGTCAAAGTTATAGTCTTGATTTGCTACATGGAATAAAGATGATGTAAACTGCAGTAATACAATGTAATAAAGATAAGACCAACACAGTTGTAATCGTAATTTTTTTTTCTTTTTTAACAAGTTTTTCAGATCCGAACTCATGGCCTTTTCATTAGAACTATGAAGACCCCTAAATTGCGTGGGACCACTGACTTCGAACTTATTGAGTCACTTTTTGATTAAATTAAATCTTGGTTAGATTTTTGAAATGAAGGGCGGCAGCAAGCGAAAAACAATATTGCGCGTTGAAAGAAATGGAAATGTTGAATTTTAAGCCTGATAAATACACCAAATGGGTGTTTTTTTATTCCAGTCAGTGACAAAGGCGGCTCAAAAGAAAAATCCGCGTACTCCCAACACAAGCGTCAGATGCTCTACCACTGAGCAATAAGAGACTTGTGGGAGCTAAGACCACTTTTAGGTGGTGTTAGCTCCCACAAGTAGGATTGTGAGACAAACATCCTGCAAAATGCTGGTAGTGGAATGTCGATATGCGCTTATGAGTAATAGCAGCTAGCAGTTTATGATGTGGAAGTGTCCATATCTTCGAGTTTAAGGAGGTAAATTGCGCTGATGTAATAATTTTTAAATTTCTCATCGTTTGCGCTGAATAAATCGTCAATGTGTCGAAAAGGGTTTCTAAACTGGATGGCTTTGTCGTATCTTGTTTCATGGTATTTAAATTTTTTGATGTATTGCAATGCATCCTCAACGGCTTTTCCTGCTGTACGTTGTTTCCAATTCAGGAAAAAGGTATTGGGATTGTAAGCTACCTTGTATCAAAGCTCAGATAGAACTGTCCAGCACCTTTGTTTATGACCAGAAAATGAGCACGAGCGGCACTTGTGCGAAATTCGCACCTCAGCCAGGGGGACGAATGACAATGATGCCCATGTCTGTGAACCGATCTGTATAAACATGTATTGCAGAGCAAAACATAATAATCAAGAAAAAATACCCATTCATTGAGGGAAGGAGTGACAAAAATTCCAGAGTTGTAAATTTATTCACGGGCAGTATTTTTGCGATAATTTTATTTTGGACTGTGATGTTATTCGGTTCACAGGCATGGTCATCGATGTCGTTCGTCCCCCCTGTGTGAGGTGCGAATTCCACGCAGAACTGCCGCTCGTGCTCATTTTGTAGTCATAAACAAAGGTGCTGGACAGTTCTATCTGAGCTCTGGTACGAGGTAGCGTCCAATCTCAATACTTTTTTCCTGAGTTTGAAGCAACGAACAGAAGTAAAAGTCGTTGAAAATGCATTGCAATACATCAAAATGTATGCAGTAGGAGTTTGAACCAAAACTGCCATGGGATATTTTAAAAATGTCGAAGAACAAGAAGTAATTCTACCTCAGAGCAAGGTTTGGAGCAATTTATAGTGCTTCTACAACTAAACAGTACCTTTTAAAGAATAGCACGATAGGCAATCGGCTTTTGTTTTAAGAATTAGAAAACGTTGAATTTACTTGTCACGAAAATTCAAACTGGTGGCTCCTTCTACCCGATAGTAATTTATTTTTGAAATTCCAAAACAATTTCACAGCTGAATTTTGAGCGACTTTTAGTTTCGGACTTCTGCTCCAACGATTTTTCTGAAATTCCTCTGGCATATTTATTATATCAATTAAAGCCGATACCAGAAATTTCAGTAAAAAATATCAGCAAAATTTTTTACTAGACGCGATTTTCTTTGAACAGTAGGGTCCTTTTAAGCGCTAATTTCTCAAGAAATATTTACCATCAATGAAATCGGAATATTTCGTGTTATTGCCGAATGATATCTGTTGTTCTTTGCAAAGTTTCGCAGCCATCGCGTTAATAACCAAAAAGTTATGACGGAAAATTTGTCACAGCTAAATGCTCTTGTATTAATTACGGAGCCACCTTAAAGTATGAAGTCATACTTGAGGGCGTGGAGAACGATAAACTAAGACAATATTTGACACAATGTTGATGTTTTTAAGTCTGTTTATTATTTATCTTGATCTTACTTTTTACCAACAATGGTACCTACCTGGCTCCCAGGGTTTTCTTGTTTATCACTAGGGAGCTTAAACAACGACGACGGCGAAAGCTAAGAGAGCGTCACTTAAAAAGTGAATTAGCTCAGCCTTGAATTTTTTCGCGCTTATTCCATCTCAGTTTATTCGTCAAATGTTGGCAATTTTTTTTTAAGTTGAATTCTAAAGGACTGTATCAAAGTTCAGGAAAAGAAAAGAAAGTTGTTGTCTTGTGTTCCCGTCCTCGACAAAACGTGAAATTTGGCACTTTCACTTTGAAGTCGAGCAACGACGGCTAAGAAATGTACAAAAAGCGTGATGCACGTGCAAAGTTGTTGTTTTGCCAATCTTAACCTACTGCTTTTTTGCCGTTCTCGTTGCCGTTGCAGTGGTCGTTGCTTAAGCTCCCTGATACTGCCCAGCGTGGCTGGAAAACGATATGACCCTGGGGACGAGGTTGTCGCGATTGCGGTTTGCAGTTACAAATATATATTTTATTAGTGTATTCAAAGTTTAAACTACATTAACAAGCTCTTTAAAGCGGGGATAAGGCGATGGTTATGCAATTAAACTGGGGCTGGATTCACGAAGACATCTGAAGCTAAGATGAATAGCTATTATTGTCTTAAAACGATAGGTCATTGTTAAGAAAAATACTTAACAATTATTCCTCGAGTGCGAGTGGGCTCTGAGTCAATAGCCCAAGAGGCCGAAGGCCAAATGGGCCATTGATTCAGAGGCCATGAGGGTGAGAGGAATAATTGTTTAGTAAAATCTAACTAGTCGGTCAAAATATCGAGACAAAAAAACTTTAGCTAGTTATAGCTAGATTTTAATCCTTTTTCTGCCGCCAAAAATCCGGCGCTTTTGGTACTAGTGGGCTATAACATATAGCCTAGTAGCAGCTCAACCAATCAGAACGCAGCATTGATAATAGACCACTAGTTGGATTTTACTAATAAGGAAATATCTTAACTCGGGAAGTCTTTAGAAATTCGGCCCCAGTACACTATGTCATTGTAGTCTTGCGCGCCATGTAGAAACATCCCACAGCTTTTTTCAGTGCGTTAATCTCCACCTCTAGACATGCGCCCGTGTGACCAGGGGCCAGCGACACATGAGTAAGCCGAAGACACACTTTTGCCTCGACGTGAAAGATTTTGAGTGTTTTGCAGATGGGTTGAGGATCCGCCACTGAAACAATGAAAGAATATGAAATGTTAGTCGTTTTATTATCAGTTCAGTTTAATTGAAGAAAAACCAGATGAAAATTTTATGGTTAGTGAAATAAGAGAGGAAAAGTGTGACGTCACGTTACCATGGTAGCAAAATTTCTGGATAACAACAATGAGGAACTTAGGCAACGACGACAGCGACGGCAACGTGAACGGCAAAAAAGCAATAAGTTAATATTAGCAAAACAACTTTGAACGTGCATCACGCTTTTTGTACATTTCTTAGCCGTCGTTGCACGATTGCAACATGAAACATCCTAATTTCACGCGCCCCCTTTATACACAGAGTGAACACAAAACAAAAATTTTCTTTTTCTTTTCCTAAACTTAGAAACGCTCCTTTCGGATTCAGCCCCAGAAAATTTCACCAACATTTGACAAATGAAACTGAATAAGATCGATGAAGTTTGAAACGGTGCGGCTTTCACCATGTAAGTGAAGTTTTCGGTTTGTTGACATCCAGAAATTTTGCTACCATGGCAACGTGGCGTAAACGACTTCTCCTCTCTACTGCTCAATTTTATGAGGATTTGCTAAGTTTGGGTGCGTTTTTTTGGAGAATCCAAAAAAGGATTTGTGATCGCAGGTCAAATGGATTCTTCGCTACCATAGAAACGGAAGATCCGAAAGAGGATCGTTTACCATGACAACGGCATGTCGTCGTGCTCCTCGTGATAAGAAAACTATAGAAAATAAACAACAAACTGATCCTCGCAGCGAAGACAAGAAGGAAAAGCAAAATAAACTACGAATGAATATACGAAATGCATACATTTTGGTTTGAAACCCAAACATTTCTCGAATAGAATACACCTTAGGATAGTAAAATCATAAGAATTTAAAACTGTAGCCGATGAATTTTTTTTTTTACCGGCGTAAGCAGACACTACATACATGCAAAAAACGTGGCGGAGAAAGGGTTTAAAAACAGTATACGAATGTAAATAGACGACAACTGTTGTGTGCCATTTTTGTTCGAAAAAAAACGCCCAGATTGTGAATCTCAAACTTCCTGATTTGGATTTGATCCGAAGAATCCCTCCAGGGTGTGGATTTTATGGATTCATGATCCGTTTTTGGATTTGCCCCCAAAAATGCAAAATCAGATTTTGGATTCGGAAATCCGAATTTCGATTTTCCCAAAAAAACCGCACCCTTTTTCCGGCTATACCTGAAATGTGCTTCTTGAAAACGTTGAAGTGATTTATCACTACTGCTATGTCGAATCCCTAGGATCAGAAAACATGAAAGATTTATTCAACTATGAGTAGAACTAGTCAGTCAGAAAGAATCAAATCAGTTTAACATACAAATGTGCTTACATGCTCAATATACTTTTTTCATTATGAAGGTCATTTTTTTATTATTATTATTTTTCATGAGTGAAAACAGATGTTAAGTAACCAGTTTTAATTTTTTTTGGTAAACCAATGAGGGAGAAATTCTAACGCGTGCCAAATACACACTGATGGGAACCAAGCAGACTAAGGCATTGGACTGGCTAACAAAAAGTTTTCTTCTGTGTTCTTACCGTTTCAGCTTTATCAATGTCTGCATGAACACAGGCTGTTAGAAGGAAAAAAAATAACTAATTAAAACTGATAGTAATAAAAGAGTAGTATAAATGAAATGATGACTATCATCAAAGCATATATAAATTTTTGTATATGAATTTCCGATTTCTTCTTTGCATTTTATTTATTCATATAAATAATAGAGCTCCCAAAAGTGTCCTTTAAATTTGTTTTGCCTTATCGTCTTAAGGTCGAGTGAAAAGTATCCAATCATTCAACAACATAAAGTGCATGCAGATAGGTGACCTAGAGCTGAGGAATTAAGGAGAGATACGAGAGCCTTCACCCCTCTCCCATTCTCTACTCCCTCCTCAATTTCCCTTTTTCCCAATCGCTTCCCCAACTGACACGCCCAGCTCAATTTTATCAGAAGAACTGATAAAGTCTTGTCACCGTGAAAAGGCATACTTTCGCGTTTCAAGCGCAGCCTCTCGTGTGAGTGAAGGTACCTACTCATTCATTTGAGAGTAAATCACCTTATTGACGACAGGAGAACCTGACCTCAGGCTAATAAGACCTTTCACTCCAACAAAGACCACACCAGCAAAGACTAAAAAAGACGAAGACTTCTACAAACGGAACTGGAAAAGCGACTGGCTCATCATTCACTGATCGGATGTCCTTATTGGTACAGTGTAATTAGGTATAAGTTACCTTTGACCGGAAAATGAATCAGTTTTACTTTAATGCAGCAGTCGCATTGAGGAGGAGTCTTTTCACACACACAGCCACCTTTATCAAACGTCACGAGATCTGTTACGTCATCATTCGGCTTTACTTCATTCGTCGGAGTGTAGTCGGTGTCAATATGGTTTTCCTACAAAACAAATACATCTGAGATTTGCCATTCTTAACCCAGGTTTTCTAGGAGAAATAATAATCTACAGCTTAATTAGTCCAGAGGCTTTCGCAACGAAAACAAAGACTGGGGTGAATTTCTTTCCGTTTTACTAGCCTTGCAGATTTTTTTTTTTTCGTCTACCATTTGACTGACGTCCTAGAAAAAGCAAAGTTCATCGCGAGATTTCTGCAATGGATTACCCTGATCAGAGTTAGTTCTGATCGGACAATAGTGTCCATAGAAAATGTTTAACCACTCATAGTATAAACTAGATTTCCACAAATACCTCTTCAGAATTTTACTGTAATTTTTCATAGCACTTGTTATTTGTCGGTATGCGGTTCTAACTTTTTTACTCTGCGGTTATAAAAATTCTATGGTGTGACCATTCAATGAAGGCTTTTTATCAGCACCTCCAAAAAGATAGTTTTTACTTAGTATGTAGATGTGACCTTTAGTTCCTCAAGTCGAGATGCAAGAAACCTTATGGCGTAGTCCAAACGATGCATATGATAAACCTCGTCTCTTGTGTGATCGTAATGTTCAAAAGGAAACATCTAAGTTTTCCGTTTTGGTTTTGTGCAGTTCCATACGACAGAAAAACATGCCTCATACCCGGATCATCCCGGCGACATAAGACATCTAAGCGAGAAGACTTAACAAGAACCGTTGCTTACAAAAAAGAGTCAAAAAACCGCAAACAAACCGTGGATGCTTGAAATGATTCCTCCAATAACGATAGGAGTGATTCTGCGTCTAAGAATGTTTCCACATCAAAACCATCTTCTTCTGCACCTCTGAAAAAGAAGCATCCCAGCGGAATGTCCTTCCGTGAGTGGAAAAATTTGAACTCCAAGGCAGCGCAGCCTCCCACGTGATGCCTTTCGACTGAAACGTTGGAAAATTTGACGCAGGCTTTGGCTACTGGAACATGAGGAATGCCAAAACAAATTGGAGGCGGGTCGGCAGCTGTCAATTGACAAAAAAATTATTGTATTGAGAAACGCGTGATTGGAGAATGTTACCGTCTTACTTAGTTCCTGATTTTTCCTAGTCAGCTCAAGTGAGCATGCCTACTGAGTAGATCCCGGGGTGTGATCCCGAGGTGTGATGCTTAATCGCTAAATCAAGTAAGAAGTCTTGCTCCTTGGATCCTATGCCTACTCCCCTAGTGGTTGAGTGCTTTGATGTTCTCTTGCCAGTTCTCACCAGGATGTTAAATCTGTCCTTAGAAACTGGTGTTTCTCTGACAACTGGAAACAAGCCGACGTTCACCTAATGCTAAAGAAACCAAGAGCTGAGGTGACAATTTCACAACCTACGACCAACCAACAACCTTTCGTTTGTTTCTAAACTAGCTGAGCGAGCCGTTTTCAATCAAACCCATGACTATCTAACCCTGCATGAGCTCTATTCTAAAGCCGAGTAATCGTACCGTGAATTTCACAGCACTGAAACCGCGCTACTGCGGGTCATAACCACATATTGCTCAATATGAACCGCCAGCGAGTCACTCTCCTACTATTACTTGACTTCGGTGCAGCCTTTAAAACGGTCGACCACTGGATTTTACTCGACCGTCTACTTTGGCATCTCGGGACATGTGCACTCCTGGTTCAAGTCCTACTTGCACCACAGATTCCAATCCATATCTATTCACGGCGGAACATCGAAGAGGTTTGAGGTAAAGTATAGCGTTCCACACGGATCTTGTCTCGGTCCCCTCTCATTTGTCCTCTACGCGAGCAAACTGTTCACGATCATCGAACGTCATCTACCTGATGTCCGTGCACATGCCGATGACACACTGCTGTACATCTCCTTCAATGTCAACTCCGATGAGGAGCAATCAGTAGCTCTGGAGAACATGCAACGTCAGAGATTAGAGGCTATTTGACAGGCGTAAACTAAACGACGATAAAACAGAATTCATCATCATCGGAAAGAGACAGCAACTGGCGAAAGTTAATATTGAATCTACGGGAGTTGGTGACAGTACAACCACATCAGCTAGCGAAGTAAAGAACCTTGGTACCTGGTTTGATCGACAGTTGAAGATGGACACACCCGTTAATAACATTTGTAAAGCCGCTTTTTTCCCACTTATATAACCTAAGAAGAATTAAGAAGTTTCTCAGTCTTGATTGTCCTCATATTTTGGTCAATGCGTTTGTAACGAGTCGTCTGAATTATTGCCACAGCCTCTTGTATGGCTTGCCTCACAACCTGCTGTGCAAGCTCCAACGAGTCCAGAATGCAGCTGCCAGGCTTATCTGTAATGTTGGACGCTTCAGTCACATCACTCCCACCTTATTTAGTCTCCACTGATTGCCAATTAGAAACAGAATTCAATTTAAAATTTTACTTTTTACCTATAAAGCCTTAAATGGACTCGCTCCTGCCTATATTACAGAATTATTGAAACTTAAAACTATTCCTCGATACAATTTAGGGTCTTCTGATGACAAACTATTACTTCAGCATCCCAATATAAGAACTCTCGCTACTCTTGATGACCGTTCATTTACAGCCGCGTCACCAAAGCTATGGAACGATCTCACCTGTGGTTATCCGCCATGCCATTAATGTTATACGTTGCCGCTTTTAAACGCCTTCTGAAAACGCGTCTATTTAGGAAAGCGTGAGTTGAGTGTTCCTTAATGTTGCGTCCTTTCTGTTGCCTTTTTCTTCCACATCACACACCACGCGCTGGTTAGTTGAGAATCAGCACAGACAACTGGAGTCACGAAAAACTAAAAGTCTATTTTTCTAAGGACCCAAGAGGTGATAGTTCAGCGGGCTTTTACAGATCTTTCAATAGAGTTGTTTTGGATTACTTTGAGTTGGTACTTCGGTGTTGTAACAGATCTTTTAAAATTTACCAAATGCATGGACGCCTGAAATAGCTAACGTAAATACTGACAAGTCATAAAATTTATAACAATGTTTATAACTAAAAAATTTACTAGGATAAAATAGTTTTAAAATGTACAGTGAGTAACAATGTAAATGTCGCTCTGACCTGTTATTGTCTGGTTGAACAATACATCCTTGTTCCAAGTCAGAAAGAACTGCGCACCCTAGAAAAGAGACCAGAAATTAAACTGCTTTACTAATCAAAGCCTCAACTATAGCAGATGATAGCCCTTTACTTAACATAAAAACGGGGCCCGTGAGTAAGATAGGAAGCGTTATCAGAACGTAGGCAGAAAAGAAGAAAATAAAAATGTCCTTCCATGATTATATGTTATGCTTAAAAACAATTTCTATTATGTACTAGGTCAATGATAAAATGGGCTATCAGTTATTTCAGACATTTAACATGGACCACGACAATATAGTTCGATGTACGTTATTTACAGTATTTATTATTAATTCTGTCAGTAAGGAATTTCGAAAAGTTTAATTCTTTAGCATTGTTGATTGCAGCTTTTTAACGCTTTATTTGAATAATTATAACAACTCTGATATCAGTCTTTTGCATTACTCTGGTTTGTTACCCGCGTTTTATAGAAACTAGAAGATAAGATGCTTTTGATGAAAACTGATTACAGGAGCGTGAAATAGAGTTCAGTAGAAACTATGATCAACTTACCAAAGGAGATGGTGTGTAAGAGGCATTCATGCAAACTGCACGTAGATAAAAACAAATAAATAAGTACATAAATAAACAATAAAAAAAGTTACTACTTAATTGTCATAAGCATATCTACTATATCTGCTTCAGTAGAAATACCGATAAAATATACTTAATAATGCAAATGTGTCTTGCTGGATTTAAATGCAACCTCGGTTTTCTTTTACTTTTTTTGCATTTGGAACTTAAGTTGTTTGCCTCCTTTTAAGTTCGTCAAGTTTATAGAGGCTTAACATAAAATCAAAAAATAGCTTTACCATTAGCTTCAATTCTTTTATGAAACGCATGTGTTTTGATCGCCATACAGCAGCCACACTCGTGATGATGCTCTGCGCAGCTGCAGTGACGACGCATAATCTCCACTGACGAAGGCATGACGTCATCCTCCCCTAGAACAGGAACATGTTGTCAGTTTCAAGCACGACCCATTGGTAAAACAAAATTGGATCGAACATTTGGTAGATATTTAATTTCACTATGTCGAATGCCCAGGTAAAATTTCAAATATTTCGATTTATTAGATTTCTCGAAAGAAAACAGATTTTCGGATTCAGAGTTATTAAACAGATTATAGAAGAAAAACGTGTAACTTCTATGAAACATATTAGACCTCGTTACCTTTATTGGTTTTTAATTGATTTTTTACTCAGTCTTGACTTGTATTATTTATTCATTTATTTTGAAGGGCTTGTTTAATGGTGCGTGTCTTTCTTCTTACTTTGTTAAGCTTATATTTGTTGGAATGCCTACTACTGTAGATTCCAAAACTGAACGCTAAGAAGACATCTCCATATAAGGGCAAGGACAAGAAAAAAATTCCCAGCTTCGGAAGAAGGGAAGAATCAAGAGCTTTATAAATCATAGCTCCCGTCTGTTTCATCCACCAGGGAGCTTAATCAATCAAAATTGCACAGCAACGAAAACGTCTGAAAGAGCAATATCACACTTCACTTTCTGGGACATATTTCTTGCCGTCACTGCACCACTACGACCTGAAATTTGCTAATGCAACGCGGAGGTTTTATGGAACGTTTTTTTCTAGTCTCTTCCAGAGTATGAATATAATTCAAGAAGAATTCGCCCATACTTAACAATTTGAGTAAGTTAAAATAATCTTATCTAAATAGCGAACGCTTGAATGTACTCTCTATCTGACGTTCTCGTTGCCAGTGAACTTCTTATTGGCTTCTTTAACTCCCTTCTTATGTTTTTAGAATGGTCCTTTAAACTAATGGGGTTCGGTTAACCTCAAAGTAAATAATGCATTTCGATTTGAATTTTTACTTACCAACATCCCGAGCTGCCGGCACCCCCCCGGCAATCGTGACAAAAGCTACTCCAGCTAATACGGCGACAAAGATGTTCTTCATGATGCTAAACTCTCGAAGATTTGCTAAGAAAATGATTTATGGCGATTGAGTAGGATTTCGTTCTCCCTTTTATAAGTGATCTTATGTAAACACGCAAACATTGAATAACAGCACAAACCAATCAAACAAGGCACCATACGAGGGGTAACGCCCTTTTAAGGAAATCGTTTCTAGAAAGTGAAGCGATGTAACGGCTTTTACTGGTAACCTTGGTCGTCATGTATGCTTGTTTGGCAATATAGCTTAGCTTTCTAAACTTCTTTCATTTTCCACAGGGATTCCCTGAACGGCGATACCACTTGAAAATGAAAACTTGTCACACGATCAGACTGTTTTCGGAAGCAAAAAATACAAGCTTCAGATACCCGCTTGCCGACTGATAATGTAAAGGGACAAAAAAAATCCGTCATTGTCGAGACCAGTAAAAAACACTTCCTTTATCATGGAACTAAATTTATTTACCTGATGACAAAAGACGTTTCCATTTTTTCTCACTATGTAAAACAACATTGCCATCATCAATATGAAAAATTAGAATCTGAACACGTTTGAAAACGGAAAGGTCGTGGTTCAGGCTAAATTAGTCACGGTCAAAATTCAGAGAGAAATGACAAATCATGAGACGTCAGCTTTTTTTCTTAGCAGGTTGTTCATCTGACCGGTCCTCCTGAACTGACCATTAAAAATTATTTGATACCCGCTAATAGCCGCCCCCCCCCCGTTTTATAGAAGATATCTTAAGTCAAGTATAGGAATCTACACTGATGCTTGTGTCCCCTTTGATGAAGATTTCACTGTTTCAACCCTATTGTGCGCAATTGTAAATTACAAACGAAGTTGATACAGGCCGTAAAGTATGTCTAAATAATGTTTATACTTTAGCTTACCGGGAAAACCTTTCAGAGCGTTATGACTGAATCATAAAGTCCTGAACGGATTATAATTTCGTGTTAGACCTCGTTACTAAACTTTCGTATGCTGTAAACTTGTCTTAGCGTGCTTTTCTCTTAACTACCCCCCTCAAATAGCTGCGGGCATCGCTTATTAAAAAATTGCAATTTTAAATAAAGTTCTTGTTGTTATTGCCTGTATAGCTCACTACCCTTAAGTATGTGAGAGACTATGCTGTATTTATAGTTTTCCCAGGAGCTTTGATCAGAATAATGTCACGTTTTTTCTCACGTAACTCGAATGTTGAACACCCCAGGTATAGACCCGGGGGGGGGGGGATCAGGTGTAGAGGTGTGCCGACAAGTCCTTCATACCCCGACCTTGGTTAAGACAAGGGATCTTAATTCATGACCCTGCTACATTTCGTTTCGCATGGAGAGTTAAGTAATTTTTTAGACTAATATCATGGAATAAGATTTTTTGGAAAAACTTGACCATTGGTACAACTAGGAATGCAAATGTATGCTAACAATTGAGATGAAAGCAAGGCTTAATATTTTTTTCAATTAGGAGTTTTTTTGTCAGCTAATATGAGACGATTCGTGCATCACCCAACTCCAACCCAAAAACAAACCAAAGATTAACCCTAGTGGTTTTTAAAGCTCAAAGATCGATTATCCTTGTAAGGGTTGAGAAGTTGAGCGAAGTTCAACTTTTACGCTTACGAGCGAACTATCATACATCGCCTCTATTTTATTTGGGAACAGAAACGCACATACGCACGTAAGACACCGGAAATCAACCCTTATACTGAGTATCTATGCGTTATAAAATAGAGTGGTAGCGAGATCAAAGGACTTGATCATACCAGATGAATTATACTGATACTACTTCAACTGGAAGTGTATAGGGACAAATAAATGAGAATATTAATTTTGATATTTGGGTTTTAAGGCGTAAGAATAAAACAGAGCTCGTATAAAATTAAACAAGGGAGTGTTTCGTGTGGATGTTTTTAAAGAGATAAAACGTGTCACTTGTATCCCTATTGACTAGGAGTCAGTGAGCAGTCGATTTGCTCTATTATTCTCACAGAATTTTACATCTTTCAATTTTAATATTTATTTTGTTTGCACCGGGAAACGATCAGAACATTGAATATTCAACAATGAAAACAATCAGCGTATTTAAATGATCGAGCCAGTAGATAGATGTGTTATCTTCCACCTGTCTTGGATTGGGTTTATATGCAGATTGTTCGCAATTAAAAAATATGAAGAGCTAAGAAACAGTAATTTAAAGTTGCTTTACATTTAACAAAAACCAGTAAACGACGAGCTGAAAATAGCAAGCTTTTAAGGATGACGTCGATCATACCATTATCTCTCAGGAGTTTTAATTTTTCTACCGTGATTCTTTTGACATGGAAACACAAAATATAAATTACATATCAATACTGTTAAATCTTTCACTCAGTTAGTCAAAGTATACAAAAAACGTTCTCAAATTTTCCTGATTTTTGTCGCATTACATTTTAATCTTAAAATACGTGGCAAGGAACTTAACATCGGCATCAGCGAGTAGCCAAAGATGGATGGATGGCAGTTTTACATAATATTAAATAATTCCATTCTCGAGTAAGTCACGACGTGCCAAGTTAACATCACGGCGAAAAATAGACGTTGGTTGGCGTTACTTTATATTTTAAATCTCTTGATCCACTTACGTCAAGTTATAGAAGAACTTTTTCCAATTTATCTCTGAGAATTAAAAAAGCCTCTGCTACGGAAATCAATTAGAAACGCAGAGAATTCACTTTATCCAACAATATGCTTTATATTCCGGCGCTTGTCGGCTTTGTACATTGTTTATAATCTTTTTACCAGTGCTACTCCTCAATGTTAGATATTTCCGTTACTGAATGGTCTTCTGCTCCATTTGTTTTTGCTTCGTTACGTGTTTTTTCTTCTTCCGGTGTCTTTTTATCCTCTTTCCCCTTCGTTTCTCCTTCTAACTTTTGATACAGAAGCGGTCTGTCCACATCGCCCGATTCTCGACTACAACAACGGTTGCCCATTTCAGCAGCTAGGTGTTTCGACAAAATGTAATGTTGATCGCTTTGTTAGTTTCACCTTCCTGGCCTTGAGCATGAATTTTCGTTTACAGTCACTTGTCACGAGATACCCTGCCTATAAGAAGGTCATCTCCCCGTTTGAATATCACTCACACCACTGCTGAGTTTACAAGATATCTCACTGGGGATATGCCACGTGTCCTGCGGCTTTGGCGCAGCCAGAACTGGAACTACTATGAAATCGAGGCTATTGTTAAGGGCAAACAAACTAGGAAAAATCTCCTCGGACCGGGCCTAGTACTCCGAAGTGTTGTTTTGTTTTGTTGTTATTATTGCTAACAATCTAAATTACATTCTTCGAAATTAGATTGCTCTTAACACTTGTGCCTGATTAGAAAGAGAGAGGAAGGATGGCGATCCCTTGTGGCGATCTATTACGTGGCAAAAAATACCCTAATTTTCTCTTTGCAGGATCTGCCATGAGCGCCGATATACTTCTGGTTTCTAAAACAAAAAAAGGGTTATTTAGAGCGAGGGTGATCTTTGATCACTAAGAAGTCCTTCCGCTCTTGTTTGTGTGCGCTATTCTCGTTCAAACTGGCGTGGCGAAGCGGAGAAAATTATGGTCTCGTTTAGCCGGAACTACTGCATATTCGATTAAGAACCATTTCGTCACTTACCGAAAATTCCTGAATGGTCATTGCTGGTGACTGTTTTAAAAGATTATTAATAATAATAATATAATAAACACAAACAAGAACGGAAGGACCTCTCCAACATCTGAGATCAAACTCGCTCGATGAAATAATTTTTTTATCTGTTGGAAACGTGTTGTTCACCAAAAGGAGTGCAGTGCGCATGGCAAATGCTGGAAAGGGAAAAGGGTATTTTTAGCCACGTAATAGATCACCATTTACTTTCTTCCTTTCTCTTTCTAATACACAAGAGCAATCTGATTTCGAACTATTTAAAGTACTCGCGAACTTCAAAAAAACAGTTGTCTAATATAGTTTTGCTCAAAATTCAAACTTTTGGTAAAAGTTGTTGGAACTTCAGGTATGGTGACAAAATACTCCGTACAAAAGAGTCGTGGCAAATAAGAGTAACTGTACAGACGAAATGTCTGCAGAAAGTATTCTCGTCTTTTCTCTTCTTTTTTTTTTTTTTTCGTTTTCTGTGGTGAAATAAACTTAACTAAACACCTTATCCCAAGAGAGCCAGAGTAGCTTTGCTCCATTAGGTTTCACCCGCAACTGTTCCTTAGCATATGCCTGGCCATCATCTGTCAACTGCTTATCTGCTTCCAGTTCTGGTACATTCAGTGAAGTTCCACTTTTGCAACTCGAAACCTGCCCCTTTAAAAACCCCCCTATATTGCAGCTCATTTTAACTCATACACTTGATCAACCGTATCTTCCTCAGCGATCATGATGTCATCAACATATCAGACTCCAAGGTAGCCCTTCACTGAACGATTGCTTAAAGACTGGGCCAGCTCTCCAAAACGTGCTCTGGAGTGTACTTCTTGCAGGTGCGGATTCGAGAAGCAGATCGCGACGCACTTCGATATTTCATTGGATAAAGGATTAAGACTCATCACAAGTTGAGACTTTGAGACTCACGAGAGGCTTTGTTCGGACTTGTACAGTCGCCTTTTCTCCTTGCAGGGACCTTGAAACAACATTTAGAAACTTTAGGAACTGAATACCCAAAGCATGTGGAGGAAATCGGGCAGGCAGGCATAGCTTTAAATAGGCTGATCACGTGTAGTGATTGATGTGCTTAGATGTGTAGTCCATGTGTGGATGTATGCTATGCGATAATTATTATTATTGTAATTGTTGTACTTTGGAATAAATGATACAAAAAAAATGTGGAGGAAATCATGAGGAGTCTTTATGTTGCTGACATCATCGTTGGGGAAGATACGGTTGATCAAGTGCATGGCAGCCAATCCTAGAAGCGCTTTGGAAGGATATGCAGTGAGGTCTGTGTATGGATGGACAGACAGTACAGTGGCCTTGCATTGGATTACCGGTTAAGATAACTAAAGACAATTTGTGTCCAGTAGAGTGGCACAAATTAATGCCGATGCCTATATGAAGTGGAAGTACAGTCGACTCCCGATAACTCGAACCCTCGCTAACTCGAACCTCGCGCTAACTCGAACCAAAATCGATTTCCCCTGGATTTCCGTCATACATTCACTGTAATTTTACCCTCGATAACTCGAACTCCCGCTAACTCAGGGGCGGATCCAGGATTTTTTTAGGAGGGGGTGCACTAGTCTCTTGCTCTACTTCAACACCAATAAGCCACATAGGTTTTTTTTTTTGCGGAATACCAGTTGTATTAGAAAACCGCAGGTCATCTCAGGGGGGGTGCGCACCCCCTGCACCCTCCCCCTAGATCCGCCCCTGTAACTCGAACCAATTTTCGTTTCCCCTCAGGTCATTTTCTATATAATCTTACCCTCGATAACTCGAACCATGTTTTGAGCCCTTAAAAAGTCGGGAAAAAAGCCGTCTACAGGCGTCCGAAACATTGAATTTTGCATTTCCTATTGACGTGTTGTAGGAGTATAGTTTCCTGGTGGAGGCTGATGTTGATTGTCACAGGATAACGTGAAGCAGCTTTTCTTCTCAAAACAGTAAAACGCATGATCTATTTAGGCTGTGTTTTGTTACGTTAGGTTCTGATTTAAAATCTAGAAGTATCTTTTAATTTTCACTTGACATTTCTACAATTAAATGTGATTGAAATATTCACTGTGCAGTAAAAACTGTTTTTTACGTTACTCTCGGCTATTTTCATCGAACTCCCGATAACTCGAACCTTTTTTCGATTTCCCTTGAAGGTTCGAGTTATCGGGAGTCGACTGTATGTGGGAACAGGCCAAAATCCAGCTGACGTGGGGAGCAGAGGCACCCTGTCTAGAGAGCGTCTTGAAATCTGGCTAAAGGGGCCAAGCTGGCTGTCCAAACCAGAAATGTGGCCAGCGGTGGGTGAAAACTAGACCAAGTAAGGAGACAGAAGCAGAGGCCAAGTTAGTAAAGGAAGTGGAGGACACCCTACACCAGGTTTTAGAGAAAATGGATTCTGGAATACAAGACGTATCACGTCATGAGTAGCAAGATTTATCCAAAACTGTAAGAAAGGCAAAAAGTACCGGGTGTCCCTTCCATTCCGGCAACGTATGAGACTGACAAGCAAGTTAAATTCTGGGTAGGATGAGCTCAAAACAGCAGGTTAAACACAAACAAGTTCCATGAAGACCAGCTCAAACTTTATTTGCAGAAGAATGAAGAGGGTCTGTACAAGTGTAGAGGACGAATTCAGGGAAGCTACCCTATCTACTTACCACCAGATGCCTTGCTAACAGAGAAAATTGTCTGTGATAAACGTGTGCTAGGTCTTCATGGGGGAGTGGGACTTAGGATGAGTTTTATTCGTCAACAATTTTGGGTGCGGCGGCTAAGACAACTCACAAAGAGAATTATGGGTGCAATAAGTTCCTACTTTTTCAAACCCATCAGCTGGAAAATTGCCAACAGAACGGAAGGATCTGCCCCTTTCGAAGTAGTTGGCCTAGACTTTGCAGGACCTATGGGGTACAAACTCAAGCCAAAGAAAGAAGGGAAAACCATATATTTTGTTATTTGTTTGCAGCTTAACCAAAGCTGTCCACCTTGAGTTGCTGCCAAACCAAACAGCTGAGGAGTTCATCAAGCATCTCAAACGGTTCATCGCGAGAAAAGGCTGCTTCAGGAAGATTTATCCGGATAGCGGGCGAACTTTTGTTGCCGCAGCAAAGTGGTTGAAAGGGGTGGTAAAACATGAACAGCTTCAGAACTACCTCGCTCCTCAGGGAATAAGGTGGCAATTTAATCTAAGCAGAGCCCCATGTTTGGGGGCGGGGGGACACAATTTGAGAGACTTGTGGGCTTCGTAAAACGGGCATTGTACAAGAGTATTGGTTGAGCTAGCTTACGTGGAACGAGTATGAGGAAGTACTCGCTGGATGTAGAAATAGCGGTGAATAATTGCCCTCTGTTATGTGTGGAATACGACGTACAGCTAGCTGTTTTGACAGCCATGATGTTCGGTCGACCTAGACTTGTGCCAGGAGATAACACAGAAGAAAGAGATGCTGACTTGATGAAGAGAGTGAAGTATCTACGCCGGTGTAAAGAGGTTCTATGGAATCGATGGAGTGGGGAATAGCTGAAGTCTTTGAGGGAGAAGAGGGAGGGAGAGATGTCAAATACACCTTCCCTTGGGGTACATTTTGTTTGATTTATATGATATAAATTGCAATGCATAATTCCTTCTCACTCCCATTCAAATAGGAGATAAGAGTCCGTCAGAACTCTTTCGCTATTTGTGCCTCAACTTTCACAATTGTGTTAGCATAGTATTTTGTGATTAAATTTGACCAGCATTTTCTGCAGCGCGTTGAACGGTCTCAATTGGCTTCAAACTAGTTGATACAAAACTAGAGAGCTCTGAGCTTATTTGCTGAAGTTAGGGGAAAATGTGTCGTAGTTGCAAAAAAACCGTTGTAAAAAAACTGCCGATGTCTCAAAGGTTTTTATACCAACAAGATAACAGATAATACTTTCTTAAAGTTCCACTATTCCCCATTAAGGATGCAGAAAATCGGAGAAATCAATTGAATTTTTACTGCCGAAAAGCGCCATTTCAAGACGTGAGAAACATGCTAATAAATGGGCAAAATGGAAGCAAAAACCATGCACACTGGTAACTGGTTCAAACAGTCACGTGAGGCATAAAATTCGTGGCAAGGGACTCAAGGTAGCCAAAGTTAGATGGCGGTTTTACATAATATTAATTATTATTGATTCAAAATATTTCCCCGATTCTGATTGGCTAAAAGCACACGTTCAATTCACCATAACCAGTTACTGATGACCAAATTTGGAAGAATTTTGTGTTTAGCGAGGAAATGACGTCAAAAATGCAGCGTTCTTGCGGGTTAATGCACCGTTAACCGAGAAGACCTGGGGACGAGGTTGAGTTGTTTTGGTTATGAACGTGAAAAATGGCGGACATTTCACTCGTCTCAAGAGTAAGAACTAGGCGAAAAAATAGCTAAAAAACATGGCAAGAACAGCAAGAAGACAGCTCGAAGGGCGACATCTGCTATTTGGAGAGTATTTGCGGAGCTAAACAACCCTAAACGTGCGCTATCGAAGATGAACTTAACATCGATGGATCGATGGAGGTAAGCATGTTTTAGACATGTTTTTAAACTAGGAAATATTTTGAATGAATGATAAAGCAATTATTGAATTCGGCTTTTGTATCATATGAAGAATTATGGAGATCTCGGAGGGTGTTATCCGCCTCGGCCTACATAGCCTCGACGGATAACACCCTCCTCGATCTCCATAATTCTTCATAAGATACTCAGCCTCATTCATTAATTGTTAAATAATTCCATTCTTGAAGTAAGTAAATTCATAAGTGCGCAAATAATGAACTGAATATTCTCGATAACAATCCGCAAGCAGTTGTATCATCCAGCAGTTTATTTTGTCTTTGAGGACAATAAACTTGTCTCTTCTGACAGGTATAATTCTATATAATCTTGGTTAACATGGCATAACATCCGCTTTACCAACGGATCTGGCGAGATAAACAATGTCAATGATCTCTCATATATCCACGAATCATTCAAGAAGATTAATAACCTTTTTTTTGTAAAAAAACAAACTAAAACTATACTGAAGTTTAAATAACTTCTTTGGACCAGAAGTAATAAATAACAATCGCATATACAGCTGTATACAACTGAGAGCTAAGGAGTACTGAAAGACGAGCAAACACGCCTAAAAGTGTTGATTACAACTCCCAACAATGCATGCTGGGAAGAACACTGACATTACCAAAGATTCCATAACACGACACAAAACTTACTTAATCCTGAGATGATTAAAGGAGCTGTGTATCGAAATTTACCAAAATTCAAAAAGTGGGACCTGTCACAAAATTGAATGAAACAAAAAAAAATAACCGCGCTAAACGTTAAAAGAAGGTATAAATAACACAACAAATACAAAAGAACTAAGGCCCGGATGGACAAAACTTGAAGAAGATAGAAACGGACTTCACTTGTGGATTTTGAAAACTTGTTAGCCTAACAGTTTTTCAAAGTTCATTTTTGTTGTTGGCAATGTTCAAAATAATGCTTGGGAGATGTATTTTTTTGTTCGGGACAAAGTTGTGCTTTTGTTATTCACAAGTGATTTCTCAATTTTCTTAGCGACTAAGGAGATGTCATTGGTATTACAAACAAAATGAACTAGCCTGTCGTGACAGAGCCCCTTTAATTTAGTCTGTAAACAACATTGTTCAGTGGACACTGCGCACACTCAAAATTGCAGCCAACTTGTGTTTCATGACGAATATTATCTAACCTCGTTCCCACGATGCTCTCCTACTTTCTCTCTCTCCGGTGGCCGAGTAGCAGAGAGCCTGGAACGAGGTTGGAAAATTATCATGGGAAAGTCACTCACGTATTCAATCAACCGTTTTAGAAGTTTATAGTAGTTTAACATGGTAAACAAGACTATTGTAACAAAGACCTGTGACTGAAAATACAATGGATTTTTGATACGCCATAACTGCATTTTCTCCAGCTATAGGGAAAACCTGTTCGATTCGACAACTATTTTAACACAGCACCAAGTACGTTCTTGAGGGACTGAGAGAACAACTGCAACAGCATAGTTTTATCTCTGTGGGTGACGAGGAGGTCTCTTGAGATTTGAAGCTGTCTTGGAGGCTACCACGGGTTTCCCAGTATTCCAGTGGGACTTGTAAATAGCAAATCCGTCTACTGAAATGGAGATAGTCTTGGAAGGGATCTTAGTGAACTCTTTTCCGCCGCTGTTATATCTGAAATGAAACAAGAGAAATGATAAACTTGTAAACTTGCCAATCAAACAAAACCTACCCTTTGACAAAGGGGTATACGGAGGGAGAATTCCCTACGGTAGAGGAAAAGTAACAGCTACGTTATAGAAACTTTTATTCGAGATATTTCCCAAATGTGCGAATTTATAGTTATGGTGTACGCTCCTCACGGCAGGCGTTTTCTAGGGCCAGAATCTAAAGCTGCTGCTTTTATGTTTGTAAATTCCTCCACTTCATCTTACGTTACAAACATCCAATGAAATTTATTATGAAATTCCAGGAAATTTTTAAAGACGTTTTCAAGGGACCTGAAAGAAACCTTGATGAATTTCAGAAATAGTGACTTATATTGAGGCAATCATTGCATAATCCAGTACCAATCTTGATTATATACTATATGTCATTACAATATCGATACTTGACCCTGGTTCCCCGTGGTAAGCACTCGAACCAAAAAGTATTTTATTGCTGTAATACCCGTGGCGTTTGAATATAAATTAGCATCTGTTAATGGCTACAAAAAATGTATATCAGGGACCACTGAATTCATTATTATGTTCTAATTCGCTTCGCTCAATCGAACGTAAATTATTTTTCCCCTAAATGCCGACTCCTGATATGGTGTAAGCAAACGCCAGAGTGAAAGCGAGAGCGACAGGAATTAACTACTCTAGCGGAACCTTAAATACCAGAACTATCCAATCACAGAATCCCTGGAGAACACGCCTAATGGCGTGTATCACAATAGCGCAAAAATAACCTGCTAACGAACTGTATAAAACTCTTACTGCCACTACAGTTAGATATTAACTGATTTATTGATTGTAGTCTTTCTCCTTTGAATTATCAAAAAGCGAATTCCTTGCAGCGCAAAATAAAGATGTTGATAACTTACTTGTACAGAAATTCAACCATTTTGCTCGTCACCACGCGAGGCCCGATTCCAAATACTTTGAAGAGCTACAAAGAAGATGGAATTCATTAGATAAATACCATATATGCCGACCGTTCAAATCAAACCTCTTTCAATAGCCACGTGTAAAGAAAACTAACCTGGTCGTTATCAAGGTTGTGTAGATATATTCCACGGAACTTAAGACCATCTTTAAATAAAATCATGAAGTGATGACCGTCAGATTCAGATATAGCCTGAAATAAAACCAAAAAAGATCAACCTTGAGAACATGTTTAATAACAATTACTAATATAGTACAAGGTCTTCTGCGCGCAACGGCTTGAGAAACGTTTTTGGGAGGTGCGGCGACAGAGAATTGAAGGAATACCTCAACCCCCACAGAGGGCTTGCTCGTAGACTTGAAATAAATTCTTATTTTGGTAAATCGCAGGCTACATGGAGCAATCTATAACTTATGGACGAACTAAACTCATTTAGGCGGAACAAAAACGGGTATTTAGGAAACGCTCTTCAAGTAAAGCGTCATCGCTCCCAGTGGACAATGACGTAAGCTGTCAGAGAGTGTCTTTTAAAAAACGAAGATGTATTTACGTGACTGGCGTGGATTGGCGATTTTTGTGTTTTGCGGGAACGAATTTTTGCGATTAGGACAGATTGGGTTTTCTTGCTGGGAATTAATTTTTGCGATTTTCAGAAAGTCCCGGACAAATTATTGATAATAACATTTTCGTTTTTATTGAGTACGTGAAATAAAAATACACACAATCGAAGCTCTACTTGCGACCATTCTCGTAAGCGACCAGCTCTAATTACGAACACCTTTGTGACACCCCGTTTGAACTGTGACTTAAACTTTGTAATGAAAAGTTCTCGTAAGCGACCGCGACCACCTTTGGGATTACTCAACTTGACTTTTCCTTTGTTTTTAAGCTCTCGTAAGTGACCACTCAGACTCTTATTCATGTACATGAACTCTTTAATGAAACTGCACACTGCTCTAATGGTTCGTTGATAAAGATCTTGTACAATGCAGTATTGTATTTGTAAAAGTTCAATAAAGTTCAGATATAAAGACACTCATTAAAAACTAATTTCTTTTTTATTTCTTTATGAAGTATTAATGAGTTTCTGAAGCTCTCGGAAGCGACCACCCTCTATCGTTTTACCTTGCAGTCGCTTTCGAGAGCTCGGTCTCGTAAGCGACCAGCTCTAGTTAAGACCACTTCGAATTTCCGATGCGGTCGCTTACAAGAGCTCTGACTGTATTTTCCAACAAAACTACGGTGTGCGTACCGTATGCAAAGGAGTAAAACAAATTACTTTTCTCTTTGTCATTCGATTACAATAGTATCTGCGGTGACTGATTGTTCTGATGATCGATCAGAAGTGATTTCATTATCAGCTGATGCATCGTCTTTATCAATTCTACCATTTATCGGTTTCTCTCTGAACGAATAAGACAGGTTGTAAATGAACAGACACGATTTCTCAGTACTGAATTTTTTGGACCTTACTTAAGTTTACTCTGGGTAAATTTTTGCGGGCAAACAGTTTGCGGCAATATATATATATTTTTCTTTTTGCGGATCGCAGGAAAAATCACAAGAAATAGAACCCGCAAAAAATTTCGTGCCACAAGGTTCTCCAAAGACACAAAAAAAAAGCAGTAAAGAGAAAAAAAGTGGCCAGCATATCCGTGTGAGTAATGTTTTCCCGCCATCGTGTTTGGAAATACTTGATATTATTCATTTTAACAAACCTGTAGGCACTTTTCTTTTTGATCCTGGTTCACTGTTCCTGACAAACACACGTATGATATGGCGTTCATGATGATCTTCCTGTTCGACTTCCCACTCGGTTTAACGTAACACTGAGGACCTGATAACAGAAACACTGACAGTTTAGAGTAGTGTTCAATCGACTGTCGTAAAACTGAAACCAAAGAAATTTCTCTGGAAAATCAATGACAGGCAGACTGTCAAAAGAACCAATCAGAACCAAGAAAATAAATGTAGCCGGCGCGGGGAGCGAGATAGCAATGAATACCAAGAAAGTAATCACAGTATAGCATTTCTTAAAATATTTCGTGGCCCGACGCTTTGCACTTGATTCTCGCTCGGCTTCGCTCACATTTTTTGCCTGCTTTCTCGGCTTTACAGCTTGACTTCAAACATAATTGGCGCGGCCAGTCGAGAAAATAAAATTCTGAGTGCTCCCAACAGAAGTCAGAAGTCCAACTTATAACTTTTAACACTATTTTGGATGCTCTAAGCGCCAAACTCTGAAAGGCTTGTCCGGGCTTAGCCAAATCAACCAGGCTCATAACTCGGAAACATCCAACACACTAACAACAAATGTTCGTTTAAGTCGCAATAGATGATACGAAAATCAAAAGAGAAGACCGCACATACCACTAAACTCCGCAAATCCAGAAGGCTGCGTGGGACCCTGTACGAAATAGCTGCTTGCGTCATCATTTGCATCATAGCGCTGTTCCTGAGGCCCCGGGCGGCGGTAAGTGGCGAAGGAGTCTGGGACTCGCGGGGCTTGTGCTTCTCTGATTCTCAGTTCCTGTTCGACTCTTTGTCGTTCCAATTCTTCTTTACGACGTCTTTCTTCTTCCACTCTTTGTAGCATCTCTTTTTCGCGTTGTTTTTCTTCTCTTTTTCTCTTTTTTTCAAGCTCCGCTTCCTTCCTTGTCCTGTCCTCCTCTTGTTTCTTCTGTCTCATTCGCAAGAACTTGTCTCGTTTTCTTTCTTGTTCTGGAGTCAAGCACTGCATAAATTATATGCAAACATAATATTTTAACACACGAGTTTATGCATAAGAGGTGAGACTGATTTGATTCCGGTTAAGACAAACCGCTTACGCAAATAGAAACGTAAATCAGATTTACCTTAAATTAAATTATCCTAAAGGGTAATGCGTAGCTGTTACATTCTAGCAACTTACCTGACCTCCGGGGCTTGTATCATCACCTATAAACATGGCCAGTCCTTTCTTGTACGGAGTGTGATGTTCCACCTCTATTTCTCCAGTACCCTCTTCAGGAGAGACAGTTTCTTCCTTAAGCTCCATATTTACAGCCGCTGTTTCAGGTCGGACCAACGGGGATGGGGTAGTCACGTGGCTAACGTCTACATTCCAACACTTACGTGCGGGTGCGGTTTGGCGAGTAGCTGCTGGGTCATGTGATGACGGGCGCGTCGGTACCGAGCTGCTCTTGGAGCTCCCTTCGACCGCTGAGTGGGAAGACGGACGTGTCATGTCAGGGTTGGGTCCTGAATCATTACGAGGAGGATAATCCGATAGTCGGAACTCTCGCGTCTCAAACTGCTGACCTTGAGAACCGCGTTGTGAAGCAGGGAGGGGAGAGTTAGAAGGGGATGACCAAGCAATAGGAGGCGACGATTGATCTGGAAATTCGGCCACAGGCTTCCTCGGCTGGTCCTGGGATTGAGACTTCATAACAGTTGCCTTGTCGGATGTCAGCGCCTACAATAATTACAACATCAAAAATGCAGTGTATCTATTTAAATTTACCAAACGCTGTTGAACACTTCCATTACACACTTTGTAACTGAGGGAAAATAAACAGTTTACCCTTGTTATTTCATAACATAACCTTTGTCAAATTAGCTTTGTTCAGCTAAGGACAAAAGATGAATTTACAAAAGCCAAGTTTGCAGTGTTCAAAACTGTTCTTACGAAATCACATAACTAACCTCAAACCCAGGTCCCTCTCCAACAGCCTGACCTCCTTGAGCTTTTCCGATTACATACCAAAACGCAGTTTGTCCCAGTCTCCGACGCTGATCCTCCCACTCAGCTTGGGCACGATGTTTCTCAGCCTCGATATGGCGCCGTTTTTCGTCAAGCTGCATGCGCAGGTAAGCCAGTTGTGACGTCACAGCTTGATCATCTTCGGCATCGGCCGGTTCCAATTCCTCAATTTCACCTTAAACACAAGCCTTTGTTAATCGCACGTCGTTACAAACCCATGAACGTCACGCAATCTAATGCCAATTAAAATTGTTTGCCCAAACAGTTACCTAACAAAACAGCTGGTACTGGACTACGGAAAAACAACACCGTGGCTGCAGAAAAGAGAAATTTAGGTATGTTCTGGTTCCCTCTGTTTATACTTCTTGTCATCATTACCATAACCAAAAACCAAAGAATTTTAACATTGCAGCAAGGATAGAATTGAGCCACAACACGTACATTCACAAAGGGTGATCAACACAGTTCTACCAGACCTATTTTTGACCTCTTCAAAAATACACCACTATACAGCATGGCCTAATCTTACCTTCTTCATTACCTAAGGCGAGCTGTTTCACAGAAATCGTTTTTTCCACTGAATGTAAATAGGCTTGTCCTAACTAAATAAAGTACTAATGACTACAAATGAACGCCTAATGTGAATCTGTACTTCTTCATTCCCTATTTGATTTCGTTTTTAGGATTTGACGAATTCGCTTTTTTTTCTTTTTTTCTTTTTGGCGGGGGGGCGGGGGGGCAATTTCTAGTAAGTGAATTTTATCTCAAGAACTTCGGCGTGAATAGAAAGGAGAAAATGATCAGCCATAATAAATCCTCGCGGGGAATCATTATGCCAACAAACCTTTTGCCTCCGAACCAGAATCGGTTATTTGATTAAGAACATCAGTAGGAGATATTCCACAGTCATCGGCAACATCCATAAGACTCGCAATTTGGTCTAACACACTGCCGCTAGGGCGCCATGTGGCCCGTCTACGAGTAGGCGCGCTGCTTGACACTGCCAAAGGCTCCTTTGTTTCTAGCCCCACTATTTCAGCATCCCTTGTGGGTAACAAGTCAGTATCAAGTGTACATTTGTATCCGGAAACTTGGCGATTTCTATCAGTACTTTCCAACTTGCTGCAATTGGATGAAGAGGTGGCGTTTTTTGTATCCCTAACGTCTTTTTTAGGTTCCAAAATACCAGAAACCTTTTCAACCTTGTCATCGTTAATCTGGAATTTCGAAAATGTTTGCTGGGGACGAGTAGAATCAAAGAACTCTATTACAAATGAATCAGGGTTTGACTGCAAAGAGTTTGGTTTCTTCAAAAACTGTCGTTTTGGTTTTGGTGGCGACTTCCTTCTTCCAATACTCGATTTAATAGGAATGGAAGTGTTTTGATTATGTTCGCTTAGTTCAAACTCTTTCGTATCATCTGATTTCAAAACAATACTGTTTGACAACTTCTCAAGAGCTTCGATCACAGGTATATCACGCGATATCTCGTCCACGTGATCAAGCGTAAACGTTCTTCGGTTGGAGTCTTCGCTGACGTGCGAAAGCTCTATGGCGTTGTCAAGGTCTTTAACTGGAGCAACAACTTTTGCTAAATTCAAATCTTCATTTGAACTGTCAAGAATGTATGTATTGGCTCGAACACGCGAAGACTCAAAACTCTGAGAAGAAATATCATTATCAGAGAACGAAGACACAAATCCGGAATCGACAGACCGAGGTCTGACGTCCTTGAAGGACGCAGCTGGTTCGGCAGGTTTTTCAAAGCTTATGTCGTCTAAGAAATCCTCTACTGACGTACCAGACTGGAATGCCTCCTGAACGGCGAACGCAATGTCGCTTAGTGAATAAGCCTTTCGTATAGATGGAGGATAAGGAGACCCGTCGGGGGTGGTGAAAGAGAACTGCCCCTTTATGGCTGTTTCAGAGTAGCGTTTCCGTTTCCGGTTATCCTTTCCTAATTGCGTTATTAGTAAATCTCCGCTCATTGCCGCTAACGAGAATTCCGCGAGTTCATTTGTAAGTTCCTCTAGAGCTTGTATCACAGGTATTCCTGCCATTTTGGCATCTTCCAGAGTTCTACAAACATTCTCCAGTGAGTGTGTGTGCCTGTCACTCTCTTTTTCGGTCCCGTCGTTTATAAGGTCTGAATCAGATTTGGAGTTGAGACGCATGAGATTTGTCCTTTGAGACGCTTCTGATTTCCTAACTGAACTTACGTCTTTTAGCGTCTCTACAACCGGAATTCCCTTCGCTTTTGCATCGTCAATTGTCAGTGAGACGCTTTCCAAAGAATACGTATTCCGTTCGGACTCAGTGGTGTAAGATTCAGGACGAACTTCGTTTGACCCAAGCACAGAATCGTTATTCGACGTATTCTGCCGAGAGCTTTCTGTTCGCTGGGGATCTCTTGCCATTTCTTTAGCATTCGCTTCAAGCAGACGCTCGCAAGCTGATGTTAAGTAATCCAACTTTTGAACGACACCTAGGCCGCTAGCGATATTTTCACTACTGTGTGGTTTTGATGTCAAAGCTTCTTGGGATTTGACGTGGAAACTTATCGGCGACATCATTCGTTTTTTACTTCCATCATATAGACGTAGCTTGGTTCCCTCGCCGATGGTCTCCAGAGGACTGGCCAGTGCGTAGGTCTTCCTGTTGATTAGCTTCTCTTGTCTTCGATGTACAGCATCTGGTGTCTGTCTAACGGGGGAATCTTTAGAAGAAGTCAAATGTCCTAACGCGTCAACAACTGGGAGTCCCCTCTGCTTGGCATGTTCTAAAGTGTGGCTGACTTCGTCAAGGGTGTAAGTACCCCTGTTGTCTGCTCCTCGGTCTGGTATCTTAAGGCGTAACGGGCTCTTTGGTTTGTCCTTTGCCAAAGCCCCCAGTACTTCAATCACAGGTACTCCAGTATTCTTGGCGTGTTCAATTGACTTTGACACTTCATCTAAAGTGTATGTGCGTCTTTTGTCGATACTTTCTTCTTTCTCTTTACCCTCCTTACTTGTCTCTTTATTTCTTGCCAAATTCTCCAAAGTTTCCACTACAGGAATGCCTTCTTCCGAAGCAGTTTGTAATGCACATGACACTTCATCCAATGTATAAGTTCCTCGCCTTTCTTCAGAAAGCTGAATCTTCACACTTCCGTCCTCGGAAAGGTCATTTTTTGGTAAATGCTCAAGCGTCTTAACCACAGGAACGCCATCTTTCTCACCATCTTGAAAAGAAGCAGACACGTCCTCAAGGTCGTATGTGCCTCGTTTCCCTGAGTTCACCGCACGGGGCCGTTCGCGCCTGTGAGATGTTGGAAACTCTTCGTCGCTGTCGCAAGTCACGCAATCCTCAAGTTGTTCTAGGGTGTCTTCAAAGGTAGCTTCAAACTCGTCTCGGGTGATGGACGACAAAGAGTGTGCATCACATCCTTTTAGTTCATACGTCCCATCCCTAGTAGAGATATCACTGCCATGATGGACATGGGAATTCCGCTGTTGCTTTTCCTCCTTTGCTAAGTGGTTTAGTGTCACAGAAACTGGGATTCCCTTCTCTACAGCCTCCTCAATAGCGTGAGAAACTGTGTCTAAAGTGTAAGTTCCTCGATTCTGAGGATTTGGCTGACTTGTCACTTCTGAAGTTGTCTCAGCAAATGAATGGCGTTCCTTCTCAGATGCGAGCCAATGAAGAGCCTCCAATGTGGGTAAGCCTTTCTCTTCAGCCTCTTGCAAAGTCTGTGACACAGAGTCTAAGGTAAAGGTGCCACGCTTTGGAGTGTTTTCCTCGTCAGTTGACGAGGTCGATGACTGTAACTCATTTTTATTCGCGAGTTGTGATAATACCTGGCTCACAGACAAACCTTTGTTCTGGCCTTCTTGAAGAGTTTGCGACACAGGTTCAAGAGTAAACGTTCTGCGCTTTACAACAGATTCGTTATTAGCTGCGACTTTCGATGCCTGACATTCCTCCTCTTTCGCCAACTGAGACAAAACCTCTGATGGAAGCCAGCCTTCATCAGCTCCCCTTTGTATAGAAAGCGAAACCGAATCCAAAGTGTACGTCGATCGCTTTTCTGCCGATTCTTGTTTCTCGTCTGAAGGTGAATCCGTTTTGTTTGAGTTGACACCTTCATTTGGAAAATAAGTTTCGATCGCGTTATCAATTTCTCGAGACACGCTCTCCAAAGTAAATGTACTTCGTTTCAGGGGTGTTTCGTCTACAAGCGCCGAGGAATCATCGTGTGACTGCTGTTGGCATTGCTTTAATTCTTCCCTACTTGCTAGATCGTTTAGTATAGTTGTTATAGGTAGACCTTCACCATTTTCGTTCTCTGTCGACTGTGGTAAGCGTTCCAACGTAAAAGTGTCACGTTTTCTCTCGTCAGAATTCACGTCCACGAATCCGTGCCTTGTCACTGCCTCTTCCAGCTTGACATCTGAGCAAGCCAAACCAGCCTCGCCTACGTTCGATCGCTGTAGCTGAATCTTTGCACTCGATTTCTGTTGGTACTTGCGATTTGAACGCGTCTTTAAGGGCATAAACGGGGAATGCAATACACCTGGTTCTCCCTTTGCCCGTTTTGATTGAGGTTCGTCATCAAAGCCCACCTCAAATGCCACGAATCTGTCATTAACAACGCCCTGTTCGTTATCAACAGTTCCAGTTTCTCTTTTATCAATCGCCACTAATTCTCCATTATTTGCGGTTTCCTGCTCCTTCTTATTTACCGTTCCGAATTTTGCACTATTTATGGCTTTGACTTCCCTGTTATTTCCTAGACCGAAATCCACGGATTCAAGGTCGCTGCTATTTAGGATTTTACGTTCCTGCTCATTTATAGCTCGCGTTTCACAAGCTGACTTTCTCTGCAGATCTTTAGTTCGAAATCTTGACGTTACACGGGGAGGTGGTTGAGGTTTAGTGGCTTTTTGAAAGTCAATGTTAAACGCTACACCCTTTCCAGTGGTCAGGTTGGACTGTTCCCTACCTGACGTGACATATTCTTTGGTTGGTGTTAAATCCAAGCGTGACACACCGGCCGCGGCCGACAACGCTGCTATCCGGTCCCGAATACTTCCACCAGCAGGGGTGTCACGTTCAAAAGCGGTAGAGTTTGAAGAAGGATTCTCAAATGTTTTAGGCTCATTTTCAAGAGAGGTGAAGGCTGAAGCACTTGATATTTTCCCATTTAGCAAAAACCTAGAGGAAAAAGCTGTTTGTTTTTTATTTTCCAACGAAGAAGGGACAGGTGCGCTTTGTTTCCAAGGAGACGTCTCGTCTTGGAACATAGGTTTTGAGCGAAAGGCCGTCGCTGCCATAAAATGCGGTTTCTCATGGGTGAAAAATTCATCAGCTGAGTGCTTCGTTCTTGTGTCGTCCTGCATGCAACCTGCAAAATAATATGAATATTAAAGTCAATAAACTGCACACCAGACGAAAATAAATACTGCCTATACATAACAAATGGAGACAGCTTAGTGAAAAAAGTGACATCGCCAAAACACACGACCCAATGACCGTCGACGGCAACAAATTTAAGCATTCGAACGTCTGCGATAACACTGAACTTGAAGGGATCACTTTCACATTGCACAAGACAGGAAAAGACAGATGTTGGGGGAGGGGGAGCAGATTAATTTGCAATTAGTGGTGGACGTATAAATACGCCTTCCCAACATACGTGATTATATCACCCCTCGCGTGTCTCCCACGCGCACTATTACTTTCATGCGCCTGCTAAGTTATACGAAGGCTAGGCCGGCTTTTGAGGTTAAAGTTGGATTTGCTATTTGATAGGCCTGCATATATGACAAACATCGGGAATAACAACTGACAGCCACTAACTTTGAGAATGCCACCCTCCGTTTCCAAGTTAACAGAAGAGGCCACGATTTACAGTGGCCAAGTCTGAGAGCCAACATACGAGACATGTCGGGGGTGTTGTTATGCCGGAACCCAACAGAGCAAACTCAGCTCATGCTAGGCAAATATATTACCAACCCCTAGATGTAGCACTGTTATTGCGCACACATGATGGACTATATAAAACGGGATATAAAATTGCTTCCATTTTCATCAACAAAATATTATGTTCTGTAGAGGCTTTGTACATGTACGCCATTTTGTGGTGCATATGCTACCGGTCAGTATAAAAGACGGACTGCGGACTGCGGACCACGGACTGCGGACTGGGTATAAAATACGGACTAGGTATAAAACGCGGACTCCGGACTGAGTATAAAACACGGACTAGGTATAAAACGCGGACTACGGACTATGTATATAAAAACAGCTTTAGAAGGTAAAACTGAGAGAAATAGAAAGCGGACTAGCAAAAACAGTAGTCCCAGCTTTAACGCTGTTCACGTAGTCTATTCTTCCCATGGAGAAGGAAGGTTATGCCGGTACTCAAGGCAACTGACATTAAACTCTGAATTTTATGAAAAGAAGGAGTTTGAAGAGATTTCAATTTGCAGTTTTACACCAATAAGAAGCACCGAATTAAAAAAAAATAGTATTGGTATTAGTCAGATCAGTAAAATTCTTATCGGACGCCACAATTCCGTTTCAAATAAAGCCTTGGGAATATGAGGACTGAATGAAGAACTCAGACGAGAAGGTCAATGCGATGCACAAAGCAGTATTTAGGTGCGAGGGATTACTCACATACGTGAATAATAACCGAAATGCGTCATTCAACGTTATATTCTAAGTGATGATTATGATGACATGATTTACACCCTGCTCCTGATCCCCGGAAGGGGGTACTACTGGGAATTCTTCGTTGGGGTGTAGTGCCCGGTTCCCCGAATCCTGACCTTATTGCAGACCAAAAAATTGTCATTTTCCACACCCGTTTTCAGACTAGATCTCTAAAATCCATACCCATTTTCGGACCTGGCCTAATTTAGCCTGTTCCAGGTTCTCAGATAGTTGGGGAGACTCCCCAGTTTTTATTTTCGTGTTTTCGCTTTCTCAATTCATCGGACCCAACTATCTTAGAACCTTGAACAGGTTAGGTATGATTAGGCAGAAATTTTGTCATCATTACCAAGTTAGAGCGGAAACAAAAAAAATTCTCCAAATGCATTTCGAATTCGCACATTTCTATTTCGTTCTTATTCATTTGGAATTGAAACGATAAATACGTCCATTCATGTACGCTCCCGTTGTACCCTCGAAAACCATACCCGATTCCACACCAAAATGGGCAAAGTGTTTTCAGACCAAAAAGGCCCAAAACCCCTACCCTTCCCTTATATAAGGGAGTACCCCCCTGATCCTGACCCCTTTCATGATTGTTAGAGACCAAGACAAGGTCTAAAAATGGGTGAAGAAAATAGCATTTTGATCCGGCTCATGATTCAGAGAACCGGGCGGGACACCTCCACCAAGAATCTATAAGAGTATTTACAACTTTAACTCACGTGTCTTGCTATTTAGCGATCTTTTGATCTTATTTTTCCTTACCTAGAACCAATTTGCACGGTTTTTACCAAAGTAGTCCGTAGTCCGTATTTTATACCCAGTCCGCAGTCCGCAGTCCGCGTTTTATACCTTGTCCGTGTTTTATACCCAGTCCGTATTTTCTAGTCCGCGTTTTATACCTAGTCCGTATTTTATACCCAGTCCGCAGTCCGTAGTCCGCAGTCCGCAGTCCGTGTTTTATACTGACCGCATATGCTACTATTGGCGCTATAGAAAAAATATTTTTTTTTTAAATTTTTGCCAGACGTCTGTCCATTCAAAAACCCGCTATAGATTGTCAAACAGAATGCCAAAGAGTAGCTCAAAGACCTCTAAGGATTTGTGGCTAAGGTAAATGGCTGATCCGTCTTGCGCTAATGATGAAAAAATAATTCCTTCGTGTGTGGTTTCACCAAAAAATGGTTCAAGAACATGATAGCAATATAATCACAATGAACATGTTTGTGATGCAAAATGAAAAACACAAATGAAGTAACAGGATACAAAATAAACATGGAATGGTGCCTCTATGAAAAATACAACGATAAAAAGAATCCTGGCTTCCACGGTGCTTCGGTAAATACAGAACTGACTTGCCAAAAGGCATCTGCTCGTGATAATGAAATTCACCATATAATCAGTACTTACATGAAAATTTGTCTAACAACCCCCTAACGAGTCAAAAATGTACAAAATGCAAACACGACTGAACTCAATTTTGTAGAAATTAAACAAGACATAAAACTTTCTCCTGTAAACAGCGACTAAAAGGCGACAATTAGACAAAAAACAAAATCACTTCTCAAGACCAGTGCGTGAGAGCAATATTCACTATGCTTTAGCTCAATATATGCTTTGCTAGATAAAAAATAATTGGAAAATGATCATTGTAAATATTGTATATTGAATCCAACAAAATATCGAACCTTCTCAGACAAGCATTTTAAACATTTTTCGCGCATTTCAAACATAAACTATTTGGAACAACTATTACATGATTATGTTAAGTAAAATAACGAACAAACAAGGTTTTTCGAAAACAGATCGTATACGAAAATAATCTAGCTACTCAGCAGCTTCTAGGAAATATAACTAGGTTCTCCTCCGATACCCGCCTCATGCAAATGCTTTTAAAGTCTTTCATTTGGCAAGAGCTAACACTTCTACAATTGTATTGGAATCTCGTTGTGTTGCAAGGCTAACTTTCGGGTCTATGGATAAAACATTACGTCCCTTACGAGCATTTTTTCCTCTCTGAAAAGAAATCGTAGTGTGACCATTCGTGTGAAGGTTATAAGCAAGTCATATCCTGGGGTACTAATTAGATTTAAATATTGGTGAATACTTAAATTCATGCATGGTTATGAATCAGCTTGAATTCTCAGACAGTAAATTGTTAGCTATACTTTGTTTAAATGAATCACAGTGGAATACCTTGAATTCTCTTCCAACAGACATTTAAAAGACCCAGCAATATGATACACTCAACAAACCATCATGAGTGGACATAAACACGTCCACTTCCGGTGACGGTGTCGTACAACAAACTCCTTGGGAAATTTTATGATCGGCGTGGCTATTTTCAGTTCTTTCGACTTGATTTTCGTGAATTTCAGGAAGGATTTTCCGTTAGAGTCAGAGCACAAAAATGTCAAACAGATGCTTAGAACCAAACGTGGTTAAAACGAATGCAGATCGCTCGCCATAACACTGCGTCTGTAAGCTATATCCAACAGTATTCTACCATTTCGTTCACATACGAGTCGTCGTTTACAAGGCAAAAGGTTATTTTGGCTTTATGACGTTTCATTCAATCCAACATCAAAGTCCTTCGAATTTCATTCCTGGGTAGTGACATCATAACAAGCGATGCTTCGCTTACAGAATAGAACGCGGTGATGTAGCAGTTCGATAAAATCCTCGGCGTACACGTTGACTATTTAAATATCGGCTGTTCGCGAATTTCCCTCTTTCACTATCTCCTGTCGGGCTGGATCGCACACGCTGAGTTATTTGTAAAAGATCTAAAAGATCAGCTGGGTTTAAACCGGTGGAACAACGCAAAAACCGATTAAAAAACGCGCAAAAACATATCCATTGCCACGATTATCAAAGATAATATATTCAGTTCTCAACATGCAAATTACAGACTAGAGCTGTGCGCGCGAAGTACAAGCACATCAACAATCATTCTATTCGCATACATTATTCATTATTAACGTTAAGAATGTAGGTAAACGTACCTTTCTTCTGCAGGTCAAAGGGATTTCTCTGCGTCCAAGCAAGATGACTTGAGAGCGTCTTCATCACCGGCGGCACGGCTTTGTCAGCTGCGAATCACTCATGCGTGTTTAAAGTGAGTGTCAAAACAACACGCGAAAACACAGTCACGTTATTCGACACTAACGCGAGATCGAGGGCTTCTCACAATCGCAGTAAAACCACGCAAACGGACCTTTACAAGAATATTTCTCACTCTTCTGAACAAGTCAAACAGTATTAATTGCCGACAAACGGATAAGAAAGCAGTAAAGCAGTATTGATCAGTCTACAATGAATGAATTTGAGAACGTTTGTTACAATACCAATTTCCTGAAGTTGAGATAACGAACCAAATCAGCTTAAGTTAAGGATGTAAAAGGGTGTAGTGTTTGTCAAGTAAAACAAATTGCTTCGGCCGCACCTCGGAATTACTTCATTAAACGGAAAAGAGAGATTAAAGCAAGCAGATCGCTTCCACCGGCGGATATACACCAATTGTCTTCTGCAAGAAAAACAACTTTTCTGTAATTTAGATACAAAACATATAATTATAGCCATACTTGACATTCATGGCGCTGGTCACATATTTCCTGCAACATGGTCGACACATCTCTAGAAATAGTCTCCTTCACAAGGTTTGTTTTTCACTTCAGGAGATACGCGAAAAAAGTACACACATTATCATTGAGTCACTTTTAACGTAAAAAAATACAACATTTCGTTTGGAAAGCACACAATTTTTCAATACATGAAACTAAGCCAACTTGAAATAAAAACATCAATATAATCCAGACATCAAGAATCTTGCCATAATGATTTTCAAAGCTTTGTTCGTCACGAAAACCCAAAAGGTGAGTTGTAAGTCAACCAATCTCTACGACTTTGCCCGCAAAATCAAATCATATTTAGGATGAGGTTCTTTTCCAGCTAGATAAGGAACTTAATTAATTGTGAAGAATGTTCTAAAATAACTGACTGATTAGAAGCATATATTAGTGAAATGGCAGCCTGAATTGAACAATTTCTTTTCTAAAGGATGCCTACAACTTGCCTTACAGATCCGCTATTGAGTTTATGGTTACTAATTATCACGAGATATGGATATAAGAATCTTATCTCTTCGGCGAGCCTTCCACACTGGTTCCAGCCTGTCGTTATTGTTCACTGAATCTTACTTGCAAAGCAATATAAAGAGCAGCTATCCAAGACAGTTTGCGACTGAACTAAATTATGTTGCAGGCAAACTGCACAAACAAAAGTAATGAATTGTTTTGCATTGTTTGGTTTTGAAATGCTCTTAACCGCTCGCGGGCCACACTCTCGTAATAAGTTTTTGTGTAAGATGATGTCAGATAGAGTCCAGATAGAGCCTAGGAGATTACTTTGGACTCATCATAAATAGTATGCGGTTTACAGCAAGGAAAGTTCTTACTTCCGTAAGTTTTGGAATTTTTCACCTATTCAGTTCTCTCTTGTCCAGTACCAGCCAAGTTCTTACCATACCCTCCCTGCATTTCTTACCTTTTTCATTGAGCATAACTTGCCCTCCTACCCCACTCTTTGCTGCAGTAAGCCAACTGATCCTCGCCCCAGGGCTTCCACGTCCAGTCTGTCTTGGGCTGCTACGCCTTCTGGGACTGCTTGTTGGGCTGTTAATCTCGTGTGCAGTCTGTTCGAAGAGACAGCTGGTCAGTAAATTGACGGGAGGCCTGGGCCACTGTGTGTAGTTAGTTTCGAGCGAAGTTTACACCACAATCACACAACAAAATTAATCTTCGAGTTGTGCTAGGCTCGATAAGCTCTAATCCAAGGTTAAACGGGCTAAGTTACCCTGTTTACTATCTTTTTTTTAAAGATTATGTTCCAGTTTTGTTATTTACGATTATATCTCGGCACCGAAACTGTTTAACGCCGTTTGTCGCGACGGATGGCAGAGATGGTCGTGAATTGAAACTTGGCAAAGTTGGTCCAACTTTTTCAAGTTTTTCGCTCTGCCTGTAAAAATCACCAAGAAAATTCCTATGGTTAATGCTCCCTGATGGAATTTGTTTGATTTCTTCTCCATAACTCTACAGAAGCATTTTGTGTATGTATAAAGGAATTTGGTAATGACCTAAGCAGAGAATTGACCTAAAACGGAAATATCCTCGTGACGTACATAGCTCCTCCAACGGTAAATGGAACATATTAGTTGCTATGGTAACTAAGCCTGGATTTGGTCTATTTTTTTTAAAACAATTCAGCCTGAGTTTAATAAAACAAAAATCAGTGATTTTCATAAGGGGTTACAGTTTCTTTTAACTTGCGCTTTCAATGGTGGTAATTATTTTGTAGTTGAACACCAGCAGTGGGCAACTATTTTTTCAGTAAAATTTCTAAACATTTCGGGACGCCACCACCGGTTTCCCCCAAACATGACGTCTGAGGAACAACTGCAGAAATTCCATTTGATGACGTGTCACTACGCAGTTCAGGTCGTGGAACGAGGGAATTTGCTTCAACCAATCAGAAACACTATCCAGATCTGTGTAGTGACACGTCACCAGTAAAAAATAGGCCCTTTGCAGCTAGCCATTCACGTGCCGTGCTGGAGAGCAAAAAAGTCGCACCGGGACAAGACAAACAAACTAGACATACATAATTTTAAATGCTAGTTTCCTTTGTTTGTCATGTCCCAGTGCGACTTCTGCTCTCCAGCATGGCGGTGTTGTACCGCGTGAATGGCTAGCTGCAAAGGGCCTATTTCTGCAGTCATTCCTCAGACGTCATTTCGCGGGGAAACCAAAGGTAGCGCGAAGCGAAATATCGGCTGTTTTCAGTGGTTAGTCTAACTGACTAAGTCGCATACTGAGTATTTCTAAAGGTGAAGAGCTGTCTGTCTAAGACCCTGTTTACATGGAGTGGGGGACCCCGGTCTAGTGGGGTTGGTTTCTTTTGTTTTCACGCTCTGGGGGACACAAAACAAAAGAAACCTACCCCACTAGACCGGGGTCCCCCACTCCATGTAAACAGGGTCTAAGTCATAAGGGCAGTTTTAAAGGGAAAGGAAATGGGAGTTTTAGGCGCGAGAGAAACGCGAGGGGGCGCGCGAGGAGGGAGGGAAAGAAATTAACACCGTTTCCCTCTCTCTCTGATTGCCGCCCCTCGCGTTTCTCTCGCGCTTAAAACTCCCTTTCCCTTCCCTTTCAAACACCTGCCACGTAGGCTAGGGCAGTTTTTCCTCTCTTACCTTTTTATCAACACTCGCATTTAATTGCCTCATAAGCCTCGCCCCAGCCTCCGGTTCGTCTGTCCAGCTAATTCTGTGCGGATTGTCACTTCCTGTTCCCTCTGGACTGACTCGGATATTTGTGACTACAGTCTGCTGACCAGAAAGCTTGCCGCCGCTGCTGGATAAAGATGTGTTCCTGCCGTGTCCTGAAGAAGTATTTGCATTTGTAACATGATCATCAACGATATTCCCACCGGGCGTTTTCCGAAATGTTCTCGAGCGGGTAATGTAAGATGATCCAGATGAACGTGTCTGTACCTCCTCCACCCCTCTTGGCAAAGCCTGCCTCTCATCACTCTCACCTCCCTTGTTGGAGTGAGGTGTCGCAGATACTGGTGCTTGCTGGATATCAGAGCGCTCTGAAGCGTTAGTGTCGTGTAAACTGTCAACACTCTCCTGATCATGACCCTGTTTATCCTTTTGTTTCCTTGAAAACGTGGAAAACCTGTCAGCTTCAATGCTTCTTCGATCATACGTGGAACCTGTTGAAGACCGCGCCGTTAGACTGCCCGAAAGAGCATCAACTGTCCCTTTTCTGAAAGTTGTAAATCCGTCAGACAGCCGCAGATCCAGAGCAGGATCGTTGGCCTCAATCTCTTCCCTCCTTACTTGCGGCGCTGAGTCTTTTCTAAACGTCGAAAATCCATCCGAATGTCTAAGATCTCTAACGCCTTGTTCATGGGTTTCCTGAACGATGCGATGGTGCGGCCTTCCATCAGAAGAGTCGCTTGCCTGATCTGGACCGTCAGTGTACTGCTTTTGTTCATCCTTATGAGATTTTTTACTGTAAGTACCAAAGTGAGCTGCCTGCCGTATGTCCTGTAATCTTTGATCAGCAGTATCCTCATCATACGAAGTTGCAGGGCTGTTAGCTTTAAATACCTCTCTACCGGCCAGTCCGCTCTGTGCACCTACCTTATAAGTTCGGAAGTCTCCAGAAACATTAATTTTATAATTCTCAACTGTGTCTTGGTTAAAATCAAAGACGGGCGATTCAAAAGTACTCGATCGTGTTACAGTTTCAGTATTATGCTGCTCAGTTTGACCTGTCTTAGAGTTTGAATTTTCTGCAGGAGGATTTGAAAGAGAGCGCTCAAAAATAACCACATCATTCGGGCTGTCCTGAGATGCCATGTCACGTGCTAGCAAAGCCGCTTCTTGGTGGGCACCGTCCCGTTTCCCAAGGTTTAAAGACGGTGAAGGCGCGGGCGAGCTCTCGAGCGAGTCCCGTCGCCCATCAACAGCCTCCGTTGCAGCGCCAGTCGTTTCAACGCCACCGGAAGACAAAATAAGTGGTCTAAAGCCTGAGAGATCTTGACTTGAATCCGCTTCAGTCTGGATAAGTTTCCCACTTTGAAACACATCGCTCGAAGCACTGGTTGAAGAGTTAGTCCTTTCAGCAACAGAGCCGCTAGCTACTTCGAAGGACCCACCAATTTCTGACATTTGTCTACCCTCTCCGATCACAGGAATACCAGCGGCTTTGGCAGACTCTACGGACACCTGACCAACAGTATAGCTACCGCGTACAAGCTGCTCATATGATTTACTATGAGAAGGAAAAAGACCGGCCTTTTCTCCTGATTTTCCTTGAATTCTTGGAGTCGCGCTCATTTCTGGATCAGCTTGGAATTCATCTTCCTCCTCCCCTACAAGAGTCTTCTCCATGTTTTCCCTGCTTTTTATACTGAATCTTTTACTTTTTCTATCAAGAGTACTTGCGGGTGAAGTAGTAAAGAAGGCCGGCATAAAAGGAGCAACGTCCAAAGGCGAACAAGGACTGCTAGGCGCAGTGGAATTAGCAGAGGTCACCGAGTTTGGATTGGAAACTAGAGGCTCTGTTGTCTCGGCTATAGGAGACAGCTGATCACTGGGATCGTCCGCGGGCGCATCTGGCACTTCTAGATGGGCGCGTTGATCTGGTGGATTGCTGGAAACGCTGACCGCGTTATTGCGGGCTAGGAGTATAGGATCATCGCTGTCTTCCATTTCAGCGCCATCGGGAATTTGTTGTAATTTATCCTCTGTAAGACGCTGCAAAACCTCAAGCCGAAACATGTTCATGTCCTCGCTGCTCACGCTGGTATTCAGTTCGTCTTCATCTTCTTGAGGTAACGGCGCTTTTGGAAAATTGCCTTTCGATTTTGCAAAGGTGCGAGGAGTCTCTACACTTTTTCCAGCCAGGAGTTTGGCCTCGATCTCCTCGAACTGGCTCAGCTCCTTGGCTGAAATATCGCTCATGTAGCTGTCCCTTACACCTGTAAATAAAACATGTTAGGGTATTTACAAGTGTCTGGAACACGAGCATCGCATCATAAACTTTTGGCGAGAAAAACTAGAACATTGTCACAGGAAAAGTCTATGACACAAGCGCTATATCAAGGCAAGAAAACATGTATGAAATAGACCTCTGTACCTAGGTTTGATTGTTTGGAATCTTCCATTTCAGAGCATCAGGTTAACGTTAATCAGGTACATGTTAATGCCTTGTTTATAGTTGCTAGTTTACGGACACTCTTATCAATTAATCTAAATAAAAAAACAACAACGTATAAAACCCTCACAAGCAAAAGGGAAATCAATATTGGGCATAAACAAGCACAGCAGAAGAGATGAACTCGCGACTAGCAAGCGAAAAACTCCAGCTAGTGGTTAGCTTGGGAGGGGGTTGAATTGAAAGCTCTGGAGAGACCCTTTTACGGTTTCTTGAAGTATTGATAAGGGCCAAATAGCGGATATCTGCTGACACTGCTGAAAATAGCGCCTTAAATTCGGTAAACTTGCCAAGTTTGAACGTGATACGCCTGAAGCGACGAAAGATATACCTTCGCAATGACGCGAAATTTTTTAGACGTTTGTATGGTGGGGGAACAAACTTGCTCTCCACCAAAGAAACGTCTGTAAAATTTTGCGACTTTGCGAAGCTTTATGTTCGTTAGTTTCCAATAAATCGCCCCAAACTTGGCAACGTTGATTATTTTAAGGTGTTCTTTCCAGCGGTGTCAACGGATTTTCGCTGACTACTCCATGTCAAAAGCAGAAGGAAACTGTGAAAGAGTCTAATGTACGACTCCAAGACGCTGACCACTTGACATTTTGCCCTTCTGGAGAACTATTTCTTTCGAATTTTGTTCTACTTAACGCACTCATAAATGAAAAATTAACTTGAACCACATGTCTATTGGTGGGTCAAAAGCAGCAACAAATGAAGCTAAAGAAGTCTTTTTTGTAAGAGAGATGCATTTTGAGGCAAAGAAAAAGTTGGGTCTACAACAATTGTTTTCTGGTGTAACGCAGGGGCGACCGGGGTAAATTTTCTTTTACGCTAAAGCATGTTCGTCGGTTTTAAACAACTTTGTTTGTTCATTACTCTCTCCTTAACCCCATTAACAATAACCCCATTTAGCAAACATTCCCGCTAAGTCTCTTTCGAAACTTAAAGAGCAACTTTATTCCACATATTTCAACCAAGGACAACCTACACCTATGTTAACTCAACCTGTACTTATATCATCTCAATACGACAAATGATCCCTTACCCACTGCTGCCAGAGATTCCCAGGGTTTATCCCCTGTAAGTCTGGTATTAAGACTATCAACTGAAGACAGACTGTCCTGTGATGTATGCTCTTCCCGTTTAGTGGCTATTCCTGATGACTTAATTTCTGCATGGATCCCTTCAGCACCCTTCTGGGGAACACTTCCCTCTCTACCCTTCTGAGTGACATTGGTTGTTAGGTTTGGTCTGATGAGACAGAAACAGAATAAAGACACAACTAATGTAAGTTACTCGGTATCATCATATAAGAACCCACGAATTCCTAATGAATTATGCCATGTTCTTCGTCTAAACAACTTTGGAAGTTAAGAGAATTAATGCCACTAGAAATAGACATGGCGCAAGTTTAATCAGTGGAAAGCTAATTTTTGGAATTTTTGGTGATGCGTTTACTTCAGAACAGTGCTTATTTGATTAAAAAAAAAAGTTGTGAAGCACTGTCTTCCTTACAGACCGTAAGTAGCCCTTTTTTTCTAAATCAAAGCAAAACAAAAAATGGCCTTAAATTGTGAGTAGCTAAACAGCACCAAATTTATCTAATACCGGTAATTTATTTATCTTTTAAGGCTGGCCAATCAAACAAGTTGCGATGGTAACACACTTGACTGATTGGTTATTTTACAGACAGCACAGGCTATAAGAAAGAAGTTCTCCTACATCCTGCAGATGTGATTCACATTTCTGGTAAGTTAATCAATTATGTTTTTTGAGGGAGGAGGGTACACAATATCCTAAATTTAAAACACCCTTGTAAAATGAACATGACTTACAAGCTTGACAACTTTTAAAAGACCCACCTAAAGTCAAGTGATATTCTTTGATTCCTACTGGACGACAGATTGGTGTCGGATAAACTCGCTCCAGTCTCCTCTCGCCAGGCATGAAATGACTGCCTTGGTTCTACTGGAGCAGCTTTATCAAGTCCACTAAGTGACTGGGATCTCTGGAGATCATTGAGATGCAGCTCTGGATTGAAAGACACAATAATATATTAGGCAAGGACAAGGCCTTGAGTCTATTACCGCAGTCACTAATTTTCAGAAGTGACCCTGCATTACTAAAATGTTGACAATAAGGACAATATTACAGTAAACAAAATCAGCAACATCCCAAATTGCTTTATCTTTATATACACTATAAAGCTTCGTCATTTATCTTATTACTTGTCTGGTATGAAGTAATGCTTCGAAACTTATTTATTGAGTATAGTACATTTTAGACTGCAAGCAGTGCCGTATTTTTCTTTTGAGTCACGGTAGACCAAGAGCATCCATGGGGGTCAAACAGTGAATCTGAGAGGAACAAGGGCAGAAGTCTGAGCAAAGGCTATTAATTTGCATGATTAAGACGGAAGCCATCAGGAAGTTGAGTAATTTTAATTTCCAGTGGACAAAAACCTTGTACCAGAATAATTTAAACAATATCACGTTTTTTATTACAGTATACAAGAACTACATTGTATAGATGTAATTAGTTATCTGTAATAACACCGAAGAAAATTTCTTATGAGAAACCGAGAAATGTCAAATTTCCCAAAATGCATCTTACACATGAAATTTTCAGAATTTTACCTGTGTTTTCACAGTTCTTGTAAAACTTGACATTTGTTTTCTCGGGTTCCCATGAGAAATAGTTGAAGTTACAATGTACTACCGATACCTATTATATCTATAGCCCTTGAAAAATATAAAAAAGAATGCAATGTTGTTCTAATTATTCTGGTAAAAGGTTTTGTCCACTGAAAATTGAATTTACAATGGAACCCCATCAATACAGTCACCAATGGGTCAAAAAAATTTGGCTGTATTAACGGGGTGGCCGTATCAACGAGGGTTTTTTTACAAGAAAATGTATGGCAGTTTTTGCCAGGCGGCCAAAAAAAGTGGCGGTAATAACAAGATGACCGTATTACCGAGGAGGACGTAAGGCAGGGTTTCACTGTACTCAATTTCCCAATGGATTTCGTCTTAATACTTTTTCAATTGCCGCATGCGGCTCTAAGTAATGACAGCTGCTCGTGGTCTAAACACATGTTTGCACCTGCACAAGGTTGGTATTTGTTGTTACTTAGTCATTTTGGCAGACACCTCTAAGGAAAAGCAACAGCCAGTGCTGGTTGATACCAGTATTGCTGATCTTAGAGAGAAGTCACTGCATTCTGTCTTAAGATGACAATCATGACTGGATTGAAGAGGTGTGGCCTAAGGTCACTTGTGACTGTCTGACATTTTGGCAATAATTCAAAGTATTTCCGCAAGGTATTAAGGTGGGAAACAACCAAGAGAATAAAATTTAAGTAAGTCCCAGTTGTCGCGACTGATATCATAATAATTATTTTTTTACACAGATTAGTTTTAAAGAAAAATAGAAAATACATTATTTTTAAGTGGTTAATATAATATTAATTTTATAATATTCCGCAACATACCTTGTAGATATCTCTGAAGAATGCTTTTATCTGTGAAGTTGGATTTTTAACATGTTTATACTTTTTCAGTTGTTATAGAAGTATTTATTATTAAGAATTTAAAATTCACATGAATACTTGAGGTGCCTGATACAACCCTGCCAGGGATATTGAAAATAAACAAAGGATAATACTGTAACATTTTAAAGACTGAATTTTATAACTGTCACAAAAGTTTATTCTTGCAAATTTATAAAATTCAGATCTTAAAAAACACAAATCATTGAGTTTCACAGGAGAATTCAAGAGAAACCCATGGGTTGGAGAAGTTCAAAATAATATGACATTACTCTTGTGAGTATCACTTCCACTTTAAGAGAAAATACTAAAATTTATGTATCCTATAAATAACATGGAAAATTACTATTAAAAAATGCTGCTTTTTGTAGGCTCCAAAAAAAGAAACTCTTTTCTGCATTTTTTTTTTAAGAAAAGAAAAAGATTTTTAAAGTTTAATTGATTAAAACATATAAAACACATTACTGTCCATATTGTGCAAAAAAAATTAAGATTAAGACCTTTGTTTTTTAGGTGTTCACTCAAAAAGATCACTTCTTTGAAATCCAATATTATATAATGAATGAGTTTTGCTACTCACAGTTTAAATGTTAGTTAGCTACAAACTTAAGCCAAGTTATGACAGCAAGATTTGATTTTTGATAAAATACCATTTAAACCATGTTACATCAAAGCTTGAATAAATTTTCTTCAGTTCCAATTCAAAATAATCAATTTAATTGAAGATGATGGAAAGGAAATTGATTATTTTGCTCCAGGCTAAACCTTTTATTTACCACTTTAAAATATCAAACATAAAAACATTCTGTGAGAACATTCACTTAATCATCAATATCACCCTCTATTATCCATCAGGCTTGGCATTTCTTGATACAATGTAGAACACTGCATTCTCAAAGACAATAAATAACGATCTTTTGGCTCAGGTGGATGAATCTTGATACCCATTGAAACACCAGATAAAACACTCACCAGGTTTTCATCAGAGATCAAATACTTGCATTGTAATGAAATGTCATTATTTATTAACACAACCCATGGAAACAAAGTAATACCAGAGAAAACGTTTCACTGCATAATTTCCTATTGTTTCACTTGAGAAGTCGTGTCAAAAACTTGGGCTTCATGCTTCATCACAGTTTCCAAACACCTTGAAACATGGCCTCAGGCTTTCATCTGTTTCTTGGCATTTGGAGCCTGTGACAAAGCACTTGCCCTCATTCTTGACATGTTACATGAAACTTTGTTTATGGCAGTTCTTAAATTGGACTGAAAAGGTGTTCATAAATTACTAAATTGCAGGTCGAGCCTTGTGGATTGAGCAGCTCTTAGCTAGCTACATGAACTTCACAGCCCATTCCCAAGTTATGGGAAAGTTACTTTGTGAGTACAAGAACTAATTTCATAATAGTACTATTATTATTATTATAGACGATTAATTTTATAGTTATTAATTGATTTTACCTTCTACTTCCTCTTGCTGCATATCCCACTCCTCAAGATCAAGTGTTCTTTGCTTTTGCTTGTTGCGCCGTGCAAGAAGAGAGTGTTCTTGTCTGGGTGTGACACGTGGGCTTCCCCCCACACAAAATGTGTTAGGAAGACTATGTTTTCGGTCCCTAACAAGAACAGGTCTCTGGAATATTCCATTAAATGGATTTTCTTTATCTTTTTCATGCTCATCTTGTTTTGTCAACGGTTCATTTAATGGAGGCTGCTGCAGATCATCATCTACAGTAAAATCCAGTTGAAATGGAGACTTGAATGATAGTCGACTGTTTGAGTTCACTTGTGAATCACTTTGTGATTTCCAAATATCACTTTTAACCTGTTGGATGCGCTCTGCAGAAGAGCTATTTAACTGTCCAGGCATGGATGAAATTTGTCCATTTTTTACCTTGAAATTTTCTCTTGGGCTTCTGTATCCAAGGTTTTTATCCTTTTCGGAGAGTAAAAGAGGATTGCTCAAACTTCTGTTATCATTGAAGTTTTCTTTATTAGCAACAAGACATTGCTGATCAACATCTGATTTAGAAATCAGTTTCTTCTCGGTACCAATTTCAGGTGACTTCCATTCAAATTCACATACATTAAATAACTCAGCTAAAAGAGCAGTGATGTTCGGCTTCATGGCTTGCGATCCATACAACAAATCTTCAATTTTTAGGGCTAGGACAGAAGTGCAGATTAACTGACTGCACAAAGAGCGAAATAGGTCCAGATTGTGGACACAGTCCTCCGTAGAAAGGTTTGTGCCAAAACGAATATCTGTAATAATTGAAAATTAAATAAAGCATTTATTTGTAACTGTAGCAATAATACCATATAAAAGTATATACATGTACAACAAGTGCGTCAGAAGTGAACGTTTTTTCATGTTGGTCAAATCTTTATCAATAGATCGCCTGCACGTCATGGAAAAAGCTTTGTTCCTGCATTTGTTTTAAGGTCTCTATTGTTCACCTATTTGATAGCCTTGAGTCTGGAAAAATAAACTATTGTTTTGGAAAAAGTCTGGGAAAAGTCTTGAATTTTGGATCAAAATTCTGCACGAACCCTGAATTTATCATGCAGTAGAAACAAATTTGTGCATGTGGTATAATAACTGATTAAACCACCTGTTGTCATTATATTCTAGTAATTCTCCTGCACTTAATTTACTAGCATGCAATGCAGGCACATTTTCTAGGTGAGCAAAAGCTGCTTGTTTATGTGTATTATACTGGGTCACCATCTTTGATTTATTTTCTATGAGCCATGTTTCAAACTTATGTTTAACTGAATCATTGTATACAATGTAGCTTTCCAAAAAATTCAAGACTTTTTACAATTTTTTCAAGCCTTTACCTCTATTTTAAAGACTTTTTCTAGCTCTGGAAAATCAAGACTTTTTCAAGTATTCAAGACTCTGTACGAACCCTGTAAATTGCATGCAAAGTTTTATTTTTGTTATTTCATGTTACATTTTGCCTTCACTAAAATTTGAATAACAATGTAAGCTCCTTCTACATGTACCATCCCACCTCAAAAGTGGGACCCTGGCAACTAATTCAGCGCTGTATCTAGTATGAGGCCAACCGAGGCACTCGCCTCGGTAAAATTTTGACGAATTTCGCCGATCATTTTTATTTTACATAAGCAATCATCGGATATTTTTAACGCATCATGATATTACAAAGAATTCAGCAATTCAGTCAATATACTATGAAAAAATTACCGTATCATCGATCGCAAGGGGCTACGTACGTTAACTCAAATTTTTTTTGAACACATACTGATCAAAACCATTGGCGAGGTTAACGGTCACCCAGATTATGTAGGTTGTTTCTGATTATTGCTTTTTAAATTCCACTTAAAGTAACTCGAAAAAAAGTTACCGAAAGGCCCAGAAAACGCCTTAAATCGCATTTCCGAGAGAGTAAAGTTCAAAATTTCTCTGCGGGGGTGTTTGGGGTGGGGGGGGTGGTGGGGGTAGGCATGCCCCCGAACCCCCCTAGCAACTCCCGCCTGCCTCAGTTGGCCGTTTCGTCTGGCTACGGCACTGTAATTCAAGGATTCATAAAAACAGCTTTTCTTGCATTGCACAAATACTTATAAATACTTACAAATACTGGCTACAGCACTGTAATTCAAGGATTCATAAAAACAGCTTTTCTTGCATTGCACAAATACTTAAAGTCTGATATGTTAACTGTAACTTAATATTTACCTTCTAAGCTGATAACTGATGGATGGTAAAATGCTATAATCCCAAGCAAACTCTGTCCATCACTTATGTCTTTCAAGAGATCTTCCATTACAGGAAATACTGTTTGCACTTTGGGCTGAAGCTGGTCACGACGAAACCTAAACCTCTTGGCTTTGTCCTGATTCTGCAGCAGCTGTTCAGCATGTTGTCTTTGCTTCTTTAGCTGATTATCATTTAAACTGGCACATATTTTGTTGATCCATAGGAGTAATGCATCTTCCAGATCAAAGGGAAGCTCTTTAGAAGCATTGAATGAGGAAAACTTGCTAAAGGAAGTTGAAAAAGGAATTGAAAGAAAGGAAATTATTTATTGTGTCATAAAGATTATTACAAATCCTCAACCTAACACAGAGAAGTTGTCACAAACAATTTAACCAGTGGTATACCTGACACTCTGCACAACTTGTTGCACACTTACAGTGCGAGTAGAGAAAGCACTCATCAGGCAATCCATCAAGGCAAGATGAGTGGACTGAAAATAAAACAATAAATAGTAGAAATAATCATAACAATGCTACGGAATCATGGCTGTGGACTACATCGTCACTCATACAAATTGTATACAAACAAAACATATTTGAGTAATATTAATATATAGATTTAGCCAGGGCTAAAAGCGAAGCTCCCATTAATAAATTTATATTTTAAATCAAACAATAAACTTGTAATCCACAAATCAGTTAACTTAAGGGCACATTCATGTGACGTTTGAGGGAAAGGATAAGTTATTTTAGAGTGAAACATCTTACATTGAGTTGATAGCCTTTAGAAATATATGTACACCCAAAAAATAGCAAACATCTTCTATCACATTCAAGAGCCATAATGGCTCTTGATCACAGTAGATTAGGCCTCGAAAACAAATTCTTGGAAAACAAATCAGGCCGCATTTTTTTGCGTTTGACAGGTTTACTTTACAAATTCTTGCCAACAAATCTGAGGGTGTGTAAACCAGCTTTTTATACTTTTTATACATCAAATCTGAGGTGAAAAAGTACTTTTTATCATACAGACCTCGGACAGAATTCGGCATTTCACAATTTTTCAATATTCAGGACGATCAATCGTGGGCTTTTAGCGAAACCGTTCAAAAAATTTCTAAAATCACCCATACGGCCAGCCGGTTCTCATTTTTAGTCCGAGCTGTCAGTGTGATCGAGTGTTTGAATGAACTTTAATGGAGATACGCTTCAACATAATAACCAATTTATTATCGTTATTTTTTGCTATTTAATGGTTCCAGTTATGACGATGTGTAATCTTATAAAGCGTTTGATACGCGCGACATTTCTAAGTACTCCTGCGATGTTCATGAACGATGAAAACAAACACCACGGACAAGCGATTAAAATTGCAAGAGAGACTAGTAACAATCAATAAAAGAAATAAAATTCGGTAAAACATTTACAGAGACAACAATTTTCATTCACGAAGACAAGTATTAAAGTGTCTCTAAAAATCCTGAGTCTTTAAGCTTAAAGCTTAAGCTTAAGTTTATTTTGTTTTACTTTCAGCCGGCCTCCCGGTGTTTGTTTTTTTTTTTTCAAAGATGAACTCCTCGAAACAAGAAAATCATCAAAGTTTTCTTTCTACAGCCAAATTTATAACTAAATATTCTTCGGAAAGTTTTTTTTCTATTTGCCGTGAGAAAATATATCTGAAGGCCTTTTAAAGTGTTGTAAGCTTATATCAAACCTGATACTAGATCAGATCATTGACTCAAATCTCAACAAATGTGCAAAAACTTACCGTATAAACTGTGCTCGACTTCATGAAATTAGATATAACAAAAACAAACATTAAATACAACAATATTATTACTCAGGCTTACCATTCGAGATTCAGTTCCTGAAAGATATCAAGGAAGGCCATAGTTGCTTGAGACTTTTAAACTCTCTTACGCATTGAGCAAAGTGAAAGATGAAAACGATGCCATCCGAAATCGGATTACCCAATTTTGACAAGCGACGCATTTCTCAACCAAAAACCCAATACACAAACCAGCCATGGATAACAGAAGACTCTTGATAGCAGCTATATTTCATTTTGTACATCCGGTGGAAAAAGACAGTTAAAAACATCACAAGTTGACACAAAACTCTGTCAGCTTTTGCTGTCAAAGTAAACAGCTTTCAAGATGCTGCATAAATTTTCCGCATGAACTCACCTGTCAAATTTTGACCAATCAGTACAAAAATTGGACGTAGAGCGTGACCAACGCGTGACCATGGTAAGAAAAGTCTTCCCCGCCTTTATTTTTAAAAAAGTGGCTGAATTTTCGCGTCCGAGGTCAGTTTGAAATCAAAATCTTGACAGTGCGGGGCCATAGTGACATAAACACAACATATTTCATATGAATCATCGGAAAAAATAGACTTGAGCCTGCGATCATTTGAAACTGGTAATTTGTCAGCGGATAACTTCAAAAAAGTATTCGACCTCGATGGGTCGACACTTGAGCCCGCGGTATGGTCAGGTGATACTGGTCAGCGGATATCCTGTTTTGACAGCTGTCAATTGATCACAACATTGATGTGCAATTAGTTTTCTATTGGGCTCCCAAACTAGCTGGAAAGTGTGAGAGTTAACATTGGTTTCCCTGTGGTGCGGACGGACGGTCGTACGGTCACGTGATTTCCAAATTTTCTCGGATGGGTAGATTACCACATTTCCTTAGCTATGGGGCTCTGTCCACGCGCGCGCTTCGCGCGCGTGTGGAGCTCCGCTATTACTGCTTGATCCATCTGATAACAGTGTTGATGGAGTGGCAAAATAGGGAAGCAGTGTGACTGAGAAGGTTTAATAGAGCACTGGACCAGCGATCTGAAAGGCAGCCCAGAGTTCAAGTTCCACCCCCACTTTTTAGTAGCTAGATTTGTTCTCAATAGTCATGAGTTTAAATCCTCAGTTACTGTAAAAACCAACTACCAGTAGTTTGCTTTCTTCCAGATGAGATGCTTCAAGGTAGATTTTCACTACTGTTCACTAGGCTGCTCAGTGAAAAATTGACTTGAAAAATTCATTGGCTGACTAACTGACTAAACAAAGGTCTGGCAACTTACTTTCTTACTGATTTATTGGTTACAATATTATTATTATTTTATCATAACACTCATAGTTACCTTTCTAAAGGGTTTATTTTGTTGTAAGGCAGAATCTGTAACAGCAATGTCACCTTCCTCAACCACGTAAAAGCCATGACGAGAGAGTGTCTGGATGATAGCCCACTGACCAACAGCAGGAGCCTTCCCGTGAAAAATATTGTTACAAACCTTACTGTAGATCTCACCATTTGTGAGGAATTCAGTCACCTCTGGGCGGACTGTGATCCGTTTCTATGAAAAGAGAGGCTTAATTCATGGCTGTCACTAAGGGCCCGGGACTGGGGATTTCTCCTGGCTACTATGGGCGTGAACCCTGGCTATTTTTCGTAGGAAACAAAAGGAATATGACACCAAAAGAACTTCCTGGCTATTCAGTTTCCCAACCTACTAATTGCAAATACCCAGGAACTTGAAATCTTAGTGACAGTAAATTAACGTAAACAGTGTATCTTGGATGCTTTGGTCTAATCTTTTGGTGAAAATAAATACAGTCAGCTAGGGGTGTAGCTGAAGAAAAGCTACACAGGCTCTTTTATTTGTCAAGCCAACTTTTTCTCCAACTCCACCCTCAAAATAACCTGTGTCACAGACATAATTTAATCTTGGTTAGTAACATCTGTGAAGCAGCAACCGATATCCTTGTTCAAGATCCCCAACGGACTCAACGAATTACTGGAAGTGTGTTTTGAATTTCTTTTCATCCTCCTGATTGGCAAATCGACAATGGCTTTTTTAACAGGCCAATCATGACACATACTCAAATCCTGATACCCAGGTGAGGGCCCACAACAAGGATTTTGGCACTGTTTCACAGATGGACTTAACCAGAGTTTAGTTTCATCTGTGGCACAGGCTATCCAAAAAATTACCACATGCCTTTGTTTCCCAGAGCAATTTGAGCTGGTGGTAAATTCTTATTCAGCTGGTGAAATTAGCCAGCAGCCCGCTCTTAGCAACATTCCTGTGTTAGCCCTTAATTTTTACATCCAACCCTGTCTTGTTAGTCAAGATGACACGTGTTGACTCAGATGCCAAACTCATAAAAAATTGGCCATCGTTAATAATCTTTGAGACAAAAAATATTATAATTTCTAAAATTTGGAACTTAACTGTATAATAATAATTATAACCATAAAGTTAAAAAAATCTAGTGCCTGGATCAAACTGAATCAAAACTGTTCCTTCTACTGTAAGTCAATTAGTAGGCTTCATTTTGGTGGCAAAGGTTTTTAGGAAAGCTTTTAGGATCTTAGGATTAGATGAAAGGAAAGGTAGGTGGGTAGTGGAACAAGATTTTCAAGGGAATTTTCAGGTCAATGTTACATGGTTTTTTGCCTTTCTCTCCGGGGTCCCTGACTGAATTGTGCCCAATCTGGTAGAGTTCGAAAGATCTCTTCACTCTGCACAAGTTGGCGGACAAAGTTGTCCTTGACCATTAAAACTGATGACGTCAAAAGTGGTAGAAAGCACGTGGACCTGCATGGGCGGTTACGGGCGGCTCAGGGGCGAATGGGTTAATAATAGTTTTATTGATCCAGGGTTGTCACAAAGATTTCAAGTTGCTGGGTAAATACAACAAGTAGGCAGGGAATCAAACAGCTAGAGGGATTTCTTTTGATTCTATTTTTCTCCTATTTTCCAATGAAAGAAGCCAGGGGCCACATTCATAGTTGCCAGGGGGAATCCCTGGCCCTTGGCTCTTAATGACAGCCTTATTGATCTACATCCCAAACTTTTCACCACTTCTAGATTCAAGGAATATGGTTTGGCTCATGAAAACTTTGGAACTGAAGATGGCCTTAGACTTACAAAAACTAAATATTGTCTACACTCTTAAAAGATCCCATAAAACGTTGCCAATTTTTCAATGAAAGTAATTGCCATTAAACTAACTTGAATATTGAATTATTGGACATATTTATAGCATCATTTCTATGGTCTACAAGCCAGTGTAGGTGTATAGACTGTACGTGTTTACCTCTGAGTCACGTTGAATAGGACTGGTGACTTGAGAGGGAATGTTCTCAAACTCTCCATCTTCAGTGGCACGGAAAACCAACCAGTATAACGATGCTGCAAACTTTGCCTAAAAAAAACAGAGAAAGATCTAGATTAAACATTGGTACAATCACTTATAAGCACAGGGTACTCTCTATAATTATGACTATAGATCTATAGATTAAGTTCAAGTACAAGTTTTTTAGTGATTAATGTTAACATTTTTATAGACAAAAGTCCTTATCCACAAATGCTATGCAGCTAATCAAAGTGGAAATAAAAGATAATTACGATTTTTCAATCAGAAAGAGCTCGTGGAGATGCAGTCATGTACTCACCATGAGGTGACATGTGACAATAAAACTCGACTGATGGTCACCTCTTTTCATTAACAGCTGATAAACTGACCAAGTCCATACGTTAACTTTGCTTCAACCTCTCAACTAACAAACAGCCAGCCAAACGGTTTAATTAGGAGATGTTCTCTACCAACATCTCTACAACAGGCACTCACCTCTCCACAATTCAGGGCTGTCACTGAGATTTAAAGTTGCCCTGTAGTCATTTATTTATTTATTTTGCTTCCTATGAAAGTAGCCCAGGGTCATGCTCTTAGTAGCTGGGGGAATCCCCACTCCCCAGCTTGAGCCCCTATTGACCTATTGACAGCTCTCCAATGGCATTAACCACTATGCAGACCAGTCAAAATTTAACAATGTAAAAACTGATGTACTCACTTTCACTCACTTGCTTCGTTTTAATGACATTTTATTCTGAACTGTGTTATCACTGTTTGAAAACATTTGAGTTCATTATCTTGTTTAAATGTGCCGCAATAGGCCTTACAGGAAAGCAACATTTGGTTGTACGTGTACATCATTGGCATCCTTATCACCCCTCTACAATGTGAAGAGGTTCAGCAGTTTTACAGGTAAAACAAGATGAAAAACATTTTTAAAAAACTTTAAGCCAAAGTCCAAACTGCAATGCTCAACATACAATTCTCAAAGAATTCACTAAAACCTGTGTTCTAAAAAACAGTCCATTGTAGCTTTCATAATCATCAATTTGTTCTTTTACTATACTAGTCTCCCTCAGGGTCTATGGGGTGAATGTAGAGCAAACCTTAAAGCAGATTAATTTTTTCAGATCAAATCAAAAAACTTATTAACATCATTAAATAGTGAGCATTTTCAACTACCATAAGGCTAAATAGCACAATTCCACACCTCTTATGCCTCTTGTTTGTCCCACCAAATTTGCTTAAAACTTAATTACCATAACCATAGTTACATGTAGTAGCGTCTCCTGCACTAACTATGCCATCACAGCAAAGGTTCTTAAAAGTACAGTACACAATTATAATTATGACAGATAGTTAAAATTTTAAACACATAACTGTGAAGCCAATGGCTGTTTTAATACTGCAGTTGTATTATCCATCTGGATGAACTTTGGCAAACATTTTGTAGTTCATCTGGTTGTGCATCTCAAGTTTAGTATAAGGACCGGCAAAAAGACGCATTATACATCTGGATGAACTATCCTTCGTAATACATCTTGGATGACGCAATACGAAAGGTAGTTCGTCTGGACACATAATGCGTCTTCTTCCCATCTTTATACTTGAGACGCTTAACCAGACGAAGTACAAAATGTTTGCCCAAGTTCGTCCAGACAGATAATGTGTCCTTAGTATAAAAGCAGCCAATGTTAGAGCAATATGTTTTCAACAGTGGCCTTTCTTAAGAAACTAACACAGCAAGAGATTTCTCACAAAAACTCAGCATGATTAGTATATTTTTTTTTTGTTAAGTTAGAACACAGCACAGTCAAAGGTACATGTGGAATCTTCACAAGGGCCTTTCTACTTGAATGAATCACTTTTTCCTCTGCATAGAAAATATGCAAATCAAATGAATATCACACATGTCTCCTTTACGAATAAACATCGCTGACAATTGGCCATGTCTGGTGAACTCTACAACTAGAAACCCGATCATAATTTACAGAATAAATGTAAGAGACCTTGAAAAATTTAACACACACACATTTCATCAGCGTCTAAATTGAATATATGTCGACTGAATTGAATAAATGTCGTGGATTTTTAGCGTAAAGTCGTTCATTAATTATGTATTATTTGCCAGAAGCTATAGAATCTCGTGTTGTTTTATATGAACATAAGCTTAATTTAAGCTCAATCAATACAAGTGTAATAACACAAACCTCAAATGGATCATATTCTGTCACAGGAATAACATGCAAAGGAACATTTTCCACTTTTAACTCATCCATAGGAAACTATATCCTTTCCTGAGCCTTTAAAAGTCTATCCATTCCAGTACTAACAGAGGCACCATATCCGTCTTTCAAAAAGCTGAACGCGCGCTACATATCAAAATGTCAAATGTGCTTAAAAGTCACCTTTACGTTTACTGCACAATCCAATGGTTTGAAGCGATAAATACGTGCATTGTGGACTTTTTCTGGTAAAGGGAAACCGTCTCTTTCACCAGAACCAAATAATCAAGGCGAGAGAAACAACATAATCGAAATTCACATTTGTTTTTGTTCAACTTTCTTTCAACATATTCGAACCTTTCAAATTAGCCTCCGCGCCTGCGCAACTCCTCTGGGAGTTTCGTCACCAGTTTTCTCCGAAAAGAGCCTTATTTTGTAGGTCCTTTTCTTTGTAACTCAAACCAGCCCTAACCAAATTTAGAAAAAGAGCTATATTTGAACACATCAACCCTGACCTTATATAACGGAAGTTGTTTACATGCACTGTTTCCTGCATCGTCATTATCATGTGACTCTCAGGAGTACGCTCATCGCGCCAAAAACGTCAATAGTTATGTAATCCTGTTTTTGATTGGTTGGCAAGTGAATTGTTTCACGCTACGTTTCCCGGAGACTGCAACCTCGTCCAATCAAATGCAGAGAAATGGTTTTATTTACACGTCAATCAAGAACCAAAACATTACATCACTTTGTTTTGATTGAGAACGGTGAAATTTACCACGTACGAGAAGGCTGGAATCTTCTAAGTTGAAGCAATACAACAAGGTCTTCTTCTGACATTTTCTGAGTTTTTTGGCCGTGAATGGCTGTAGTCACTTCGATCTATACAAAGGAGACATCTCAGGCGAAGGAAATTCTAGAGGAATACAATAATCCAATGAAACAAGAGGGAATGAAGTTTTCCTGGACTGGTAATCGACGAGCAAAACACGATAGCATATCGTCTGTCGACAGCAATTCTTCATCGGATTCGCCCTTCCCGGACTCTCCGAACAATACAGCTTCGAGGATGAATACGGCTAAAAAGACTTGTGGCAGAAAGCGAGGAAGGCGGCCCTCCAAAATCGATCTAGAAGCTAAACTTGAACGAAGCAGGCAATCGGCGCGAGAGTGTCGAGCTCGAAAGAAGCTTCGATATAAATATTTGGAGGATATGATTGCGGATAAGGAAAGTTACGTTTACAAACTTCGAGAAGAACTTGAAATGGTAAGAAATACACAGAGTGATCCACTTGAAAAAATTTGCCAACCTTCGTTGGGAAATATGATAATTTAATCTCAATATACAGCGAACACGATACCTCAATATTAAGCTGATGTAGTTCATCACAGTATGCCGTATAGACCGTATACGTTAATTTTTTTTACGTTTTTAAGGCCAATACAGAGTTAAATTTTCTGTGACAACACGAAGTTGTTGACTTCTGGGTGATCTGTTTATGTTAACATCTCAGACAAAACAAAAGTGATCACTCAAATGAAGGCATCTTTGGAATTTTAACGCTTCCTTCCGTCACCAATTTGCTATAAATACATCAGGTATCTTCTATCTCTTTTTTATCTTAAGTGTTTGTTTTACTGTGTAACGTGTAAATAACACAATCAGGCCCACTCAAAGAAAAAAATGTCATTAAACTTAATGTTTTGTTGAACCTGTGTCTTAGGACTTGGAGATATAAAATAGAACATATAAATAGCAAATTTATAAATACAGACGTGATCTACTGGTATCAAATCACAATGGTTGGTTGGACCACAATGGTTGGAGGCAAGTTCTTTCACCACTGAGCCATCCCATAACAATACAACTCCAAGGGGTCTTACATAATAGCTCCTTGGTCACATGCCATAAATTGCCTATTAAGCCGCACCCCTAGAAGAAAAGGTATCTTTTATGCAGGGATGAGGGGGTTTAATGGAAATGGGGACTTTAAATGTACATTTTATTTTTCTCTGCCAGTATCGCCGTTGGTGCAAGGCTGTTGATAAAGGAATGTACCCAACAGACCTCCAGGAGTTCATCAAGGAGCATGTTGGCAATATCGACTAGCACTGAATTATGAAGAGATTGGTGTTTAGGAGATTACCCGTAGCCAGTATGCTATTATGGCTATACTGGGTTCAGCTATCTTTCCATGGCATTCCATTGCTCTGGCATATGCTCCCTTACCTCAGCCAGTTCAGAGACCTTCAAATTCCTTCAACAGCTGTGAAAAAAACATGAATTGTGGTGGATCAATTCTTTCCCTGAAGTTCAAGAACCTTAAAATCAGCTCTTGATCTGAGTGCATTTTTTTTTGCACTCAAAGTTGTCTTGAGAGGATCCTTCAAAATGGCAGCAGCAAATCTAAATAGCTTGAAGATAAACTAAGAGAAAACAACTACAATCACCATAAACACAGCTGCTACACATCTTGATAATTGTTAAATACAGTATTGTTAAATTTCAGTTGAAGTGACAGACACATGACTATTCTATTCTTCACCTGGCAGTGCCTTCATTTATTATTGCCATGGTCTAGATTCATGAGACTTGATAGCATTTACATTTTAAAAAATCAAATGACTTGGAATCAAACATGTGCAATTGAGGTTTAGCAGTAATTGAAGTATAAGTACTCAACAAAGTTTACAGCATCTAGAAAACTTCAATGCAATAATACAGCCTTTGTCATGTAAGCTTAAACAGGCAACTCAGCCTTAAAAATTAAAATGTTTTGTTTGCGGTCCTTCTGTGAATTGTAAATTTTACTAAAATATACATGGTTTTATCCCATCAGGTAAATAAATCCTATCTGCTACAGAAATATCATGTAGCTTACAACATGAGCATTATTTTTACTCTTCAATGTTTATCATTGATATGATTGTCCTAAGTTTACAAATTATGTACCCTAGCATGGACCATAAGAAGTTAGTAGAGTAGAGTTGTGACAAAGATCAACAATTTGATTAATTCAATCTTTTCTCTAACTGGTTTTAATTAATGTTTTATTTTTTAAATATTTTGTGAATAATTCATTTTATTTTAGTTTTAATATTGGAAATTCTAATACTGGAATAATTTTTTTATTATTGTTGCAACGCTTTTTGATGTGAATATTTTAACCCTTTCATTTCCATGAGGGCAAAAACTCACAATTTAAGAAAACTGACCAAATTTTATTTTGAAAAATACCAGGTAGCTGAAAAGCATAGCGTAAGTCAACTGTCAAGTGGTTCCATATAAACGGTTACACCACAGGATTTCAAAACTATGTTCCATGTCTTTCGATTATTGTTACAGTGTAGTAACTGGGTTAGTTGGAATACTTTTGTATAACTACTTAGTAAAACTTAAAATAATGAAACCTTGTTTTTTCAATGAAAGTTGCACATAATAATGCTACCAATTTCATTGATTTTATTTGTAAAGACTAGTAGTGCAAGACAACCCAATAATTTTGTTGTTTCCTAAAATTGATTATGAAAAGGTGCGCTGTTGTATAGCTTAACACCTGTTAATAGAGTTTTGTTACTTCCACTTATTAAGATGGTTTTTCTTAAAGGAGTTTACCACGCTTATCACCTTTTGAACAACAGTTACTTTAATGCTTCATCAGTCTCTATAAAAATACTTGTGTAACATTAACAGTTTAGTACAGAGAGTCACAGAATCTCATGTAAAAAATAATTTGGTTGCATTAAACTTTAATAAAGTCCAAATAACTTTGTACCAAAAATTCCCTCATTTCCTTTCTCATTTGTCATAAAATATTAAGATGGAATCCACCAGGAAATTGAGTAATTTTTATTATATTTTTCAGAAGACAAAAGCCTTCTACCAGAATAATTTAAACAATATTGCATTCTTTTTTATACTTTTCAAAGGCTATATATGTAATTAGTTATCTGTAACAACACCAAAGACAATTTCTCATTGTAGCCTGAGAAAATAGAATTGCACAAGAATTGTGAAAACACAGGTAAAATTCTGAAAATTTTGTGGTTAAGATGTCATTTGGTGAAGGTTGACATTTATCTTTTCAGACTCCGAAAATAAATTTTCTTTGGTGTTATTAAAGATAACCAATTACATCTATGGCCCTTACAAAATGTAACAAAGAATGTTGTATGCTTTAAATTATTCTGGTACAAGGTTTTTGTCCACTGAAAATTAAAATCGGTACTCAATTTCCTGATGGATTCTGTCTTAAACAGTCCTTCTTTTTAATATGGAAGCATATCACCACCTACAAACTGGTTACCAATTACAGTCAAACCAGGTCAAGCGTTCCCGTCGCTAACAAACTAATGAATTCATTAATGGAAAAATGATTTCGTTTGTTGATTCAATAATCCATTCATAAAATGAATAATCCAACGGTCAAATTGTACCTCGATTCAATAATCAAATGTTGATTTGGTTTATGAACAAAATCTACCTGTTCTTTATTCTTGTCTGTTGTGTTCAATTGTATTTGCTTCCCTTTTCCTGCCGTTTACGATTGCGTTTTTCATTGCCTTTAATCAAAATAACAGCTAGAATAGACAGACCACAAACGCAAAGAAACTGACGAAGGCCGAGGATCGAAATCTACCAATCACCGCACATACACTGACCTCAGTTTGACCGTCGTGTTTTCTAAGAGGTCAGGCCTAGGTCTGTTGCACTGATTATTGGCAGCAAACTGGCATACATGTAACAGTTTGTTTGGGTTTGAACTTCAGAACTCGCCAGCACTCGACTCTCAGAAAAAAAAGAGGAAAAAACAAAATTCTGAGGTCAACTTGTGGAAAGTGGAATTTTTCAAAAAACAGTAATCGAATCAACATTCGATTATAGAATCGAGGCTAAATATTACTATTGGATTGTTCATTTTATGAATGGATTATTGAATCAACAAACGAAATCATTTTTCCGCGAATGAATTCATTAGTTCGTTAGCGACGCGAACGCTTGACCTGGTTTGACTGTAAGTGAAGAAACAGATTAACAAAATGGGAAAAGGTAACAAATGGATTGAAACTGTGTTTTGATAAAAGGTAATTGTTCATTTTTTCCTAGTTGATTTCTTGTTTGTATTTTTCAATACTTTATTGTAACACCCAGGACACACTGCTGGTTGTCACTGTTGCACCAATGAAAATTAAAGTCAAAGTCCAGAATCTGTGAAATAATAGAGGATAAATAAGCAAAATGCCTCACCAAAACTCCGGTCTGTGCAATTTTTCATAGGCAAGATACTTGAAGAATATTTCTACCAACTTTTTAGAGCTTAAGGGGGAGATGGCATGTTGGAAACCCTCTGAGGGACATCAATATAGTGGCCAGAAACAACTGTCATTGAGTTTTGCCACAAAAGCTTGAATTCATCACCTAAGGAACTTTAAATATTTAAAACATTAAAGTAAGACAAAGACTGAACACATAGCAAAATCTCAAAAGATAAATACATGTCAGCCTTCTTGGCCACCACTTAAGATACTAACCACTGATTTATAACCTAACACTAAAGCATCTACAATATTAATAAAATATTGTAATGTTTGTTACCAAGGTTCAATAAGGGTTTTGTTTTCCAGAATTGTCATTATATTACTTTACTCTGTATATTTCATACTCTTACAATCCCTATGGAAAAACATTGCCAAAAATGTATTAAACGGACAAATATTTTTAGAGTTTACACAAAGATGGTCTTTGCACATTAAAGTTAACATCACGATTAGCTGATTGTGTTTGTTGTCCACTTAATGAGTCATTTGGGTTAACCATGCCTGTCAAATTGCTGCTTGCTTTAACAAAACTTGATGAAATAGGTGGGAACTTGGAAAACACAGCACCTCTTCCTCTGTTCTTTTGCCAACCTCTTAATGCTGAAAGGCCAATATTATTGTGTTATTCATTTTCTTAGGGTATATTTCTGGAAATCAATAATTATTTGTACATAAACACAATTACCTACAACCACCATCTTTCAATCTTTAAGGCTGAAATTTTTTTTGTCAAATATTATTTGCTACTCAATTTCCTTTGTTTCAGATCTTCTACTATTAATAACATGAGACCAAGAAAACAAAAATTTAAACTGGTTTGCATGAAGAAAGATTTGACCCACAATCCTCAAAATTATCCCCCCTGTCCCATACACACTTCAGCTAATAACAAGCCAGAAAATCTGTTTGAGCATCATTAATAATGAACCAAGGTCCTGAGGACTCAAGAGAAACCCCAGGGCAGGAGGGAGGGAGAGAAAATAGTAACTCAAATGCAGGGTTTGAGCTAGGATTTGAATTTGATCACTGGGGGACAACGTGTCCCCCTTGCTAAAATTTTGGGGGACATTTTTGTTTTTAGGGGGACAGAAATTTGTACACCCTTCTGCTGATGCAAAGGGGTTCATCTTCTTAGATTTCCGACAAAAATAGCAGAACATCGCCTCCTTTTCATAGCGCAACCACGTGTGGTCTCGTGATTTTTTCAGTTTCCTTCGATCCTCATCCGTTTCTTCCTGATTAATACACTGTTCTTCTTCTGTACCATTTTTCTCTGATTCACTCTGGCTTTGATTTGGAGTGAAAAAGCTTTCTAATTTTCGAACACATTTTCAATGTGACACGTTAACGATTGCCAGGCGTGTTCACCATGCTTGGTTGAGCATGAGACGTACGTGTTCAGTAGAGCGTGACTGAAACTTTCCATGTTCTGTTTTAGCTTGCAACTTCTGTACTGAAATAAATCTCTTCGTGTGTGCTTCCTTTCCAGCATTTTTCTCTAAATTTTGAAGGGGACAAATTGTCCCCTTGGCTGTTTTTTTAAGGGACAATTTCAAATTGCAGTGAGGGATTGGCGCAAAGACGCGGTCTGGCTCAAACCCTGCAAATGAATTGACTGAGACAAGTGATCAGATTACACCTAGCCGCTGAAACAGCTTGGGTTCTTCTGGCTAATTAAGTTGTTCCCTTGGAATATCAACCATTGTCTGCACCAGCATCATTACCATCAACATCATCATCACTTTTATTGACCTTTAGTCCTAACAACTGCCACAACAGACTAATGTATGTAGCTGTAAGTTTTTCTACTTACATGTTCCTCCTCTACCCCTTCCCTGGCCTCGCCCTCTTCCTCTAATTGTCCGGCCTCTAGACTGCTCGCATGCTTGTTGCCTTTGTACTCTGTTAATGTGCTTTGGACTACTTAAATGTTGCTCCATTTGAATCTGGGAGTTAAAGCTCATGATGCATTCATCACAGTAAAACTTCATCGGAGGATCGCCAACTGTGGGTAACAAAACTGCTCCTAAAATATTTACAACAAAAAGATATATGGAAAATTTAATACACATTGTTACCAGTAATAATATTTTAAAGGGTTTTGGAAAATTCGCTGTTTTAAGGGAAAACTTTTATCTTATGGGGAATGTCCACCTCCTTTAGAAAGCTGAGTGTGATAACTGATACTCCAAACAAAAACTTCAAAACTGTACTATGTCAATTTTAGTGGCAGTTTAATTTTGCACATGGGGCAAAAGCAACTTTTTAATATTTTCCAGTTTAGACTCCTCTCTCAGAATTCTACCAATTCTAAAAAATAATATTGCACTCGAGATTCTTGCATATCTTGGCAAAAAACTACTGTTTTCTTTCTAAGTTATTACAGAGTGTGTTACTCTATTTTTATAGCATTTCTCTTCTATGGTTGATTGCTCTTTTTCCAGGTGTCTGATTCACGTTAATAACCAAGGCATTTGTCACCTGGCAAAGTTTATAAAAGTACCAATATTATGATTTTGACTTCAGTCTTCATTTTTGTGGATCACCACTAACTTTTTTTCCAATCCGTAGTTTATGTCTGGGAGAACTTAAGCGACATTGCAGAGTATAATAGCCCACATCAGGGTTTCAAAAAGATCTTCAATTTCAGAGTCCTTTTGACAAGAAGTTCTCTCATTTTGCTAGCTGCCGAGCCTTTTTTGATCAAGCTTGATCATTCAATGAAGCTGAATACATATGTTGAGGTTCAATTTTATCCTTGGTTTAAATTCTATTCTCTTTTGTTTTTGGGTATATTGATGTCTGATAATGAGTTTGAAACAAAAGAAAATAACATTAAAACCAAGGATAAAACTGAACCACAACATCTATATCAATATTAAGCCATCTTAACCTTGCATTGTATCCTGGACCACTCATACATTAATCTTTCTAAATAAATATACTTAGAGAGTATTTTGCTACATACTAGAAACAGATTTCCAGTGCATTTTCCCCTTAAGATGCATGTCCATTTGACTTTTGGAGTTCAATGTCAAGCGACAAAATTCACAGTGCAGTTCATTAGTTTCTTTATTAGCGGATGATACTGTTTCACTTGTATTGGTGTCTTGTAACAGAGCTTTTTCTGGCTGTTCCTGTGAGACAACTGTTCCTAAGCTAGAAGGAACAGTTAACTCTTTTATATTGCCTTCACCTCCTGTTTGACTCAAGGCTTGCAATTTGCGTTGGTGGGATTGGCTATTAAAATGTTGCGCAACTTGCATAGTAGAGTTGAATTTCCTTCCACAGATAAGGCAATCTAGACTGACATCATCAAGTGGCAAAGCTTTGAGTTTAGGTGGTATATCAGATGTACATGTAAAACTGAAAGACAGTTCCAAGCTTTCAGAATGCTCTTCATTTGAATCCTTCATCTAGCAAAAAAAAGTTGCAGAAAAGAATAATCAGGACTCAGTTGTTGAGATAGCCACCATCATTATGCAGATTACCCTAACCAATGCTTTAAACCATAACCACATGTACTCCTAGTGACAATCTCCACAATTTTTTCTACTACACATTATTTCTTCGGATCTTGTTTACTGTGGGTAATGTCGACTGAGATATCGGTCGACAGAGTGGTCGATATAGCAGTCGACAGTCGGTCGACAGTCGGTCAATAGTCGGTTGACAGTCGGTCGATAGTCGGTCGATGGTCGGTCGATGGTCAGTCGATGGTCAGTCGGTAGTCGGTCGATAGTGAGATAGACTATCGGCTGAGTATCGGTCGATATTTCGTCGATGCACCTCGACTTACTATCGGTCATATGTCGGTGATATATCGGTCAACTGTCGGTGGTATATCGGTCAACTGTCGGTGGTATATCGGTGAACTGTCATGTGTTAATTTATCAGGTGAGTCCAATGGCTTTTTTTTTAAGCAAAGACTTCATTAATTACTGTTATCATGTGATGGGGAACATGTGGCTGTGCGAGGCGCAATTACGCTATGAAGAGAACCGAAGAGCACTGGGAACTAAGGACATGATAACCTTTTTTTTTTCCAGTTTGTATCATCACCGATCGTCTGAGTTTTAGCTGTTAAACAGAACCTGTCTCAGCCTAAGTTGAATCTGCTGCTCCTGTGGTCCCGCAGTCGAAGAATACTTAATAAGGACGAGTGAAACGACTGCTCCCGAAGTCCTGAAGTGGACGAATAATGAATAGGAAAAGGCAGTACATGACATGCTTTAAGAGCGAGGAATACACATTTTTTATTATCGGGCTTTGACCTGCTCCATCACGCCAAGTTCTCGTTTGTGCAGAGACCACAAATTAAACTTATATATTTCTGCACTGAAGACAGGAACAGTCCTTCGTTTAACGATCAGTTATTGATAAAACGCGCTGATAATGCGCCGAGGAAGGTGACAAAAATATCCAGCAGACTGAACACATTCATTTATTGTGGGAATGATTTCAATTTACAGCAAGGAAAATACTCATACGTTCTCATTACATTATCCTGTCCTTTTCCTCTGTCCTTTCGCTTTATATTTATATTGTGTTCAAAATAAAGATGACCATGCACATACAGAAATTAATATTGAATAGTAAGTCACTTTTGGTCATCCAATAAAAGAAAAACAGTATGCGGATAAGGATAAACAAGTTTAAAAAAATGAACTGTAAATACCTTTTTTCATCAGTGTAGTTCTGAGTCGGTTGAAAAATTCTCGGCATAGGAAAAATCAGCCAGATATAGGCCTTACACGGTGGGAATAAATCACATAACAAGAAGCTGAAGGCCTATCATTCTCACTTAGCGGACGTCTTCATGATTCAATTCTAGCCGGCTACGCCCACCCCTAAAAAAAAAAAAACGAGGGGAGGAAACGTCTGCGAAAAGGTGGTGGCCATCGATACAGATAGGCTAGATAAATGACTAATAGCTATTATTCCGGAATTTTGGCTAAGTACATTGAAGTTTGAAATTAAAAAAGCAGAAACACAATTTAAAAAAACAGTTAGGTCCAAGCTAGAAAATGCTTTCTAATTTCTTGTTTTCAAAGCCAAAAAATGTAGGAAATGCTAAGTGTTGACCTGCCATCGACCAAGTGTCGACCAATTACTGACCGATACATCGGTCAAGTATCGACCAACTATCAACCAACTATCGGCGAAGTGTTGGCGAAGTGTTGGTGAAATGTCGGCGAAATGTCGGCGAAGTGTCGATGAACGAAAAGCTATATCGGCCAAGACACATCTGGACCGACTATTGACCGTGTCTCGACCGAGTGTCGACCCACTATCGACCGACCATCGACCGCTATATTGACCGACTGTCAATCGAGTGTCGACTGAGTGTCAACCGAGTATCGACCGACTGTCGACCGAGTGTCGACCGACTATCGACCAAGTGTCGACCGACTATCGACCGAGTGTCGACCGCTATATCGACCGATATCTCAGTCAACATTACCCACAGTAAACAAGATCCATTTCTTCTAGAGTAGATCTTCATGGGGTGGTTTGGAATTAGTTCAAAGTCAAACCCTCTAATCAAGCTAAAACTGCCCACCTCTCACTTGCAGAGATAAAAGACACTTTGTCTCCAGTAGCCACATTGTCAGTGACTGGCAAGCCTCCAAGCTACCCCCAACGAATGGGCTATTGCAGCATTTAATATCTACACCCCCCAGTTGAGGACCAAAAGAATTCTTCAGGGGCAAGTGATAAAAATTGAGGGTCTCTAAAGCAAAAGAGTAAAAAATTATTGAATTTTTTTTTGACACAATCTTCAGTCATGAACAAGAAAAAAATAACTTTTTAACAAAATTCTTTAAGGGCAAACCCTGTTTCCTTTGAGGTGCACTGAGTAAGGGAAAACGGTTGTTTTGGTTTTATTGTCTCAACTGCTGTATTTTGCAACTGAATGCAGCAGTGGTCTTGTTAATCTAAAAGTTAAACGCATACTTTATACATATACATATGGGGGCGTTCCATTTGTATCCACAACCTCCCCCCTTCCCGCCCCCCCTTCAGATGACCCTCAAATTTTTGTTGGTGTCCTTTGAAAAATGAAATCCCAAGGGTTCATTTTTTTTCGGCACCTTAGGAAATTTCGTCCCAAGGATCCAAGTTTTGGCGGTTTCTTAAAAGAAAAAAAAAGCCCCCGCTGTTCGAAAGTGTACAGATAAAAAGTGGAACGTCCCATGGGAGAGTCCTCACCGGGTTCATTGCATAAGGTTGACTCTGTTTGTTCTGTTCCTTAAGTCGATGGGATTTCCCTCGTTTGTGCTGTTCTGCTTGGGTCAGAGAATTGAGTTGTACTTTGCAGATGTCACAAAAGAATTGTTGAGCGTGTAGTTGTTGCGGAGCTCGTTGCTTGTTGGGCATGTGTTCATCGTGGTGTTGGTTCGACATTTTTCGCTTCTTCCCTGGATTAAATACCACAGTATTGCTTTCTTGCGTTGGTGCATGGCTTTCTTTGGTGCTATGGTACAAAGAGCAAAAGTCTGAAAAGTCCGAGAAAGAAAATTCTGAAAGTTCTCCCTGGTTAGAAATCTGCAGATTTTGCAACGCCATTTTTTTCTACTGGTGCAGTTCGCGCGGTCTGCGCTTTGAGCTTTAGCGTCTGTATGTAAGTATCACTAGAAAGTCACCACGTAATCCATCCTTTCGCCTTTACAGCAAGGAGCCCCAAAACAGTGTAACCGCTGTTAATTTATTCACATTCTTTCGTGCAGATTTAATCCAATCAGAAGCCAGCTAGAACTGTCCTCGACTTCTGATTGGTTAATGCCTTCATGAAAGAATGTGAATTCATTAAAGGAGGTCACACTTTTAGGCTCCTTGCTGTAACAATTATACGGCCCCGTGCAAACGGACGTAACATTGTTAGCCAACAACTCCTAACATTGTTGCGTCCGTTTGCACACCCTGCTGCATGTTGTTGGATGTTGTTGCGTGTTGTTGAGCAAAGTTTGTAACATTGTTGAAAGTTGTTGCGTCTGTTTGCACGTAGCTTTGTGGGCTATGAGCCTGCGATCATGAGTGTCCGATACCCCTAGTTCTTGATCACTGGTAGTGAAAGAGGTAAGGATCCAGTAACCATTTCTGCGTGCAGCACTTCCATTTAATTTGTTTTAATCACAATGCGACTATTATAAACGGGGCCAGCCACCCAGCTAAAGTTGACCAATCGGATTACGGGAAAATAACAATACATTCCGAGAAAGTTAGTTGTCAATCATAATTACAACGACACGAAATAAACAACACGTATCGAAATCGACCAATTACAACCTACAGACTAGCCTCCCACGCAGACGTTCTTACGGGTTCGTCACGCAATCTTTCCTCCCCCACGTGGGGTAGGAACGCGTGACGAACCCCTAAGAACGTTTGCGTGGGAGGCTACCTACAGACGTGACCACTTGAACCTGCTGAAGAAAGGACTTTTTTACCGAGAGGTCCGTTAGAGTGAGTGGCGGAGGCGAAAAAAGTAAACGGTAATATACATAGAGAGAAATATATAGAGATGAACAAATATTTTTACTGATCCTCAGGTCTCACTCTATAGATCCAACGTTCTGCACCAGGTTTTGCAGAAAATTCTTTCGCGGCCCTCTGTAGTTTATGTCCATACTTAAGTATTTTGGGGCCGTTGCTATACTGTATTTCATTCATCCGATGAGTTGTACATTTTGCATGGTTTGATCCTGTGCGGGGGTTGTCCGTTTGGTTTGGCCATCCGATACATTTTGTTCCAGGCGACTCATAAGACTGTGTTTTAATATAGACGAAATACCCAGCAAGGTATGATCATTAGAACTCGTTCTTAAACGGACTTCTAAGCGCAAGAGAGGAACCAGTGTTCTTCGATCTTTGTCAGTTGAGTTCTATAAAAATTTACACTTTCGTATCGTAATTCTCTTGCTTCGCACTTCTAAAATTCTCATCATCTTTTGCCCCTTTTTCATTGGTATCCTATGGTGGACGCGGTGAGGTCATTAGTACATTCACAATAGGGCCATTTATAAGACGCGGCTTAGCTAAGACGCGTCTTATTAGATAAGACATGTTCGTATAAATGGTACAGTTCGCGTCTTATTTAAGACGCGTCTTATTTTTCCTCGTATAAATGGCCCTATTAAACCAGATGAAGGCTTCAGACTGCTGTTCACACAACCTCGTCCTCGGGATCCTCTCTTAAGCCCTGTGCAAAAGGACACAACATTGTTGGAGTTGTTGCGTCCGTTTGCACGTAGCTAAAAGTTTGACCGGTTTCAAACTTTGCGCAACAACTCCCAACAACAGGCAACAACATGCAACAGGGAGTGCAAACACGCGCAACATGTAAGCGGATTGCATACTCAACGCATCAGCGGTTGTCCCACAAGAACTTCTGGCGTTTAACAAACTTATGAATCCACTACTATAGAGATCGTTTGCGTTGTTTTAATGCTGTCAGGAGGGTCTCAATGGGGTTAACCGACAGGCGTAAAACGGCCAAAAATTTAGTCGATAACCGTAAAAATTGAAAAATTTTAACCGTTAGCCGTAAATAGAGTAAAAAGAGTTAACCGTAAAAGAAATTTTTCCCTAGATTTCTTGATTTTAAGGAAGGTGCTAAACTCACCTTTGACCGGTTGAGACTTTCTTATTTCACGGCTACTTTGACTCCTTACGCTCTCTCCTCCGCAGAAGCTTCTTTGTTTGTGTCGCAGGGAGGTTGCTGGGAGAAAGAAAAAGAAAGCGCGCGCGGGGCACGAGTCTTGCTTGACCTCACTTGGCCTGCGTTTTATAGGACAAGTTGACAGCGCTACATATATCAATGACTAGTACATTTCAGTGTGAGTATTGTCAATGTTTTACATGCAAAAGATGCGATAAATTCAAACTAAAATGTACTAGTCATGGAGTTATCTATAGTGCACAATACTTTTGGAAGAAGCATAACGTCAAAACAGTGAATATTGAAATTTTAAGATGTTGCAGTGAATATATCTCAATGAACGTTTCAGACCTTATTATATACATTATGAAGATTATGTGAAGAGATCTTAAAAAAATTCGTTCGAATCGTTTCAGAGATATACAAAATAGCGCTAAGAGTCCAAATTTTGAATGAAGTTGCACTTATACAGGTGGTGAGAAAACGGGATAGTTTTCAAGATCGCAAGAACAAAAATACATCCGAAAATTTCCTAGGATCAAAAGATGATATTAGCAGCATTCTGACGCTACTTTGGAATTATTTGAGTCATTTATAACGTTTTTATTAAATAATCTATCACGGCTATTGAAAATTTAAGGTTTGAATCGAATTCAAACATTCAGAATTTTTTACTTCTTACGGATGTTGTTTGCTAAACACCAAACTTTAAGTTCCTAGTGTTAAATTTTCAGTAGCCGGTCTAGATCGCACAAAATTCGCCTTTTATCAATTTCAAAGTTTTTTTTTCTTGTTGTCATAGTGAAAATTTTACAACGATCGGACCAGGAAAAAACCACTTCAAAGGCGATTGAAAAATATCGGTATGGCCTCTGAAAAACTGTATCGAAACACCTTGACTTAATCGGTGCCAGTATTGAAAGGTCTTGTTAGTATTTTTCCAACGGGGGAAGAAAGGCCAATCGAAAGATACAAGGCAACACACTAGGAGTATCGGACACTTTTAACATTCAAGAAAAACATTTCAAGGAAAACGTTATTGACCTTCTTGGCCTTGACGAGCAAGCCAGGAAGTTCCGTCTGAAAACTCTAAGGCCTTGCAAAAATCAGCAGCAAAACAGGAAATTATTCTTTATCTACCCAGCAGCAGCTAGATCTGTTGCTTGACTCAGATGGTGAAAGCCAGCTGAACAGTAAGTACCGGTCAACGGTGGCGTATCCGAGACAAAAACTCGCTCGGACCACGTGACCCGAAACGCATTGGCCGCGCAGAATAATGAAGCCTAGTGACAAGGCAACGGCAGACAGTCGTTCTGCGCAGCTCGTTATTAAGAACAGTTTGCTTTGTCCCTGGGGAAAGACAGCCCTTACATTTTCTCTAAATTCATCCTGAGATGATCCCAGGATCTTTATTTTGCTTTAAATATACAAAAATAGAGGTTTATCAATATTTAACTCTTTGAAACAAAAGAAATTAATTTTTAACTTTTTTGTTTACCGTGCAAGTGAAAAAAATTAACCGATAGCCGTAAAAGAGCCAAAATTTTAGCCGATAACCGTGAAAGCCATCAAAGCATTGAGACCCTCGGTCAGAGGCCGTCAACTCCTACAGTTGTTATGGCCCACTTTTTAACTTTTATCCTGGAAAGTGTGTTTTCCTTTCAGCATGTTTAACCAATTAAGGGACATAGTGTAGTATTCACTGACGCAGATTTGTAAAAAACATTTATTACTGTATATCAAAAGGATTTTCTGACGTTCCCAAGTAACTTAACGTAAATATACTCTTACAAATATAGACTCTATAAAAGGCGCTTTTTTTCCTTCCAAAGACGTTTTCGCTATGTTTTGGACACGCACTTTAAAAACAACAACACATACGTTTATATTTCATAAAATAGCTCTTTTGACTAATCAGACTAATCAGACTAATCAGGGGCGTAGCCAGCAGCTTATAAGCCTGTCTGCCCGTTGTACGATTTTCCCTACCAAATACAATCATTGACAAAAGTTCTGGGACACTTTTGCATTTCTAGAGCGTTTTCCAATTCACACAGGTCCAACCCCTCCCTTCACCCCACAAACAAAGTTGGACGCGTGTGTCCAGAATTTTTTCCGAGTTTCAACTTTGTATAGGGCAAAGGGAGAAAGAACTGCAAGAAAATTTCGAAAACAATGCAATGTTATATGACAGAACCCAGAAATGACAGAAAAATGTGAATATTGCATTGAGTAGTTTTGTCCATGATTGTAACTTTACTTTACTGTGACTCCTCTACCAGTAGTGTTGAAGCAAAAAAAAACTGACACATACATACTTTAACGTTCGTAAATGAGAAAGAAGCAGCGGGGATAAATCTTGTTATAAACCACCCACATTGTGTTGCGATGAAATCTACTAGCTTGTCTTATATGTCCAAACCACGCGAACTACTAGTAACTTCGTAAATGCTAAAAACCTGCCAGAATAATAGAGACGATCTGCTATCAGGGTAAGGAAATTGTAGTAGCCAAATATATTACCAGTCACCTAACACGCGATCTTTAGGGACCATGCCTACAAAAAGTCGAAAAGCTACGCCCCTGCTGGTCATCGAGACCAGAACCATTATCTAGAAGCGAAAACTATAGCCTGCGTGGCAGGCATGTTGAAAGGGGACGGGAGAGAAGGGAAAAGGGATAGGGGACTGGGAATAAAAGGAAGGAGACTCTACCTTTCCCTCCTGGCGCTTTTCTCCTCCTCCCCTCCCTTCCCCTCCCCTCCCCTCCTCTTTTAGCAACTGCCACACAGGTTACTAAAATTATAACATTTACTTTGATGTAACTAAAGATATTTTGTATGGCACCCATAGAGGCCGTTCGTGGCTGTTGTACTATCTTAACCAAAAGCCACTCAGTAACTTTTTAAGTTTACTTTACGAAAATACTTGGTATTAATTTCCCTTTGGCGTTAACTTTGTGAGTTATATATATTTTATTTTATATGATTTGAGCTAAAGAAGTTTTCAGTAGGCCACAGCCGAGTTCCAAAAACCCTCACTTTCAAAATGAGGCTAGGTGCACAACCTTTCTTGTGAAAATGAGTTTTATTTGCATGAGAATGGAAAATGATCTCCATATCAAAGGCTGAGGACCTACCCTCGTTTTGAAACAGAGGCCCGGGGAACTCGGAAATGGCCCATTGACTACGCAAATGAACATGCAACAAGCATAGCTTGCTTTGAACATGATTTGGACTTTTGAAATCTCCACAAAACAACGAGATCAGCGACCAAACTCAAAGCATTCTATAACAGAAATTCAGAAGCCCATAACCGGGCGCGGGAAAGATGAAGAAAGTTCAAAAATACCATTTCAGGGCTGTAGGCTTTGCTGAGTAGTTTGTAAGACTTAGAGATATTCTAAATTCGAGCCAAAATCGTTCTAAAAATAAACTGGTCGGGTGAAAACGCCGTGAAAAGTGTACATGGAAGTTTCTCACTCCGGGTTATGGGCTCCTGACGATTTCTTAGACGTATCGTACATTAAATTCTTGAAATAAAGAAGACATTACTAGACGTCTTATAATTGCCCTGGCATAAAACCGACCAGTTCTTTACTGCACGATACATGCACAGCAACTCGCGGGGTTTTTTCCCGCAGCTTGACACTCGGCGGCGGCTGCATGTTTTCCCAAACTTGGTATCACGGTTTTTTTTTTAATTTCTTACATCAGTGACAGCAGCCAATTGAACAATTACTAACGCCTTAGGGTGTGGGAATTGTCTTTAAGCTAAAAGAATATCCATCGTTATGAAATAGATGTTTTTAAAGTAGCTTGCTCAAGTCTAGGATAGGATAGTATTTGAAGGGAAACTGAATGGAAGTTTTGACAACTTATTGCCTAGGGTAAGGAATTTTTAGAGAAGGGTTCTTTAATTCGAATGAGCATTATCTGTTGTAGTATAGAACTTCCAGTGTCCCAGAGAGACAGTACTACCTAAAAAAGTTCAATGTGTCCCCTGGGCATAGGTACTTGGTAGTTTGGAGCCCTTAATCGAATACATCATGCCTTGGAAATTGAAACGGGTTTATGCCTGTAGAAAAAAGAGACATTAAAAAATGCACATATTAGAGAAGCAAACGTGGTTAAATAAATGGCCATAATCAATTGTTAACGGTAAAGGTCAAGATAGAGATTTGTAAATGAATGCTGGGTGCATGGAGTTTCTTCAGGATAGTAAAGCGCCCCTCCCATGCTGATATTGCATGAATATCCATGGTTGTTATACCGGAAAAAGGACTACATCTGATCTATGCACCCAGTGGGGGTCCTCCGCATTTAAAGTGACTTGGATGATCGAAGGATGTTTTTCGGTCTTAAATTTTCGATTCCAGGAATTTTTGGGGTCGGAAAATTTTCAAGTATTTTGGGGGGGGGGCTTAAATTAAGTAGGGTTTTTGGGGGGTATACAACACTAGCTGAGGATTCGTGGTAGTGCCCGCGTATCCCAACGGCGTTGTTCTGCGAATAAAATACAACCAAACTTGTTTTGCGGCTGTTTAATATGTACTACATTGCATTTAGCAATTATTAAGGCTCGGAAATTCCGCACGGGATTTTTTGGGGGGTTAATTTTTGGTTCAGGGACTTTTTGGGTTTTGTTGGAAGCCCTAGGGTTTTTTTTTTGAGTTTCGATCTTTGCCCATATTCTATCATGCCCGTCACTTGAAATTCTGAGTACCCAACCCCCCCCCCCCCCGTCCCCTGGGACTACGCATGCGCTAGTAACTTGACCATACCTGCTTTTATCAGGAAGTGGAGAGTTGCGCCATTGAAGAGCGGAGGGAAAAAAGCGGATGAAAACAAGAGGGAGTCCAAAGAAAAATTTAAAACAATGCTTTAAAGCAAAATTTTGGAGGGATAACAATGAGTATTATGGTATTTTTGAATAAGGCCTATTAAGGAATGCTTGCTGACCTGTGTCCACAGGATAACCACAAAAGAAAGTTGTTGAATCAGCGCTACTTCCGGGACTACTAAGATATGGAGAGCTTGCTTCACTCATCATTTCATCAACCAACTGTTAAGGTACAAAAACAACTTGAAGTTAAATATAGACATTTACCTTCTCAGAAATGAAGGAACTAGCCAGGTTCTCAAGGTATGCTCTAGATGTGTGGCAAGGAACATCCACATTTTTTTATCATGCTTTTTTACAAAGATAATTGAGCCAAAATTTGAAATTGTAACTGAAACGCCAAAACTGATGGTTAAACATTTGATGGAAAAAACTGCGAAAGCCTATGGCAACTCTGATTCTGCAAGCCATCGGCCAAAACGCTGCCCTTTCAGAAACCACGATCCTTGTATCGCCTCATGGAAAGGAATTCAAGACTGGATTTTGAACTCCCCACCGTGGACGGGATTCCAGATATTGGAATCCGGATTTTTGTTACTCTTGGATTCCGGATTCCAATTGTTGGCGGAATCCGGATTCCTTGAGCTGTTTTCCAAATTCCGGATTCCACGAGCAAAAATTTCCCTGATTCCGACATCAGAGGGCGACTTGTACCTTGTACGCCGCTATCAATGTTTTAAAGTTCATGCCGTTAAAAGACGTTATTTATAAGCGGCTAATCGTTGCAGTTGTTTCCTAGTGTCCGCCATCTTACCGTAACTATTTCCACGTCTTCGTCACTCATGCAGTTTCTACTGGCTTTAAACACAGGAGGCGACATGTCATACGGTTCAAAGGATGGAAATGAAACAGGCTGAAATGGAAATAAAGATGCAAACTTAACTATTGAGCTGAGAGAATCAAATGAAACCAGGTCTTGCAATATGCAGTGTCTAGGACACTCTGTTCCACCTTGACTTTTATATGAGAACGATACAATTTGATACTGACATTTGTCTTCCTGTTTTTATGTGGAATAAAAGAACCTACGCTAGCCATGCAGTAAGAGCCTGAATATAGCTCTACGGTAACTTCCGGTTTACCGGAAATCATTATCATTTCGAAGTCTTTCTTCCTCGTGTTTGTTTTGTTTGTCGGTTATAATATAAACAAGTTGTTTCCTTTAGTGATTAGAACGCCTTGATAACAAGCAAAATTGAATCGGACTGTGTATTATTGACAGTATCTAGGATGTGGTTTATCGCCGGTACCGATTGCCAGTGAGCGTTTCTAGAGCGTTACTAATAGACTTTCTAAGAAATAGGAATCTTTTACAATAATATTTTCCCCAGAAGGGCCATTGTCAAATGTCGGCCGCTCAGTATGCTTAGATAACCTGTACTATATGGCTCTAAGAAATCATAAACTTATTTAGAAACAGAAACGATAGCAGAGCGAAGTACCCCAAGTGCTGTTTATCCTTGAAGAAAAGGTCACCTAGACGATTGCTTCTTCTAAGGGTAGGTAGAATTTTGACTTGATTGTTCGAAGAAATTACATACATATGCAAGAAAGAATCAAGGAAACGATGAAGTGTCGGAAGACAGTGAAAAAATCAAAATATTGCTCTTTTTAATTTCGATTCAGGCCACTAATATTCAGTAAAAGTATTTGCTTCTTAAAAGTCGCGAATACTTTAACCCGAGTTTTATAACATAAACTTTCATCGTCGTTTGCGGTTTAAATTAAAACGTTTCTAGGAATATCAGTTTCACTCATGCCTTTTCTCTTGCCAATAATTAAAACGTTATAACAGGTATTATTTAGAAAAAATTCTATCAAAATGAGGTAACATAAAGCCCGTATGCAGTTAATATGAGGAACCAACTGCTCGGCGACGGAGCCCGGATAGAAAGCTCCGGCTTCTCCGGGTCAATGATGATCGACTGGCTATTTCGAACATTGGTTATATTACAGTATTGTAATCCATGGCTTTATAAATCACTTCTGAAGGTTGATTGAGCTTTCGTAAGTTATGTAAGAGCAGCTTCTAAGTTAAAAAAAACACGTACTTTATCAAACAAAGGCAAAGAATATCTATGTTCGTTTCGTTAATTTGCATATAATGTCCATGTGGCTTTTTGTAGCTTTAGCCAATTTTCTCAGTGGTTTAGACAAGAAAAAAATGTCGTGTGTAATGAAATCATTTTTAATAGGTTGTTAAATTTTGAACGAAGACCACAACATTGTTTTTCCGAAAGTAGTGGTTCAGAATATGAAGGTACTGTTGAGCCTCGAAACCCTAACAACAACATAGTCGTTGGCACAATGTAGGTCCGTATTGCGTGTATGAAGGTGCTACTACAGGATTGAAGTAGCTGACGCGCCTTAGGACCAGCACAAACGCCCAAACAAAAGAAACAAAAGAAAGAAAGAGAAACGACGACACTCTTGAGCAAATAATTAATTATATAAGTTCTAGTTTATCGAAAATGTCTTTTGAATGATGGGAAGTAAAAGTGAAAGAAATATATATCAGTCATCAGGATTGAATTTTGCCCATGACAATTTAACCGAAAACAGCAATTGGATAAATAATAAATCATGCACACTTACTTGAGGAGGAAAGGTGAAAGACAGATGAGATCCTGTGAATCTTGAGGGGTGACGAGGCTCACTCACCTTGAGATCATGCTGCAACCTTAAACGATCTAAAAATGATAATAAGCGAACTCAATTGTCAACACCAACAATACCTTTGTTATCAATCTTATCCAACTTTTAGAATATTAATTATGGATAATGATGCTGCACGTTAAACCAGTGGATGTTTCTAGAACCGCTTTGAAGGCGCCACCAGAAATTATTGTTTAGTAGCTTTCAATTGAATAGTCACACTAGAATTTTACCCATTCTGACTCAAATCACTCAAAAGTTAAAAGCACACACACCATAGGAAGGTATTGCTCACAAGCATTTACTGATTTGAACTGTCCCGCTTTAGATTTTATCCACAGACTTAGTTGGGACCACCTTTTAAGGCGTATACAGCGTGAATAGTGTCACAGTACAGTACTGTTCAGTATCTTTCTTAGAGTCATACTTTGAGATTTCATCCACAGACTTAAAAGTTAGAACCACCCAGTGCAGCGTAATAAACGGTACCACAGGAAAGTGCTGCTCAGAAGCTTTCAATTGAATTGTCATACTGTTGGATTTCATTCCCAGACTCAAAAGTTGGAACCATCCGGCCTGTACAGATCATAAAAAGCACCACAGGAGTATAATGGCCAGTAGCCTTCATTTGAATTGTCTTAGTTAAAGGTTAACTCGCAGGGCTCAAATGCTCGAACTCTCGGGTAAAACTTAAGCAGTACCAAAGGAAAGTATGGTTCAGATTTAATTTCAATGTTGACACCTTAGGATTTCACTTACAGACACAAAATTAGAGCCATCTTGTACAACATAACAGACAGCACCACAGGAGAGTACTATTCAACAACTTTACACGATACGATTTCATGCACAGATTTAAAAGTCAGAACTAACTTAGCCTGTACAGCATCATGATAAACAGCACCAGAGGAAAGTACCTCTCATTAGGTTTAACTCACTGCAGAATTTCATTCACAGTGACTCAAAACTGACATTCACCGACTGTGCAGAGTTATAAACAGCATCACATATACAGAAATGTACTGCACAAAACCAGGTTAGCCTTTATTTGAATGGTCACACCTTAGGGTATACAGTCTAGATTATAAGGATAGAACTATCTTGGACACCATGATACACTAAATCTCGCGAGTAAGTTAGGCTAAAATTTGCCAGTTAGGCCCCCTCTATGCAACCTGTTAAGCCTAAAATTTGAGACAGGTTCATATTTTCTAAAATCCATAACTAAGAATTCTGTACACTTAAGCAAATAAGATAAGATATCCAGGGTCCTCCTTGGAGACATACGCGCCTTATCACTCCAACTGCTATGTCAGTAGGTTTGCAAATTTTATATAAAGAATAAGCTGAATACCACTAAATCAATATTAGCTTTTAGTACTTGTATTTTTTTTTAGAAAAAAAAACTGAAGAACCTATTTACCTGGATAGCCTAAATTTCTACTAATTCAGTACCATGTAAAAACCTGTTTAGGCTAACTTGGGAAAATGCTCTTTCTTACTCACAGGTGTGTACTGTAGCATGTTATATTAACTACGTTGAATCTCCAACCACAAAGATCATTCATTAAACGACCATCTAATCATTCTTGTTCCCAACCTTTTTTTGAAAAGAAAAAATTTTCATTTCATAAATACCTAATTACCAATCTTATCCAGACTGTTCTTTCCTTTAGGGGTTGCGTTTTTGTGGAGAAAGGGAAATGATCAACCCGAAAACAAGTGTATTGTATCTCTAGTTAATGTGTTCAAGCAGAAAAAAGACCCCTTAGACGATATTTAGACAATTATTATTCATCGAATGACGCGTGCCGGCATGGATTTTTATTTTTATGAAAGCGAAATACACGCTGACCGCGCGGCACGTTCCATGAGGGAATTAATTCCATGATAAATCTAAGACGGTTGCTGGTTCAAGTTCATCGTTTGTGCAAAAAATGGAAACATCCGTTCTTGTTTCAAACATTTTGTATTATGGAAAGGATGTGAAACTGACGTGACTGAGGTTATTTTCTGTCTGGTTCAAATCGTCCTTTCTGTTGTAAGAGAGATAAGCCTTGGACAGTCCTGCGTGCCCCTTTGTGTCATGCCCATAAATTAATTAAGTAATTTTCTTTGATTTTCGTTCGTTCTAATAATTGACCAAAACTCAAACATCCCGAAATAACTGCTATTTGTAATTTTCTGTACGAGTTTACTATCGATTATGATTCATTTCTCCGACAGGTAGAAAAATTTTATACGCCACCCATCACTTCAGCAGCACCGCACGGGAGAGTACGACTCACATTAATTTGAACGGAAAGATGGTTGCAAGGATTTCACATCGACCAAAAACATAGAGCCGTTTTTTAGACATTATAAAGATACTAAAAACACGTGCACATTTGAATGGCGACATTTTATTGTTCCATCCACAAATTAAAAACTATTAGTGCTGCACATATCTGGTACAGCATAACAAAGAGAACTACCGGAAAGTACGTGCACGCATGATATTGATTTACGAAGGACGTAAATGAGTCACGCTCTAAATTCATATAACAGAAACGCGAAAGCCGACCACCTAACTGTAAGACAACCGGTGAGACGAGGAGACAAGTGAGATATGAACAAATTCAAATTGAATCAGAGCAACTTAGTATAGAGGTGTGATTCTTTTTTTTTTTCTGATTTTGCGCCCTGCCTGCTCTACTGATTGATAGTAGGCTGAAACCGACTTAAACTACAGAAGTGTCCCATATGGCAGCCATGTTTGAAAAACAACCGCTGATAGAATTTGATACTGCATCCGTTTAGTAAAGTAACTAAGTGGATTTCTGCTACTCTCAAATAAGGCAAGAATGCGATTAATGGACCCCTAAAAGTCTAACTTTCTATTCATGTTTATTTTTCTCCTGTCAGAGTATACGGGAAAAGACAAATTGTACTAGAAAGTGGTTCTTTTGAATTTGTTTTTAATCATTTCAGTAGAACGTAACTCAGAAATGACCGTTAACGAAGTTATCGGTAGCATAGTCTTGGTTAAGAAAAGCGACCAGTTCATTGCCGCAATGTATTTGTATGAGAGGTTATTGTACATACCACCACAAGTCATGGAAATGCAATGTATACAACAAACAAACATTCTTTTGATCTTACATTTGGATTGATATGAAGTCTTAAAAGTTTGCGCCAACTAGAGATGTATTGTACTGGCATTTAAGAGCTTTGCGCTATATCAAATCTACATTTCTAACCTCCTAGTCTTTTAGCATTTCAACTGATTGAACGAGAAGTTCAAGCGACTCTTGAAATGTCCTGGGTTCAAACGATCCCGTGAATGAGAACCGAAGAATTCAAGTTGAAATCAGCTGTATATTGATCTCATGGCGCGTGGCAAATACTTTGTCTCATTAATTTACCACTATCGATAGTTGATATTGATGGTTGACCGCTGTTCCTTAAAATCGCATTCATACAATATAAATGTCTCATTTGTCTCATCGTCTAACTCGACACTGACTCTGTCTATGTGAGGTAAAGTTTTGTTCGTTTTTTGCAGCGATACGTTTATGATTGCGCCAGACTTATTACAAAATTGTTGACTTGAAGAAACAAATTGCTCTGTGATTTTGTAATATTAAAACCCATCAGTGCCAATATAGCTCAGATTTTGGTCCATGAAACCGCTAAGAGAGTATGCTTTCCCTGAATGCGCACCATACCACTCTGGGTCCACTCTTTACGAATTTCTCTGGTCGTTATTTTATTAGCTTTAGCTCTGAGTTCGTTGGCAACTATTTGCAAACAAGACATGCTTTGTTTGTATAGGCCGAAAGAAACATGGAGACAGAGAATGGAAAACGCTAACATCGTTCTCTAACTATAATATCATTACGTCGCTAACAGTGAGCTATTACAAACTTAACAGTTATCGCATTCAGGTAGCATCTTTGGGTTCCAAATCCCTTACCTCTTCCTCGAACTGGTCGCATTTTGTAAATCTTATAAGCATCCTTTCCACGGGGACAACTCTCTTCGCGAATCTCCTTAATATCTGGTAAGGCATTCAAAGCACATCTAAAATTTGTCTTCCACTTTCGAGGATCAGGGAGGTCCCTTCCTTCTTTGTATTTTCCTGTATATGTGGCCCAGGCTCTAAATAGAGCGGCATCATCTTTTTCAGACCAGCCATGCCGAGAGCCGTGTTTCCAAGGGATTCGAAAGGTTCGCTTCCTCGGGTCTCCTTCCCATTTTAAACCATACAAGCCCGCATCGATCATCTCTTTGAGCCAGTCGCGAAGACGAAGCTTTTTACGTTGGTGCATCCTCTGAAAATGTTTAGTTCAACAGTTTAGGTTAGGCACCGAAGAGAATGCAGCGTGATTTGGGTAATGCGTTTTTCAAGCATTTTATCTAGGAGAGAACCAGTTATTGGCAAGACTCCGATTAGGGAGAGCTAACCTCTGCCCGAGCTAAAACGCCATTGGACTACTTAGTAAAATTGCAAATCATTTGTTATAAGCTCAAACTTAAAATTTGCGAATGAAGCATAACACGAAATAGATAGAGCATGATGTAAGGTGTGGCCCCGGGATGGAAGTTTATAAAACGGAAATCATTATTGAGATTATTGTAATCATGAGTCAGTTAAAGGAATCCATACTCACAGTTTTCCCCGAAAACGCGTGGCAAAAAAGCAATGGAACTCCGCAACACGGTAAGCATGGACGCAGTAAGAAGCGTGCCATCCTGCTTTTTAACACCCAAGTGACCAATCAGGACGCGGATCAGCCCGTTGGCAAAAAGCCGCGCATGACCTAACGTTACCTAAATACTTGCAGCTGTTGGCTGTTTGTATTCTCGCATAAAAATGTTAAAAACAGTTATGACAGTGGTTACATACTTTCGAACCTACTATAGCTGCGTGCGCTATTTTTATTCTGCAAATGAGGGCTTAGTTACAAGTCAACTGGGTGAATTTGTACAAATAAATATGAATAGGCATCTTACTTCAAGCAAAAACCGTTCTTGCCACGAACTAACTACATACAATCAGCCTCAATGAAAAAAAAGAATTTTTGTGCGATTACTCCACCGTTTAGCGATAGAGTACTTAAATAAACCTTACGAAACCTGCAGTTGTGGCCACTGCGGGGAAAAAGAATTACAGGGCAATTCTGTGGAAAAAAGGGGAAGTCGGATTTAAAGCCTTTTACAGTCTAATTGTGTTTTTGATTAGAATCAGCTTAAATGCAAGTTTGCGTTTTCTGTTTTTCCATCCTTCTCGCCTTGTTTAGCGAGTCTTATAACAATATCAAGGAAGTTTATTCAAATCAACAAATTAATGTTGCACTGCCACATGTAAGGCTGTAATCGACAATCTCATTAGTTTGAGGCGTGGCCGTCTGTCTATCACGTGGCCAGATAACTCTAAACAGGAAGTGCCGGACAAGACAATACCCCATATATCTCTTGTGTGAAGGGGGTTTTCTCGGTACTAAGAACTCGTCAGGACACAAAAATAAACGGATTAAATTAATTATCGACAGCTGACACAGAGAAAAAGTCCTCGATGTTATAATCTTTCATTTTCTCCCAGGGCATTATCTTTAATAGTTTCTTGTTGCAAAATAAATTCCCTGTCCCTTTGTTTTGTTAAGGATCATCTCCAACAAGTCTATCAAGGCAACATTTCAGTTTCACGATAGCTAGCAGTTTCAGTAATCCCATGCGCTGGGCTTATACGGTAGAAAACTATAATATATTTATTTTTTCGGTTTCTCTACGAGTTTCCGGTATCGTTGCGCAAAAATTGGTCAAAGCATTAGTAGGTTTGCTGAGGTCCGTACAAGCTAAAGCTTTTGTAAAATCAGCGCTGTAACAGTTGCAGGTAATTGGTTAGCACCGATGAGTGCTTCACAGTTGCGCATAAATTTATGAGGCATTTTATTAATCGCTCTTTGTTTCAAGAAAGTTCACACCTTATCTCTTTTCATAACAAACGTATCTGAAGCTACTTAAAATTCCCTCGAGAAAACATTTTTTTAATAGCTGAACGTTGTTCTACTCTACTCTACGCCTTCTCGTAGTAAACACAAGTTCTTAAGTTTTTATAAGAGAAATAACATGCCGGTTGGATACTTGTATTCATGCTTAGTTCGCTGTCCGTCTTAATTGCTTTTAATAATCACCTGTGCAACATTCTTCAGTCGGCGTGTAACATGACTTGGCTGCGAGAGTTAAAATCAGCAGACGGCTGAGAAACATCGCTGTGTTCTTTGTTAATTTATAATTTAAATACCACCATATTTCATTTGCGCGTAGCAAAGGGACATTCCGGTACGTCCGCATTTTTGGTGGATGTTGGCTTATGCTGCTGATGACATACGTTTCAAGTTTTAATTAGCTTGCTCGTTTTTGCTTACTTAGTTTACTTTTTCACCTAATTCATCCGATAATAATTTCCATTTAGTTCTGTATGCACTGTTCCCCTTACCTTAATGTACTGTCATTAACAGTGCTCAGAGTGTTGAAGTGAATGATATAGAATGATGATATAGGATTTTCAAATGCGGAGCCCAAACAAATTTTGCAATAGCATTCCTTTGAGGTATCCTACTGTTAAACCATTACTGCAGTTAGATATTCCCATGAGCAAAATGTCATTTTTGGAGTAAATAATGTAATGAATGAAATTATTAAATATTTATTCTCCCTTACATTAAAGGCCAAGATTCTCTCTTGTTCAGGCTCAATTAGGAATTATGATGTACTGTTATCTTGAGAATCAGTTACGAATCAGAGGGTGGAGGAGCGCACCACACTCACTGAATCAGCGTTGTTAAATGAAAATTTTATTATGTGTTGGACGAAGTAACTTAGACAACTTACGATCCTGTTGACTCTTAACAGAGCTTTTCAGAGTCGGTTAATACTGCTTTTATTTACACAGTAAAACCAGTGTTATTCGGAACCCCGCGGGGAATGTTTTACCGTCCGTATAATACAGGTCATGTGATTTCAATAGATGACGTCATATCAGATGTCAAACAGACTATACTTCCAGAGAATCGACTATAGAGGAATAGTTGAATCAATTGAGGTTGCTGGGAAACTACCCACCTACCCCTCCTCTAAGTCAACATTAACACTTACTTCTCACTTAGGGCAAAATGTTGAGTTAGGGGAAGGGTAGGAGGGAAGTTTCCAAGAGAGCCGCCCTAAATTGATCCGAATAGTATGCTTCAGTAAATTCGGGTGGCATTCAAGAGGGATGGTAAAACGCTTTGGATACTTCCAAAAACTTTGATGATATGGTTTTCTTTAATTTCTTTATTATGATTGACAAACAAATTTAACAAAGTAGAAGAAACATAAATCCAGCTCAGTCAAACGATCAAATATAAGTAAAACACGTTCTATACAAACAAATCATATTTTTTTATAATAATTTCCAGTTCCTTTTCTACTTGTGTATTCAATGAATGTTGACGCAGATAAAACATTTTGTCAAGTCACGCTTTTGTTTGTTAATCTTCCATTTTGGCGTGTTGAGTTTAAGTGTCCGTTTACTATTTCAGCCATTTTTTTTAGCTGGAAGAAGGGTATAATCAAAATCATTTGTTACTTCATTGAACGTACACCCGAGTGTACCTGTACAGCGTGCATCCCAAAAACGCTGGTGGTTTTTCGGTTTTGGTTTTGGCGCAGGTGTTGGGTGAATTAATAAGAGGGTCTTAATCTCGGCTCTTAATGAGATTAACCATCAGCCGTAGAAAAAGGTAGTTTTCTTTTTACTGTAAACCGTCAAAAATGTAGATTAATTTTAACTGTCAAAAAGTTTCAAGGTTTTTCAGTTCTCACTATTTCAGCTGATCTTCACGGACCTCTGGCTCCTGAAGAATCTCTGCGCAACTACAATAACTAACTCCCATCTGATATTCTCAAAAATCTCCATAGACATAACAAGACCTTACAACTTACTGAAAATATTTCGAAATTTTATAAGTGAAAGGCCAAGACAACCTTCAAATTACAAGTTGATGTTTACTGAAACTCTCGGACTAAATTTCTACTTAATAACCGGACGTCAAAAGCTCTAAAATTTATTTGTTAACCGTCAAAATTAGAAAAAATTCAGGCCGTGAACCGTCAAAGCTACCATCCCATTGAGAGAATAGACTCTGATCCAAGAAACAAGCAAGAAGATATAGCACTTCGTAGAGGGTTCGCTGTTCTCGTGTCTCGACCTTCCTCGTGGGTTCTTTGCGTGTGGTAAATATTCGCGCGCGCTCGCGTATTTCGCGCCTCTACAAACTGAGGAAAAGGAGGAACTATCTGTAGTCCAAATGAAATACTTCCTGCAGCGCTCTGTTTATTGTGTCTTGCATTGCAAGGTGGTTTTTAGCGCCGTTGACTTTGTTAAATGCTACATGAGATTCAGCTTTAATTTCCTGTGGAGCTAATTATGCGCCAAAATGAACACAAGTTGCTAAAAGGATCGTTTTCAAAGTTTTTTTTTGCTCTTCCAGGCTTTAGGTGTAAGTTAATGTTAATTTGTCCGTTCAAGCTCTGCACGACACTGTATGTATGTCATTGCGATTCTCAAGTTCGTGGAATCGAAGACCAAAAAAAAACCAGTGGTTTCTCTATTGCTCAGAGCAAATAATTATTTGTTATAATAAAACTACATATCCAGGAGACGTCTTCTGACCTATCTTAAAATATTTGTACCCTAAAACCTTAGAAGTTTACGATCAAGTTATGTCAGCTATGGCTACGCTGTTTGTCACAACCTTGAGAAACACTCATTTATTTAGCCTTGAAACCGAAAGAAACAAGTCACCACAAATAATAAAAGCGCATAAATAGCATCTAAACAACCCACTGATACTCTTTGAATAATTCTTGTTTCTACCATTGCGCATTTGTCTCCTTAATATGTATGTCCTGGTTTTCTCTGGGGAATATTTTGCAAATTTCTGTGATATCCATTTGTCGCCTTATTACAGGGGGCAAGTAATATATTCACTAGTACTTTGGAACTTAAACGTAGAGAGTAAGTGAGCACCATCACGGTGAGATAATACTGTTTCTTAATTACTTCTTAAACAGTTATTAAGTTATACAGCTGCTTGAATTGAATTTCAATATTCTAATCAAAATTGATTCTATATGTAATTTCAGCACAGCAAGGTTGCTTATACTTTGTGTTCTTTTGCACGGCTGAGATCGAAACAATAAAAAGACAAGAAATTTCATTTTCAAGACGTCGACAAACAAACGGTGCCTAATATAATTATGCCCCCGCCGTGTAAGCTTTCAAATCTTTTGGCGCGCCTTCCGAAAGAGCTATATCTTCGCAGTCAAATGCCATTAGCTTTCATTTTAAACAGTCACCGACTTGAAAAAGAATTTTTTAAAAGATCAGCCTTGTGGTTGCTTAATAAATAGTACTTCTCCAAAGTAATGCATAGTTGCTTTCACTGGTATCGCGCCATAATTTGGCACGGAATGCTGGTTCGATTCTGGGTGTGAAACCGGATGGCTCGCGTTGCTGCTCCGCGAGGAAAATAAGCCATAAAATAAAAACTAAGAAGGCTTTAAAAAAAGTTTCACTTCAAAACGGCTCAGCTCGTGGAAACTCGAGTCAATGAATCTCATAACTTTGGGGTAAAACGTCTTCATCAATAGCCGTCTAGATATTTTCCACGTGCTTTGTCTTCGTAAGGGCTCTTGTTTTCAAACAGTGCGTCTTTAATTGGTGAGAATAAAACAATATTTGGCCTTACACAGATCTTTTACTGATACCCTTCACATCAAATCAGACATCGTCGAAAATCTTTCTAAAAACCAAGACAACAGAGCAACAAAAGAACATTAACTGGCTTTTGGGGAAGATTCAGAAGGTTTTGGCCAGCTTTTGTTTTCTCAAAAATCCTTAGATGAAAGGCTTTCAAAGTAGAAAAACACTGTATATTCTTTTAATAAAAACAGGAATAAGATCATCCCAGGAAGAACTTATTTCAAACCGGTAGCAGGCAAATCAAAAACTTGGCAATAAGTGATTAATATGAAGTTCATCCAACAGATTCAAGGATGAAACTCATCCAGAGATCAGTTTGTTACTGGTGAAGTAGACTGTAAGCTGCGAAAACAGCCGTTTCTCGGCGAAGAGCGAGGAGAGACGGTTGTTTTCGCAGGCTAAGTAGACTGATTCATATATTACAGTAGTCTAATTACGTAACAATTTTTTTTATTTTTATGCCCATCAAAGTATTGTTCAACGTGCTCTGTTAAGAGAAGGCACTTGATGAAAGCACATGGGTTTCAAGAGATTATCGAACGCGCGCAAAATGTTATTAGTGAGTTAAACTCAAGCACCGGTTCAATGATGTCGTTTCAGCGCTATAGGAAGTCTTAGTTTACGTTCACGTTCCAGTGTTGGGTTCATTTCTTCCATCATACTACTATACATGAGAAATTTATGCAATTTGATTGGCTTAGAGCAGTAGTATTTCAGCTTAATTTGAAATACCTACATGTAAAAATTACAAAACCTTTGCTGGTAGTAGTATAAATGTTCGTGATATTTGGCATAAATGACAAAAATACCACTCGTAACATTTCAAAATTATCTCAATTACGTAAAACAATTTCGAAATATCGCTACAAATCATGCTATTACCTATACATAAATCGCAGTCTGGTGCTGAATAAACGTCGAAAAGGCCCAAGTTTTAAACAAATTGAAGCCGACTATTTGAACACAATCCTATGCTAACAGGATGTTGAACGTTGTAATTAACTTTTCCTGAGTGAATAAAAGTTAAAAGTGCCAGAGTATGGTCTAAGGTTCTTCCATTCCCTTGGATATTACGAGGAAAACTTCGTCTATCTTAATGAATTCAAAATAAATTAACTATAAAAACCCTCAAAATCAACTAAGTTGTCAGTCCCTCCCTGATCCCCCTGTAATGAAAATCCACTTCCATCATAAATGCGTTATTGATTGATTGTTCTCAAAAACTACTTAATAAATAAAACTAGCACGAGTGTTTTATTAAGTTTAAAACACAGCGCACAACCGAGTGATTTGTTGAAAACTGCGGATGAGCCACGGTCACTATTGCGATTTATTGAACCGGCTTTTAAATCCATCCCTGTGGGTATTCTCACGCTAACAATATTAGATCAGTCGTAATTTATCAGATTAACAGAGTTATTGGGGTCACGTGAGACAACTTGCATGAATAAATTCATATTTTAAAAAAAGCAAAACTTTAAATGGTGCACCTTTAAAAACGTTTATACCTCGCTGTTTTGGAACTCAAAATTTAAAGAAACAGCGCACAATGGACGTTTCTCAGCATTGTCACTTATTTGGTTAAGTGATCTACAAATCTAAACGACATGAATGCTTTAAACCTCAGACTGAGGAGTGCAGAATGTTGTCTGCAAGATTGCAGCAAGAATCGAGCACACCACTGTTTGTCAATAAATGAGCAGTCAACATATCCCACGTGCCATGACTTCTGGAAAGCGGTTTTCTAACTTAAGTTTGTTACAAAGTTGTGATACAAAGTTGTGATACAAAGTTTTGATCATTTATATGACCTAAATTTGTCATCCTCACACCTTTAAGACGTAGAAGCGTGCCTTTAAAATTCCGCTTCTCATCACACACGGTGTACATCATTCCTAGTTTACCTCTTCGCAGTGACAGCTTACGAGAATGAGCTTTATCTGCTCCCAGTTCCGTTAACTTATAATTATACTGAGCCTTTGATGCCTTTCATTCGGTATATTTAGATATAGAACGTGTTTAAAAACAGAACGTGGTACAACGGTTGAAGCGACTAGTTAGCTTTTTCCCGTCGCTTGTCTATACGTTTTGATAGGTTCCACGATTCTGAACTCTTTCGCTTTTTAACGTTTTGGAAGCATTTCAAATCCTATTTAAATCACAAAGAAAAAGGAAAAATACCTCGCACTTGTCTTTACACTCCACTGAGTTCGGAGAGTTTGGACGTTACCGTAAAATTCTGAAAATAAGCCCCTCCATGTATAAGCCCTTCCAAATATAAGCCCCCCAAACCCGTAACGCAAAAAACCCTCCGTTAAATCGCCCCTCCAAATATAAGCCCCCCGGGGGCTTGTACTTAAAAAATTGCCCTCAAATACAAAGTACTACAAAGCAAAAACTTTAAATTTACTTCTAACTATAAGGCTAGCCCTATCGATTTTGAAACGCAAATTTCCCTCCGCACATAAGCCCCTGCAAAAATAAGCCCCTCAAAAAGGGCCTTTGAAAAATATAAGCCCCGGGGTTTATTTTCGGAAAGATACGGTATCTTTTCCACTTTGGTAATCTCTTTCATACTATACAGATTTGCATCTTTTTACTGGCTTGCTTTAATCTTGACGTCACGTTGACCTTTTTTAATTCTTTGCATAGCACCACAGAGGCTTTAAGCAGGAATGCTATAGACTCATTTATGACAATGGCTGAAAGACTGGTTTCCTTATGACCAATACGATTAAGTTCAAGCTGAACAGGTCTTTGCCGAGGTGATTATCCCCGCATCAAGCCATCCCGATACCGAAATCCTAGATGGTCGGTTGTTGTATAATCAGGACGTTTGTTTGTGTTGAGCTTGATGAATGTGCAACGATCTTGGCCAAGCGAGCTCCCCCGCAAACCAGGTCCTTCGGGCTTAGGTATTAACTCACCCCCTTACAATGTTCTCACGTCACTTGACCGCGCGGTGTTGTGAAGATCGTTGGAAAATTGGGTACAAGCTTACGAACTAGCCAATTACAATGCGAAGCACCGAAATTTAGTTACGTTTCTTAACTAAAATCCCAGATCAGACAAAAAAAAAAAATGCCGACCACTGGGATTTTTCGTTGAGAAAAGAAACGACCAATGTTTTCATCATTTAAATTATCCAACCGGTCAGTTTGAGGAATGGCGGATTTAAAGGGAGACAGAGGCGATCGCCTTCTCTTTCAGTCAGATAAATCAGGTCTTTTAAGTGGTATTTAGATAGCTGGAAGTCTCCAGTTTCTGGGTCCGCCCCTACACGCGGTTTGAGCAAATGGTAAGCAAAATTCAGTGGCAAATTTCATTCGGGGATCGCGTTTACCATTTGCGCAAATCAGTCCCTATTATTTCTCCAGCCCCACGGCTTTCTAGAGGGGCTAAAACCAATGGTGCAAACTGCACGCGCGTTTTTGACATCCCACTGATGAACAGTTACAAGAATCCTTCCCTTCTTAGGCCTAAAAGCCATAGCAGCTGAACTATTGAACAACTCGCATGCGTTAGCTGCTAGAATGTGTGCGGACTAGTTAATCGCTCATAGGCACATGGCGCAAAGAAAAACATGGTTTAATTGAATAAAACATAACGTATGGCGTTAAAATAGAGTTTGACCACGCTGAAAGTCAGATGTTAGCCCTCACATCCAACGCTAAGTTTTATACAAAGATATAGCTCCAGAACCCAAGTTGCCCAAACGGTGAATGACACTATTCAACAGATAAATCACTATCTACTGGATAACGCTATTGGTGTCAATTCCTAATACTTTTCCGATGGATAGTGATTTATCCCCTGGATGGCTGATCCACCTTTTGACAAACAACTGTTAGTCTACCATAAGAAGAGTGAATCCTTTTCTCGTTTCCTCCCATCCATAAACCTCCTCTTCCTGCGATTCCAGGAGACAAAAAGGAATAGAGAGAGATTTAAATGTCTATATTTTAAAAGACTGCTGATGTTACATATGGTTTACCTGTTTATTCAACATCTTTCTCTTATTTACACAAATGTTCTTCAATGTTAATAAGGTTTATACAATAGGATAAGGCTGCGGGTATACAACGATAACAAACACATTTTAGCAACGGCCCTTAATTGTCAAGTCGCCGTTTTCTCTGACTCCTGTACGTCCTACTCGCGTGAAATAACATCGATTTCGACATGACAGATTGCAAAAGCAGAAAAGGATCTGTATATAACTTCCACTTTGAAAAATAAGGCGTTTGTGGTTGACTTGTTAACAGTGCTTTCTCTGTTGGAAAGCATCTCCTCAGTTCTCAGCTCACTTGCTGCAGTATCCTCCTCACTCGACCCAAATCCTTAACGAGCTTTCTAAGGTCAGTTTTCTTCGTAAGCTGGGATGGAGTGCCTCCGTACGCCTCCTCAAGAACTGTGAATAGAAATAAAATTTAGAATCCAGAAACAGGGAATATCGCTAATTTTATTTTGAAAATCGCGGAGAAACAAACAGTAGCAAATACCAAGTAGGGGTGAGGCTAGATCATAACCATAGTAATATCCTTGACCAATCACAGCAGAGGTAGGTGATGGAAAATGCGTGAGAGCAATTCACCAATTTCCCATTGGTTTAGGACTTTCCTAAACAATTAAAAAGGAAACTTTTCGCGCCCCTAGGGTTCGACAAAGCCAACTGAATATTAATAATTCAATTCAATTTTTTATTTGTAGCTACTTTATTTTCCTACCATGTACACTTATGTAAATATCTTGTATAGTGTGAATAAAGAATTGAATTGAATTATTAATGATGATGATGATGATGACTATTAATGTTGTTCATCAAATGTTAAGTTCGCGATAACGTCACCAATCCGATTACAGGACTTGGTTCAGATGAGTAATATGGACCAATAAGAGGCCATATAATTGAATAATTCCACAACGTGTCTCACCTGCTAACTGCTGTTCAATCTGATCCATACGCTCTTCAAGATCATCATGTATTTGATTAACATCACCCAGCAAGTTATCCATGGCTCCAATGCCATCATCATCTGACAAACTTTGCACAGATTCCCCCTGGGTATCGTCTGTAATGTTACTTTCTGCAGGTATTTTACTTTGTGATGAAATCCTCAGCTCATTCTCTTGCTTAATCTGAGTCTCGGATCCTGGTTGTGGATTAGATTCCATAGACACTGTCCCAGTGGATGCGACTGAGGATTTAAGTTCCGCGGACTTTTCAGCCCCTTCTCTCTGCCCCTCAGATTTAACTGAAGACTGTGAATTGTCTGGCGTCAAGTTTAACACTGTTTCAGGTTTCACCTGCTCAGGCTGGCTTTTTGCACAGGGTGTTGGTCCACCAACAGGGACTAACGCAGGAATGGGAGATAATGGTTCCTCCTCTTTTTTAACCGTACTCCCTTCACTTAGCTCAACCCCTGAATCTGTGCTTGTAAGTAGTGAGCTATGAGTCCTACTCGAAGTATCAGCTACTGTCGATAAGGTATTTGTCGATGCAGGAGCCTTCCTGCCCTGTATATTGTTATTAGAGTCTCCAGGGCCGTCTAGAGAAGGAAGAGGTGTTGAGGGTCTTTCTTGCTTTACTCTTAAAAGCCCATTCTGAGCAGCATTACCTAGTTCTGCATGTCCATTTACGACAGCGTGTCCTTCACTCTTCATTACTTTGTCACATTCCCCTTTCTTTGTGGGCAAAGTATCTTCAACTGTTTTATTTTCCTCTACAGCAGGCAGGACTGAAGATTCAACTGTCGTACTCGTGCTCGTTAAACTATTGGTTCTCCGCGACTCCTTCCAGCATTTCAAATCTGGGTGGGATGGGTTTCTGTAAGTACAAACAAACTGGTTAGAAAAAAGTTCAAATTGGACAAAATCTATCATCAAAAGTAGAACAAGGCTCGGTATCAAACGAATTTTCGATCAGTTGAAAATTCGAGCGTCTAAGGTGTTTCGTTCACAAAGAACCACGATAGGCGCACGAAATTTACACTCCTAGTCGAGCAAAAAAAAATCCCGATCAAATTTTTATCCGGTGGGGTAAAAATTTGACCGGCGTGGTGTGAACACCTGACCGTCTAAAAGGCGTGGTTGCTAGAATGCTTTGTGACTCAGACGACACTCTGGATTTGCTCAAGTAGCGCTTTGCGCATGGACAGATAGTAAAACCGCTGAAAAAGGTCAAAATTCAACCGGCGTCGTCAATTTTTCAGCCAGTCGAAAATTCGCCCTGTACTGTGAGAACGAAGCATAACTTGCAGTTATGGGATCCCCTTTACAGCAGTTAATAATAAAGTCACTATCATTTGTATGCCGCCAACACTTTCCTTAGGAAAAGGTCCGAATCCAGACTTTTGGCATAAACGAGGTAAGATCTACGACCGCTGAAGACGCGAGCTGCTCGTGGGCACTAGGGGACGCCCCAAAAACATTTGAAATCACGAAGCTCTAGCCGTTTTCATAAATAATTCTAAATCTAGCGCGATCAACTGGGAATTATTTTCCTAATTACGAGACGTATCAACCCATACGATCCAAGTGCCTTGCCCCTTGCATCCTGCTGCATGGTGGGATTCTAAGGAATTTCAGTGCTTATCAACTGTTCACAGAAAGGACAACAATATTAAAATCATGGCGGTTTGGAAGAAAAATCCGAATATTCCTAATGAGAGTTGAACCTATGACTTATGCTCTACAACTAAGCTACAAGAGACTCATAGGAGCTAAGGCTACTAAACTGGGTTCACGACTAGAATGGCTATATGTGCTCATGCGCAATGACAGAGAGAGCTACGATTTTGTTGATTTTTAAAACCCTTCTTTCCCATGACAGATCCCTGATGGTGGCAACATTCAGCATGGTAGAAATCTTACCTGAGCAGTTCAAATTTAAGCTTTAGGCTTCTGAGGCAGTTGTTGACATCATGAAGATCACCCATCAATCCATGTGTGGCTAGATTCAGCTCTGAGTTGTACTCAGGTTCTTCAATAGATACAAAAGGCATGCAAGCCAGCGTTCCACGTCTAAACCAGTCAAAATCATTCTGCAAGATACAAGTACATGGGAGATTTGACACCGTCAATTTGTCCTTTTCACGTCAGGTTATATGAGATGTTCTCAAGGGATTTTTTCCTCCATCTTTTCATAAATTATGCGTCCATATAAATAATGAGGACGACCAAATTTGAAAGAAAGCGTTGTCTAGAATATGACCACCTGTTCCGCATGGGAAACAAATAAAACCAGGCTAAAGAGGTCTATCACAAGAGCTTAATTCCAGTGTTTACGGGAATCCTTTCCTTTTACCAAAATCGCCTGTTAAGCACCCATTATAATTTATTCAGATTTCCAGTTACAGTGTAGGAGGAGGATGATGAGGATGAGGATGATGATAATGATGATGATAGTGGTGGTGGTGATGTTTCTGCATGTTTAACCCTTTAAGCCCTAAGAGTGATCGACATCAAATTTCTCCTTATAATATCAATGCTTTAGAAAAACAGAGTGGTCATGAGAATCATAGTTAATTGAGTGGAATGGTTATGAAACCCGTCAGACTTCTTTGTTATATGTTTTTGTGGACCTGAAAGTGCACAACGTTCAAAAGAATTTCTATCATTTTGATTGTATTGACCAATAAAAACGTTGCATTAATTTATTCCGTAACAATTTGCCAACAGAAAACAAAGGATTGTGCACTTTCACGGTGCTTTGAACATAAACTGCAGCACTGTTGTTTTTATCATTGATGTTTGCCACTTTTCATAACCAGTCTCCTCTAATAACTATGTGAGAATTGAGTATATGATCAGGGAAGATGAATCTAGTTGATGCTTCAACAAATTCTTCCCACTATTTCTATAGAAAAAGTATAGGGACAGTAAATGAGAATCTCAATTTTGATCTTAGGGTTTAAAGGGTTAAGGCGCCAGTGGATCACAGGACACTAAAGTTACCTTGTATTTAGCACTTCTTCGTAGACCTGCAACAATAAAATCAAATGTTCCTGATTCAAAACACTGTCTACCAACAAAAACATTAAGCTGCAAAAAAAAAACGACTAAATTTAAAGAATCATTATGAACGCAAACGGAAATTACAGATTGAGATCGAAGGAAAGTGCACAAGTAACACACGACGTGTTCACGAGCTGATCACGCAGACGGTTGTTACTCTGCTTTCTTACAATCTCTTGCAGTGACCACCACTAGTGGGTAGCTGTCTTTGGTTGTGTGAGGGGAGGGGAGGGTACCTAGCTTGCATGAAACCTATTAAGCTCCATTGGTACCAACGGACATATCTGTGCCCAATCAAGCTGATAAAGGTAGAATAACAGTACTCAAAAATACTGTCTGGAAGATCCTGAATTTTTAACTTTAAATTTTAACTTCTCATATTAATGGTATTTTTGAATACA